CGGCTGGGAATGGTTCTCTTAGAATCCTAAAGATGAACAGGAACAGCTAGCACGCGGGTCTCAAAAAAAGGCCCACTGCTATGCAAATGAATCAATTTCATTTATCTTCATGAGTGATTCCCAAATATGTCGAATTGAGTTGTCTGAAACGGTGTTCCTTGGAACTCGGGTGGAAGTTTCGCACTCGCCTGTTCCGACTCGCAACTGCTGTAGTTGATCTGCTATGACAAGCTGAGTAGGTCTAGAATATGGTAGCCTTTCGGGCTGGCGCAGTCCTTGTTCCAATTCGCATCTAGAACCGTCTTCGGCTCTGGCAATAATGTAGTCGTGTAAAACAAAGGCGTTCTCTCTGCGTTGGTCATTGCAGACATTGCATTATCTGCATAATCTCGAGGGTGCTTCTCGACGTCTCGGCTTCACGCTACAAGATACCTGCAGTGTCCCTCTCCATCGCCTTGGGGTTTGAAATTTACATCGAGTAGCCGATCTAGACCTCCAGTCCCCGGGCTGAATATCTTCACCGCGATAACTATGGGTCCAATTCACGTCACCAAGAGCCAGTCTCATGCTACATTTTCCCCTGTTACGCAGTTTGTACAAATAATCCTTGTTCTATGACTTGGTTGGAACGCAGCCAGCACAGCAGCCGTCTGTCTCGCTACGCAATTGCAGGTCATCTCAAAACACCAGAAACGCAATTAGCTTTGAGGCCCTATTGTTGATAGGATCTCGTTATTATGAGAACTCTATGTCCGCGGAAATTGGCCCTCTCACGGATTTGGATCTCGACTGATTGTGCAGCCAAGTTTAGGGTAGATGACACCGCTTTTCATCAAGGGTTTCAGGGCCCTCGGTCTACAGTGGATATTTTCAGCTTGCCCTTTTGGATGTCATAGATGATATATTTGTTGGCACCTTACATTATGCTATTTATCAAACGCACTCGAATTGTCAAGAGTTGCAACTCACATGTGCGATGACATAGACTCGCGGATGTATATCTTGTAAGAGCCGCATCAGACACCAGGAGCACCTATTATGAATAGCATCGTCTGGGAAACCAATGACAGACGCCCTTAATATATTGGCATGACGCCTTTGAACTGCTGATATTCTCTCGGATTGCCATTTCGAGTAGGAGCTTCATCCCTGCAGCAGCATTGACCTGCATGAGGCTGCCGACGGGATTGGTTGCAGATACACTGGACAAATGACCCTCTGGTCCTGTCTGTCATTCTGAGTACAGGTACATGTAACATATTTGAAAACTTTCCCATTAGACTTTAAGATTTGAATGGAACAAAGGCATAGCATTATGCTTGGACGTTTATTCTAGCTTTTCTAGCCACCTTACTACACAGCATGAACATGGCGTGTGACGAACACAGAACGTCTCCTCCAAGATCTGTTTTCGTAGCCCAGTCTAAGCTACCTCGGGGTCTGAAAAATAAAAGAAAAACAATAATACAGTAGAAGATCTTGTTGAGATTTGTCAAAAAGTACCAATAACCATCGATCCCTCCACTTCCGCAGCTCTACTGTACCAAAGGGTACAGTACGAAAGCGCGCATGTACGTGAACCACACAACTCAAGTCGTCCAGAGTTCCGGGACATCAAAGCGGCCAATAGAATAAGTCACCGGTCGAGATGGGCTTCATGTTATTCCTGGGCTTTCTTTTTTTGCCTGTCAAAAGCAAAATGAGAAGAAAATTTCGCCGTTGGGTCCACTCCAAAAGCCCAGGGACACGGCTAACAGCAGACGGTGGGATCTACCGATGAACACCCAAGGAGCGGTCAGGCGATTGTTCTGTATGGTATCACTCTACTGTATGGGCCTTCTGCCGCCAGTGTGAAACAAGGAAATGCACCATTGACAGCTGTTGAACTGGTCTGCTCCATCCCACAAACGCATGACAGGTGAAGTTTATGTCCATTGTTCAGAGACAAAGAAGCAACCGAGGGCCAGAAGTCGTTGACTGTGTGCTTTCTCGTGGTTGAACCTAACAATCACCGGTAGCTTCTCGTCCGACTAGACATCACTTATCGGATTTACAAATCCAAGAAGCCCGGCACCCAGCAGGCTGGATATCCTATCGGCGACAGAGATACATATCGAGTGACAGGCATTAGGTACAGGCTTCCCGTACCGACATCGATCAATTGATGCATGCCAGATCAAGAACCTAGACGATCAACCCCCTTTTGATTTTCGTTTTCGTTTGCAATAAGTCGATAGATCGAAATCGATCTGGGAACAATCAACAGTGCTCGATCTAGTGACTGCAATGCGATCATTTGGGTAATCTAGTGGGGCTGTACCTGAAGTTCCTCGCGCTTGAAATTGAGGCTATACTGTACATGCTGACTGCCTCTTCCCTGCATTGGAGAGGCACCGAAGATCTAAACTCCTTCGCACCAATGCGATACACAGTACAAGTTATGCAGACCTAGAGTAGGTACTCACACGATTGAAAGTGTCTTGTCATGCAACAAAGAACAATAAAGAACACAGAATAACTACAGGAGACAGATGCAATACTGCTGTACAGCAGGTACTGTACACTACATAAGGGGCTAGCTGGCCAAAAAGTTGCCACGGTTATAACGAGACCCCTCCCATCTCGGATCTATTGGCTACACGTGCATTTCACACATTGCTAGTCTGATCAAGATTGGCTCGGATGTCTCCGCTTCTTTTTGCCAAAGGAAGCTAGTGTTATCACCAAGTATACAGTATGACCAGCCGCAGGATTGTTTACCCGTCGGTTAGTCGGCCACTGTCACAAAATCACCAACGATTGACATGTAGCTTACGCGAACATCTGTGGAGCAACTGGGTCGCAAAGTAGTGCGCCTATCACTAGAGATCTTACACCGAATGAAGACTAGTGAAGGCCCATGCTGACGTCAAGGCCACATAAATATCGTTCCGTATGACGGTGGCGGTTAGGGTTAGATTGAGGATCCGATAATGACTCGTAGCTCTCGGGGCCTCAAATAATGCGCGAATGAAATACTCCTTGGAAATAAAAAAAGAAAGCGAATTTCACTATGTCGGCACGGCCCGTAGGAAGCTTCAGAAACCACTGCAAAGCCCACTGGTAGGTGGGCTCCCCCAGCCACATTGTGAACTGCATTGCAGCTGTCACCTGTCTAACGGCGGACAGGTACAGCCTGTACAGTACATAAAACTGCATCCTTTTACGTCTTTGCCACTGTGGCCCCCGCGACTCCCCGATTCCGCAGATGCAAGTTGCTTTTTTGCCCAGGTAGGTATACGGAGGTATTGACAGTATAACATATTACCTGTATAGAAGTGGAACGATCTACCCGAGACTGCACGACCCCTACTGACCCCTGCTCAACAATGCTGATCATGCATTATTTACTTATCCACGAGCCGTGATTACATGGTCGATATATCTTGCACTGGGGATTTGGGGAATGATGTCAAAGACCGATACTAATGCCGTGTTCGTCACTTGTGTATCGACGATCTGACTATCACCCAAGTCAGTCGTAATATTCCCAAGGGTTATCGGGGACATGACCGTACTCCATGGCGTTGTTTTAATTCATGTGCGGAAGTCATCCCCTCTTCCCCCCTTTTGATAAATTTGATGGCGGCATATCATCGGCATAACTCGAAAAAGGAAATGGTCTCCCGACGTAATTCTCAGTGCGCTGCTTTATCCCCTGTAATATACAGTACGATCAACTTTCATTGTAACCTCGTAGCCTCGTACTGTCGACAGGGGATCGTTTAACTGTGACACAGTGGGTCATATCTCTATCTATGATCTATACAGAATACCCGACACGCTCGGAGCCTTGGGTTCCGCCCTTGAAGGCGACCCAAAAGCGGAGATGGGAAAATGAAGAGGAAAGATGACCTTGAGACAATGGTAGCACATTGTAACGAATAATCTCCGTCTCATGCTAGCACCTGGTAGGCTGCAGGCAGTGAATAGGGTGATAGAGTGGGGGGTAATGGGGACTGTATATGGTGGCTTAGTTCCCTGTGCATAGTCAATCCGGGGGCTAAAAGAGACCAGAGAAGGCTAGCAAAAGGAAGGCCTTTTATAGACGGTTACATCACCATACAGACAGGGGGGAAACAGCTGTTCACGACCTAAGTATGCAGGTTATTGTTCAATAATTTTCCCACCTGCTGTGGGTGGAAACTATTTCTGTCACTTGAGACACCGCCGTCATGTACATACCATAGGAAGCATGTCCAGCGGCACAGCATGCCGTTTATCTGTGCCAAATTTCAACAATGTCGATGTATTCTCGCGGAGAATTACTTCGCGAGTCCGGATCCCGGTCGAAGAAGGATATTATTATTTCTTGGCGTTGTTCATGCCCAACAGTTCCAATTTCCAGTTGTATGGCCCCTCGAGACAGTGGGACTCAATGGAAGCGAAACCACACATCAAAAATAAATCAAAGTCAAACTGGAACTAAACTAGATGATTCAGCTGAGGACCCAACGGTTGAAGAATTTGACAGAGAACGATGATCGGCATAAATCTGTGGGCGATCGATCCATGTGTGGGCAAATACCACCTGATCTATGATACATTTGAAGAGGCAAATACAGTAGTACTAAAAAAAAATCATTTTGTTTCCTCATATCAGGAATCTCCAAAAAAAAGCAATAACCCAAGCAAGAACGAGGCAAAGAGGCAGGAGATAGATCGCCTTCGCCATGAGGCACGCGCCGTGTGAACACCCGCAAAGATATTTCCCAATCCAAGTAATGGATATGCACAAAAATACACCTTGCCTCTAGTCTATTGGAAGGCTGAATTGGATTTGTCGAGGAAAGAAAAACAAAATCAGACGACAGAAAAACACCAAAAAGACATCGTAAAAATAGACAAATTATGCAAGTCAGCTTAGTTGCTGAGCCTTTAACCACCAAATTTCTTTCCAGCACCTCCTTTTTTTCCCTTGTTTTCATGTATGTGCGTGCGTGAGCGTGTGTGTGGCTTCCCTACACACCATGGTGGAGATCGGCCGGACCATCGGATCCTGTCATCATCGCCATATTATGATCCGACTGTGATGCATACCAGCCCGCATGTGTTGCATGTGTCGGTGCAAATGTCCCATTCCCGGGTGTTGTTCCCATGGAATCATAGAACGACCCATTGTTGACTGGGGGCAGGTTTGTACAGCCGATCACGGAGTCCATACCGTATCTCTGTAGAGCATTGTCGATTGGCGGGGCGAGGACAGGTGAAATGTAGGGTGGCATCATTTGAGGGTCCGGGTGAGGGTAATGACCGTCCATGGGGTAAGATTGCAGGGCCATTGGATGGTGGTGATAGATTTCATTTGGCTCGTCATGACTGGTATTGAGATGCCGTGTCTTCAATGCCTTTGAGGGATTCCCACCCTTGGCCTCTGTGCGCTGGCGCTGAGCGGCACGAGCATTTGCACCTAGTGACTTTCGTGTCGCACTCACTGACTTGCGGTATCGAGTGGTCGATTGGACGTGGTTACGGTGAATCGCCTCAGGTGTCAGGCGCCAAAAGTTCACTGACTTTTTGCCCGGGCCCGATTCTTCCTTGACGGCTTCAAATCCCTGCATGAAACTATTAGTACTTGTGTCAAAGGGAGAGGGGGTGGAAATGAAGCGACCATCAAAGTCGAAACTGATATCCAGGATCATAGAGCGGGGTACTTACTGCATTCATAGACAAATTATGCCGGATACTGTTTTGCCATCCTTTTGAACCCGAGCTTTTGGCCTTGTCCGTATTCTTCTCGAACCAATTGTAGATGTCCTGAAGAGGGAGCTTGTTGTCTTTGGCCTCCTTGAGAGCCCGGAAAATCAAATGAGAATACGGAGTTGGTCCAGGTCGATCTTCTCTATCATCCTCACTAGACTCCGGTGAAAGCTGGTCAACTATTTGAACAGTCATTGTTGGACTGGCGATAATCAAGGACTCTGGCGATTCGTAAGAGGAGATAGTCGACAGTGGTGATGGGGGAATGTGTTGCACTGCATGGACAGGCTGTAGGTGCGTGGAAAATTGACAAATTTCATCCCCTTTGAAGACAGGCAAGGACTGCAATTCTGTCCAATCTGAATGGCCTTTAAACTGCCTTGTTCCTTCGGACGTAGCTGAGCCCATGCATGGGTTAGCCATGGTGGAGTCGGGACGTGAATGGGTGTACAAAGTATCAACGTAAGCAGCTTGGCTGTGTTGATGAGGATAGTCATGATGTGCGTTGGCATCGTATTGGCCAGAGTCAACCACATAAGGATTGGGGAAGGTGGGTTGATGAAGGGGTGCCATGGTCATGGTCTGGTGAGATCTAAATCTCGACCAGTGCTCTGCCTGATGACCAGGGTTGTAAGGTTGGGGAGAATTGATGTGATAGATAGGGTCTAGAGAAGAAGACTCAGTTTGCTGTGCCGAGAAGGGATGTTCGCTTGCTCGGTCTATTGGCAAATGTGCCATCTGTAGACGAAGAGCATCGATCGAGTTATCCATCATCTCTCATCAAGTAACTTTGATAATGTTCTGAAGGAAGTGAAGAATTGGAAAAAGTGAGAAGAGAAAGACGGCAAAATGAGGATAAAAATACTAAGAAGAGAAGGTCTGCGTCAAAGGATAAAGACGACTGAAGAAGTACTGTAGAGAGCACAAAGTGAATCCCCAGCTGTCACCATTCAAGATTGGAGCTGTACACTTCAAGAAGCCACTTAGGCACGATCTTCTCTGCCAGCACATACAGTACGGCACATGCTCTTTTACCTGCAAACAGCCTTGAGATGCATTTTAATCCAAACAAAAGACGGTCTGGGCCAAATTCTTTTCATTTCTTTTTTTTCCCAGGGTTTTTTTGGATTTCTTTTTGAAAGGGATATGGAGCGACTAGTACTGCGTACGGAAAACGCCTCCCTATATGCCCAAGTTGTGAAACAATCCATAGCCTAGACAGCCAATGATTGCATAAAAGGACAAGGTGGCTGGATACTGGATCTAGTACCACTGGCATAGAGAGGGCCCTGGTGGGCAGCTGCAGTGAAAGTCATCTCTAGGTTGAAAAGCCAACTTTCTGGAAGTTAACCGCTAAATCGCCGCTGGCGCGGTTCTGGAAAAGGGCCCGCTTTGCCTGAATTTTGTCTAGCCCAGACGTTAATTTTCTTGTTTTTTTTTTCCTTTCCTGATCACAGGCTGCATACAGCGAGCCGGAAGACAGAATCATCCTGCACTCTGCAGGCCGGGATAGTGTCACCACAGCCTCCAACGTCTCCCGTTTCGCGAGAGAATACCCTAGTAAAAAAGGAATAAAAAAGAAAAGGAATAATAAAAACTGAGCCCAAGCGGTATTCATCGATACACTAGTTGCCCCCCAGATGTTCAAAGGGGAGCGTTGGTGAGATGTGAGGTATGGCCAGCGGTCAAATCAAGGTAGTTGGAACAAGCGTTTGATAGTCCCCCAATGTATCGAGTCCGGCAGAATAAGTGTTAAAACTTCGGGGGTAATGTTTCCAGCCCAATCAATCCGGGTTTGACTGGATTCATTGGGTGTCGAGCATCTGGAAAATACACCCCGAACGTTTCCTGCGTAGTAATCCACCTCTCCATCCCGAAATGACGCCCATGTGGAAAGTTGTTGCGCATGTGTTACTTTCGGTAATAGATCTGAGACAAGTTAGCGAAGTTTCTTGAACAGTAGAATTTGACCTACCCTCTTGAACTGGAAGTGAAGTTGAAGAATTCCCTAAAAAGAACAATTACGTCAGTGGAAAGGGCTTGTAGAGTTGCACGGCATAACTGACCTTGTCGAATGTACTCTTGAACCCCCTCTCACGCTTTGCACTATAATCCCATTCCTTGTCGACAATTCGGAAAGCAATGTCTTCGTACGGTGGTCCAGCCATAAAACGAATGAGACAGGTGTCTTCCTCGCCCGCTTCGGCCGTCGATTCACCACGCTTGCGACCGTTCTCACGTTCGATGCGATATGTTGGGGCCTTAGCTTTGTCGATCAAGTCGGGGTAAAAGATGTTGAACTTGTAACCCTGTACAACCTTAGGTGGTGGGTTATCATGGTCATAATGGGTTTGGTTGTACTTGTTCCATTCGTAACCCATTTGAACGCGATTGAAGTATCGGGGTTTTCTAGGTCGATGCTTACCAGCCCATTGGGGTTGCGATACTGTACTGACGGCCTCTTCGCCAGTGAAGATCTCCTCATTCTCGCTGACACCCTTGGCAAGTTCCCTTTCGTAAAGCGCTTTGGTCGCCTGTGAGAAGTCCTCGTTCGGGATAGAGGAGAACCTGGTGGATGTAGAGGCCGCGGGCGTGCTCGTAGATGCTGGGGTTGCCATTACCGTGGACTTATCATTAGCTCGCTGACGCAGTGGGACAAAGCCCATACGGAGAATTTTCTGACGTTCGCGGGCCTGTGTAATGAATTAGCATGTGGTCCGACAGCAGATGATGCAAGAGCACTTACCACTTGGTTAAGGAATGCAGACTCATCCATGATTTCCAAAACCTTGTCCTCGGGGCGAACTTGGAGCAATGGATCTGGATCCAGGCCTTCAAATTCAGCAGGGTTTGCGATATCGCCCGCAATGACGACAGGAGCAAGAGGCGCCAATTTTGCTCGAATTGATTCAGCTTCCTCCCTCTGTTGCTTTCTCAGATCACGGACACGCTCCTCTATGATGATTTGATAAACGTTCCTCAGTCTCGCCCTTGCCTTCCAGACTGTGAGACTACGAAGCAGTTCTTCCCAGTAGTCTGTATCGATTGGCTCATTCGAGTTCAGCTTTCTTCTCACTTGCACTTCGAGATTTTTTAGTTGTTCGTAGGTTTTCGGGCTCAAGAGCTTGTTGATATCTGCAGCTACAGAGCTTAGGGCACGTCCTTCGGGTGTAGAGGTCTTTTGACGGTCTCGGCAGATAACTTTCATCGTCTAAAGAATAACGGTGGTCAACATCATCCTTGAGTGGGATCCCAAAGAAACCTTACCTGCCAGAAATCGCGGTTCTGCGCATTTGTTTCAAGGCTCACAAACGTATCAATGTCCTTCTCCAAATCTTGTAGCTGGGTTTGTGACAGACCCTCAAACACGCCGTCTGGATCCACGACATCCAAATCGGAGTCTGCAATCTCATCATCTAGAGGATCGCGTGTAGGGTCGATAACACGGAGGGTGACCGTGAGCCAGTCGATAGGTTTTGCGCGACCTTCCTTCACGCGGATCTCTGCCTTCTTCTTGGCCTGCTTCAACACGAACACGTCCTCCTGCGCAACCCACTCGCGCACTTGCTGGTCTTCTTGGAGCAAGTTGAGGCGGACTTGATCGCGCATATTGCGCGGCTGCTGAGAGGGACCGGGTCTGGCATTATCCCAGTTGCGATCGGAGTCTTGTCGACCGCGCCATTCTCGATCGTCCCGACGGGGATGGTTCTGCTGGCGCTGCGAGTACGGAGATCGCGACCGGTCACGCCTCGAATCTGATCGGTCTGGAAGTCGTGAAGACATTGCGCTGTGAAAAGATTAAAGAGTAACAAAGACGCTTGAGGTCAGAAAGTCGGGAGATCTGCAGGAAAGTGACGCGGGCGGCAAACCTTCCCTGTGGGCCCCCAGGCAGCTATGACAACTTCCCCGTGAACATACACAACCACGTTCAACAATGCCTTCACCATGGCACCGGCTCTATCTGTCTCATGGAGGCCCGCCTCTGTTGCTCTTTCAATATATTTGGACTCATCAAGGCTATGAAATATACTTGACGGATCTTACCTATGTTTGGGCAGAACGGTTGTTCTATAAAGACATCGCTAAAAGAGCAGAGGAAGAGGCCACAACCATCGACCCTGGAGAGGATCCTGAGCAGCTCAAGGTCCTACTGGAGAAGATTGAGCAAGCTCTACAGAGGGGCAAAGAAAGTACAGTGTTAAGCAGTGGAACGCAAACCGACTCGCTTGAAATCACAACAACAAGCAAGCTACCAGCCCCGTTGAAGCCTCTTGTGTGGCCTTTGAAGCTTTCAAAAGAGCCCTTGTCCTCTGCAACAAGTCGTCTGTTGATACCACTGCTGAAAGAGGAGGTGGATAGGGAGTCACGTCAGCGCTCTTTGCTCGGTCAGATCAAACAGAAAGATTACGTGCTAAGCAAGTTGTTCGACAAGCTTGAATCTCTCGGTGCTGAACTGGGCTCTGTTTTTCCAAGCGCTGCTGGATTACGCACATCTCGCAAAGGCAGTACCCGGTCTGAGGCTGGAAGATTTGTGAGAGGCATTGCACCGTTTGACGAGGAGGCCTGGCTCGCTGATTTAGGATCATCCACTGGCACAGGATTTGGAAGCAACCTGTTCCAGGAGATGTCAGAATCAGGCAGTGTCGAGGAGTTGGAAAATATTAAGGAACAGGGTGAATGGTGGCGTCAACTGCAGCACCGCTCTCAGAAACATACAAGAGAGACAACTCCAGACCAAGAAGAAGCAGTCGCCTCGAGTCTCAATAAGCAAAATACAGCTGTTGAATCACAATATCATGAGGAAGGCGAATCGACGGCAAACAGTGATCTAGATGAATTTGAGGTATGTCAAACCTCATCCCTAATCCTCCTAACAGTATGATTGATTCTACTATCTAGCGACAAGAAACACCACCTCATCTAAAGCTTCCAAATGCCAAAGAATCGATTTCATCACCAATCCCAAAGTCCAAAAGGAAGAGTCCAACTCCACGAGCTCCGTCAGAAACAGACGAAGCTACGGCATCAGATACCGACTCTGAGCCTGAACCAGCACCAAAGTCAGCACTACAGAAAAACCGTATCCCAAGTAGTTCGCCGGAACCTGAGCCTGTCGCTCCAGCTTCATCTCCACCTAAAGCACGGGAAGCACCACAGAAGAAGCCAAGAGGCGGATTGGGTGTAATCGGCGGCAAGAAGAAGAAAGAACCAGAGCCAGCGCCAGAGCCAGAGCCAGATTCAACCCCTTCTCCCACATATCCCAAAGAAGAGTTAAAATCGCGAGATGAAGAAAACAATGGCCATCCTGGTTCAATATCCCCAGCGCCAGTCAAACCAAAACGCACCGGCAAACTGGGTATGATCGGTGGCAAAGCCAGAGCCAAAGCTAAACAACTATCCCAAGATGAGACACCTTCATCTACATCCCAGACAGTAGTCGCCTCACCTGAGAAAACATTACCCAACAAACCCAACCCTGCTCAGGATGGTAATACCCCCGAGCCAGCAGATCAGCAGACCATCAAGCGGGAAGAATCCCCCCTACCAAAACCAGCTGTCGGGAAAGCTAGCACCGCTCCCCCTGCGGAACCAGAAACAGAAGATCAGCGGGCATCTCGCAAACGCGAAGAATTGAAACGGCAGTTGGAGGCAAAAAGTAAAGCCCCCGCCAAGAAAAAGCGGCGCTTTTGATTCTGGGGGCATGATCTCGGAGGAAGTTCCCTGTTCACTGTGGTCAAATCAGTCTTGTGATCTTGCTAGTCATGCTCACGGGTACCATGATGAGGGCACTAAATTATGTCTTGGGTTTGGGACAGCATGAACCTATTTGAATTTGGAAGAATATCTGTTCAAGGTCCATCTAGCCGAACCAGTCATTTTATTATGTATCGCGATAGGGGAATCAATTCAGAAGTAAGATAGAGCGCCCGGCCATGACCCAGAATTGAAAAAAAAAGAAAGAAAGAGAAAAGCAAAAGAGGTAAAAAGCTAATACAAATACACCACAAAGAGGGGGCGACTGGGCACAAGTCAGGTCTATTCCTTGAAAGCAAGGCCCACACGAGTTTCCTGCTCTTGCTCAGTAGGCGTAACAAGCCTAACCCGCTTAGGTGACATAGCACCAGACGAAATAGGCGTCGGGGCAGCAGTAGTATTCGTCGACGTAACAGGCCCAGCGCCGCTTCCACCAGTAGCAGCAGCGACACCGGCAACGCCAAGCATACCGCGAACCTTCTCCACGGCTTTACTTTCACTTTTAGTCCAAGGATCCCGCTTGACGAGGCCAGCGCCAGCAGAGCGACTTGCGGAATCACGACGCTTGGACTCTGTCTGAATGGTTTGGCGGTTTACTTCGCGACGGGGACCGGGGCCGCAGTCGTGCATACAGCCTGCTGTTGCGCACCCGCCTTCGCTGATGGTTACGTCGCCCAGCCAGGTTGTTATGCAGGCTAGGTGGCCGCCGTGGCCACAGCCTTGGCACCAGGTCCAGATGGCGGAGCCTTTTGATCTGGGTGCTGAGAAAGGTGCGAAAGTCTCCATTTCCGAGTCCGAGACGGGTTCTGTGGGGACGGAGGATTGGGATGAGGTGTGGGAGAGGGTCTCGGAGTCTGGGTTTGGGCTCGAGAGGGTGGATGAGGTGGGCTGGGGTTGTGTTCGATCTGTCGCCCATTCTGGGGGAGGTTCAAGGCACATGCAGATGGAGCATGGTGCTTGAGGTGTGCTGCAGCGATAGCAGCGGGTATTGTCCTGTTTCGGATTCTCAAAGGGTCGTTGACAGGTGTAGCAATATACATTGATAAACGAGTCTGCCTGCGCGTAGTCGTACACAGCAGGGTAGGTTTCCACACAGGACAGACGGAGTTCTGCGGCTTCCAAATCCATTGAGTGCCGGATGAGGTGCTCATTATAGGTCTTGAAGACCATTTCACATTCTTCATACGGCAGGATTTCCTCGCAGTCTTGGAAAAGAACATGGAGCTTCTGTAGGAGATGGGCGGCTGTCTGGATATCAACAGAGCTACTGCTGCTGTGATAATAACGAACTGCTTCCTTCAGGATTGTTTCAATGCTCCACGGCTTCAAATCTGTCCCATCAGGCATAAGCGGAATCTTTACTCGTGAAAAATCGTCGTTTGCGGAATAAGGCGCGGTGGCCCTGTAATTTGAATCGCCAGGGAAGGTCATTTCTACCTGCGGTTCAAACGGGGTTGACTCCTTGATTAAAGGAGGAGGACTGGATGGGCGCTGGAGATGCAGTCGATCGGTGTCTAAGACCTCATTTTCGAAACTCTCGTCTTCGGATTCCTCGCGCGTAGAAGCTAGATTCGAACCTCTTCTCATCCCAGAAGATTGGCTAGCATCTGGCAACCTGGAAACATCAAGCTGCCCGGTAGATGAGTATGAAGCTGCGATAGATCTTGATGGATGCGAACTGTCTGTCGATGTAGAGAACATGGGGAAACTTTCTGAAGAATCGTGCCGTCCATATCGTTCAGTCGAGGGAGGCCGGTTGGATTCCATCGCTGACTCAAGAGTCAAGGGCTTCTTGGGGTATTGCCTGAAATCACGAATAGCTGCACGTTTGTCCTCTAGCTTTTGGTCATAGTCGTCTTCCGAGGTTTCCCGAGCAAAGTCTGTGTGACGATGCCGGCGCCAATCTGCATTGCCAGCAATGGCCCGAGGTGCAGACCGTTGCTCATTGTCCAACTCTTCCTGGGTTGGATCTCGACGGTGGTCTGGCAGAGCAACATCATCAATAGAAGATACTTGCACCTGGGGGTTGGGTTTATGACGAGCTTCGGTGTCTGACATCCCCCAACCGTTATGAGAACTCAGAACCGATGGTGGTAGAGGATCAATATCAATGGCCCTGTCATCTAATGATGGTATGTGAGAATCATCAGTGCTAGACCAGGAGTCCATAACTGGAGAATCTGGTAATGGTTTCGCTAGAGGGGTTGTCATGTTGGAGGTGCTTTCAACCTCGGGCACGGCTTCCATGACCCCTTTAAACAACCGACTTTTAGCCCTTTCGTGTCGGCCATCTTCGCGCGACCTGTCCAACAAAGAGCTGTCTTTGGATGTTCTGTCTCTCAGGCCGCCTTGGGCCGGTTGCGCTCTTGCTCGGCGCTGAAGCTCTTGGAGAATGGCAAATTTGACGATTCTCCAAGTCTGAGCCACCTTGATCAATGAGACCTCGTCAGCACACTCAGCATTCCGGTCTAGGGATTCGATCAAGGTGTTGAGAATATCAGCCTGTGTCCTTGTTTCTCGATACTCGTCCATCAATGGCGTGTAGTTGCTTGCTAGATACCGGAAAACTTCTGGGTCATTCGTAGCACCTGGGATCATGGCAATAGTTCCCAACTGACTGGGCGCAGGAGTCGCAATCTTAGCCAGGGCCTGATCAAGGGGCAGGACCTGAATGGAATCCACTGTCCCCGGTGAAGTACTCCCCAAGAACTTGGATGGTCGAGTTGTAGCCGATTTGGTATTTTGGTTATGAAGAGAAGTAGCTAAGGCTGCTTCATCAATGATATCATCGCCGGGACTTTGGCTCAACGATTTCTCATCGGTACTATCCTCGCCTTCCTCATGAAGTAGAAATTCGGCAGCATTGACTCCCAACGGGCGTCGCCTGGGCCGCTTCTGGGCAAAGGCAACGAATTCGCCATTAGGACTCCAGGCCACCGAGCACATCGGTCGGCGATTGATCACGGCTGGCGCATACCGTACATCTGTCTGCGTAAAGGCTCCGGCCTCACCGACGGTCCACAGGAGGTCTTTGGATCGCCACAGTAAATCCGATGCAGGGGAGTCGTATCGATCAAACTCACGGAATGGAACATGGGGGCGTCGAAGATCCCAGAGGTGGACACGGGGATCTTCTTTGTCGTAGGACGTGACGACTTGAGATGACTGCCATTCTCCCGAGGCAGGTGACTCGCCAACCCAAGAAGGAGGCCGCCATCGCACATTTGTGACCGCCTGGGGTGTTCGGAACTGGAACGCAGGTTTCTGCCGTCGCTCTGCAGACGAGGAGAAGTCCCACACTTTTACCTGGCGGTCTGTACCACCACTGACTATATGCTTGCCGTCGGGATGCCAGTCCACGGCGAAACATGGCCGATCGTGAGCGGCGATTCTCATCAACGGTGCATTGCCCTTGCGATAATCCCACATTTGAATGGCGCCGCTGTCCGAGGCGGTCGCGAACACAACTCCATCACTGGGAGACCATCGGACGTCCCGGATAGCATCGCTATTGCCCTGGTACACATGTTTGCTGCCGCACGTGGAACTGCCCCGATTCGCAGAGGCGGCGCGCAGATCCCACATTCGAATCGTGCCATCCTGACTGCCCGACAAGAGCCAAGATGGGAAATGGGGGTTGAAGGCGAGCCTATGAACCTGGCGGTTATGGCCTTGGAAGCGACATAGTTGGAGACCGGGTCGCTGCAGGTCGTAGACGACAATCCGACCATTTGCAACTGCAGTTGCGATTGTCCGGTCGAAGGTCCCATGTGACCATTTGACGTCCTTGACATTCAATTGATCTTTATGTGGCATCGACACACCAGCTTCATGATGGTTGGATGCATAACTGATGACGGCATTTCGAATATTGAATTCTTCCGAGGAGTGGTCGGGGGAGACGCGGATGGTTTTGAGTATCTCCTTGCCCGCAATGACCGCATGTGTCCGTTCCGGCGATATGTCCAAAGCCGTGATCGCGATCCCTGTTTTATGGGTCACCGTCTGCGGTTCTCCTGGTCTTTCTCGAAAACGCATTAGACATGATTCCATTGGCTGATCCCACTCACGCTCCCACTAGCCCCGATGACATCAAATCGCGCGTGGGGGAGGGGGGTGCTTGCAGGTCTAGAAGACATGGAATATCAGAGCGGTGAGAGACATACAGCGATTTCGATCTGATTGATCGGGGACCATCCGCACGACTGCTTTGTGGACTTGGAGGCCTCGAGCCAAAGAAGGGCGCGAACCTCGCAAAAGCACTGGCGGCCCGATTGGAGTACTTTTGTGGCGGCGGAGGGGGAGGGGGAGGGACCGGAGAACGCGAACCTGAAAGGTCCGACATCATTCAGTCGAGTCAGGCTCCATACTGGGCACACGACCAGAGAAGAAGCGGAGAGTTGGGAAGATCGTCAATTACGGGGCGGCGGTGAGAGGCGATCCCTGAGGCACCCATGCCTTAGTCTGGGTCGAATCGCTCCCATATCACGTCGAACACGTACCGAACCCATAGAACATTCTGACAAGGCACCATTCAGGTAGTTGTACTCCTCCCTCTCCTCCACTCAAAATCTAGATTGTCAAACGGTCTGCAAGACACGAAACACATGTTAAGAGCGGTCTAGATAGACAACACAGAACAGGAGGATTGGATTTGTCTTACTTCGATCGGGCTTGACCGGGGATTCGGGACGTGGGACAAGAAAGCACATGGGATCTGGAACGCCTCCAAGCTGTTCATGGCTTCGCTCTTCTGATCTATCCATTTCCGTCACGTTTGGCATGTCTGTCACTGCATGGCTGCCACTTGCGCCCACTGCGGCCACATTCGGTCATTGCTGTCGACCTCGGACGATACCGACATGTTAGGAGTCCCTCTGTGGATGGGTATGGAATTGATCAATCGTCATTGTGGTGGTTTTGGAGGCATTCGGACGATTTCAACTCCGACCATTGGGCCGCTGGTGAACCGATTGAGGTTTGGACTTGAGCAAACAAGAACTGTCTTGCAAACAAAAGAACCAAAGCCAGAGCCAACCGTTAGAACCCCCAATATCATCCTCCTGTACAGTGTAGACGCACCGCAGACCATCCCATAAGAAGCTTGGAAAATCCCGGTGGATCCCTTCCTTCTGAGCTGCAGCATCCACACCGTACTTCTCTATTTTCCTATATCAGACCCCATTCTCGCTTTCTTCATACACTGAAACATCCATCTCTTTTCTTTTTCTGTTTTCGGTTTGGGGAGACTGGATCTGGCATGCTTTTTTTCTCTTGATTTCGTGCTTCCCACTGTCCAAGGTTCACCACGTGGAAACCCGGTTAGAGTGAAGTTCCCCCCCCCCAAATCCCTCGCGTCGATCCTTCACCAGACCCGTCCAGTCCTTTCCGATCCGAACTCTCCTCCTCCCTTCCCACTGTCATGGACCTTTGAAGTCTTCATTATGGATCCCCACGCAGCTCTGGAGCTGCTGGAGTACCTGCGCACCTGCTATCCTATCTTTCTCCTTATCCTCTTCGTGGCGGCGTTTGTGGCAAATACCACCGTCACCGTCAAGAAGGCCAACAAGCATGCATCGGAGTCCTTGGGACCTGGAGGCCGCTCTCTGCCTCAACGCTCACGAGCTAAGCCAGCCTACCAGAAACCCCAGGATTTCTCTTTAAATACGAAACGCGTGTTCAACTTGCTTTCGGTGGGAATTATCCTCACATTCGTTGCTGATGCAACTATCTATATCACCCACGTTATGGTGGCCCGGGCAGAGAATTGGTGGCGAGGACAATCCGTCGTGGTAAGTTGGCTCGGCTCTTTTTTTTCCTCCCCGTGGTCGAGAGCTGACCTGTCTATAGATCTACATCGTCGGCTCGTTCTTCGTCTACGCTGTGATGCTCATGGCGTTGCTCGACACCTCTCCTGCCCCGACCCTCGCCCAATTTAGCTGCTGGTCGATCGCCATCCCAATTGAATTGGTTATTCTTAGCACATCCCTGTCGTTGTACACCTCGGTTCATCACGAGCCCATTGTGGGAGATCCAGAAGGAGGCCGGCTCCGCAAGAGCATTACAACATGGGAATGCATGGAGGTAGTGTCAAACAGTGTCCGAATTCTGTTCCTCTTCTCGCTGGTCCTTCTCTATGTCTGCCAGTCGTTCAGGATGAAGTGCCATGAGAAGAGGACAACCTATGCCAATGGAATCTCCGAGTCTACTGGACTGTTGGATCCCCATGCAACGGAGAATGGACACGGTAATGGCAATGGAACAGCCAATGGTAATGGTCATGCATATGGCTCAACGAACGGAGGGCCTCCCTCCGGGGCCGCCAAACCTCAGGATCCATGGGTGCGTCCTACTACGATCCCCTCTACCAGCTGGTGGGAGTATCTGAGTGGATACTCGCTATTTTTCCCATACCTGTGGCCCTCCAAGTCCCGCCGTCTGCAGCTGGTGGTCATGTTCTGTTTTGTCCTCCTTGTTGCTCAGCGCATTGTCAACGTTCTGGTGCCTTATCAAGTCAGCGTGATTACCAATGCCCTCACCAGAGATGACGGCGCGGAGTTCCAGGTGCCGTGGCTGCAAATCTGTCTCTATGTGATCTACCGTTGGTTGCAGGGCGGCCAAGGTTTACTCAGCTCCATGCGCTCTAGCCTCTGGATTCCCGTGAGCCAGTATTCCTACATGGAGCTCTCCACGGCTGCATTCGAGCATGTCCATGGACTCAGTCTAGACTTCCACCTCGGCAAGAAAACCGGGGAGGTCCTGTCTGCGCTCAGCAAGGGTAGCTCGATCAACACTTTCCTGGAGCAGGTGACTTTCCAGGTGGTACCGATGCTCGTTGATCTTATAGTTGCCATTGCATTCTTCCTAGTTGCATTCGATGCATACTATGCTCTGGCCGTTGGAATTTCTACCTTTGGATATCTCTATGTTACCATCCGTATGGCTCAGTGGAGAGCAGAAATCAGAAGGCAGATGGTCAATGCATCTCGACAAGAAGACGCTGTTAAGTATGAATAACCCCCGTGGATATACATCCAATGATTGAAACTAACATACACTTTTTAGGAATGACTCGATGGTTTCATATGAAACAGTGAAATACTTCAACGCTGAACGTTACGAGTTCAACCGATATCGGGGCGCTGTAGGTGATTTCCAAAAGGCCGAATACCACGTCTTACTTTCTCTTACATTGCTGAACACTTGCCAAAACACCGTGTTCATGATGGGCTTGTTGGTCATGTGCTTCATCTGCGCATTCCAAGTATCTACCGGTCAGCGTCCTGTGGGCAAGTTTGTGGCCCTGTTGACCTACATGGTTCAGCTGCAAGGTCCTCTGAACTTTTTTGGTACCTTCTATCGCTCTATTCAGTCTGCACTGATCAACGCCGAGCGCCTTCTTGAACTTTTCCGTGAGCAGCCGACTGTGGTCGATAGTCCCAGTGCTACTCCATTGGCAATGTGCAAAGGTGATATCAAGTTCGAGAATGTGCAGTTCGCCTACGATGCGCGGAAGCCGGCATTGAATGGCCTTACTTTCCACTGTCAGCCTGGAACCACGACTGCCCTGGTTGGTGAGTCTGGCGGAGGTAAATCAACTGTGTTCCGTCTCCTGTTCCGATTCTACAACTCGGAAAATGGCCGTATTCGCATTGACGGACATGATGTGCAAGATCTTACGATCGATTCACTCCGCAAGCATATCGGTGTGGTACCTCAGGATACTGTACTATTCAATGAAACATTGATGTACAACCTGAAGTACGCTAACCAGAATGCTTCTGATGATGATGTCTACGAGGCCTGTCGTGCTGCTAGCATCCATGACAAGATCTTAGCTTTCCCTGATGGATATAACACCAAGGTGGGAGAGCGTGGTCTAAGACTCAGTGGTGGCGAGAAGCAGCGCGTTGCAATTGCTCGTACTATCATTAAAAATCCTCGTGTCATCCTCCTAGATGAGGCCACTGCAGCCCTAGACACTGACACCGAGGAGCACATTCAAAGGGCACTCTCCACTCTGTCACAAGGACGCACTATGTTAGTGATCGCTCATCGTCTCAGCACTATCACCACCGCAGACCGCATTTTGGTTCTGTCCGAAGGTCAGGTAGCGGAAAGTGGTACCCACGAAGAGCTTCTTGCCATGAAGGGCCGCTACGCTAGTATGTGGCGGAAGCAAATCCGCGCTCAAAAGGCTGCGGAACAGGCACAAGTTCTCCAAGACCGAGCTGAGCGAATTCGTACAGCAACTACTAGCGACGATAGTTCAAGTCAATCAGATGAAGACCGCAAAGGCGGCCGCCGAACAAATTGAATCAACCCTGTCTGCAAATGCTAATCTAGCCCAGACACCCTTGTTTGTATCTCATCATGTGCATACGCTTTTCATAATTCTTTTTACAAGACAACTCCTCAGGCGCACTAATTATCGGAGACAGCAAAAAAATCCGGGGAGCGATCCCCGTTCGAGAGATGATTGCCTGCCATGTGTTTTTGTTTCTTTCTTGTTTCGGTCCTTCCCGTTGCCGGTTTGTGTTTTTATCTCATTCTCTCATTTTCTGCGTGTTGGCGTTTGGGTCTACGATGGGTACGATGTGATTGCCTTTCCTTTTGTCCTTGTTTCATATGAACCCGGGATGCAGAGGGGTCAGGGTTGGGACTCCTGCAAAAATTAAAAAATTAGATTAATTGCTACGCTGAATATTAATATAAGAACAATTCAATCTGAGACAAGTCCAAGGTTCAGGCTGTATAGACAAGTGTGTACAAAAAATTCTTAGATGGTTTGATCTCTTGCTTCAAGATAACTACTACAAAGTTATTTAGACTGAAATTGTACAGTAGGACTTGGATGGACTTAGACCTGGCTTTGCGCCATCTCCTACAAAAGCAATTCCCTTGCATTCCTACCAATAAGGAATTGATGTGACATTGCTCTCCCCCGGGGTATTCAAGGAAAAGGTCTCAAGCCAGAGGCACCAACCCCGGTCCGACTTGCACAGATCCCAGTTCGCCAAGACCGGGGGACTGAAAGCTTTCCTGCAACTCACCACAACCACCCGAGCGACAACATCACAATCCTATCAGGTCCAACACCACTTTCTGGCCGACAGACTCATCCAAAATGCACCCCCCATCTCCACAACTCCTTCGCGCCCTCCGCACCTCACTCACCACCCCAGCCCGACTCTCCCAATTCCCAACAACCTCACGATGTGCTCTCCCAAGACTGAGCCACCAAACCCCCTCTAGCAGACGCAACAACAGCTCCAATATCCGCCCATCCCGCATGGTCTCTCGCGCCCACGCTCATAAGCCTGCCAGTCGCGACCGCGGCCCAGAGTCGAACGAAGACACTGTGACGGACTTTGCCGCGCTGAACGTATTGGGCAATATCCCGGTGCCCACAACAGCCATTGACGCCACTCTTGACTCTGGCTTCCATCTCAACAGTGGTGTCAAGGTTACCGGTGGCGACGGTTTGCTGCTTGTTGGTGGTGAGGCTTTTGCGTGGAGGCCGTGGAAGGCTGTAGAGGGAGCACAGGATGATCGCGCTGCTAAGAACAGCATGATTAATGCAAAGGGCCAGTTTGAACTTGATGAATCTGTTTGGGGAATTTTGGACGTCGTTTGGCCTAAGCCTGGTAAGTCACTTTGGGGGGGTTCAGTGACAGTGTGGTGCTGTCGCCCACTGGGCTACAGTGCTGGGCTATCTTCTAGGATGCTGATCATCTTGCTAACCTCGATTTGATAGATATGCTTATTCTTGGTCTGGGTGCTTCAATGTTCCCTCTCTCGCCTGATACGAAGCGCCACATCAACTCATTGGGCATTCGGGTTGACATTCTGGATACCCGAAATGCGGCTGCTCAGTTCAATCTGCTTGCTACAGAGCGCGGTGTTGGTGAGATTGCTGCTGCCATGATTCCTATTGGGTGGAAGGGAAAGTCTTGAGGAGTTTGCTAGCTTCTCCAACAGACCAACATGTAAAATAGAGCCAATTAACGTTAATAGTCCTGGGCAGTATTCATTACACAAATTTCAGACAAATTCCTCTCCAAATTGTACCAACAAGGGTAGTCTCTGCTCAGCGCAACTGTAACCTCGTATCATAATGCAAGGAACGTGACGTATCATGTGAGCCCGGTTACTGAATCTTATCGGGTCTCAGGGTCCACCCGAGCCGTGGTGATCTTGACCTCACATACCCTGACTCACTCTTTCTGGGTTATAGCAACTGCAAAACTCGACCGTTCCGCCCTTCTCAACCCTGATTTTGCCTCTACCGCAGCCATGGCGCGGGAAGAGCCCCTCCTGGCCCAACGCCCGTCTTCCGACCGCTCGTCGATCCGAAATGAGGAGGAAGAGGAAGCCCTCCTGACCGGACAGCACACCACTCGCCATAACGAACGACGGAGCTGGGCATCATGGCGCGAGATTGGAATGTTCGCGTGGGCTTTTATTGCCACTATTCTCGTTATTGTTCTGGCGACCATATATCAGCACAAGGCGATCGAGACTCCTCATCACGAGCAGTCGAAGAACACAACCTGGGGACCTGGAGGAAAGCCAACGGGTAAGCGCAATGTCATCTTCATGGTTTCTGATGGCATGGGTCCTGCAAGTCTATCTTTAACTCGTGGTTTCCGGCAATATCGCGATGGTCTGCCCGTTGACGACACTCTACTCTTGGACAAGCACCATATTGGAACATCACGAACACGGTCAACCTCTAGTCTCGTCACCGACTCGGCTGCTGGAGCTACTGCATTCTCGTGTGGACTCAAGAGTTACAACGGTGCCATTTCAGTACTTCCTGATCACTCGCCGTGTGGAACCGTGCTTGAGGCTGCTGCGCTGGCAGGCTACAAGACGGGCCTGGTGGTGACGACCCGTCTTACTGATGCAACACCAGCATGCTTTGCTGCTCATGCTAATCTGCGCCAGTATGAAGATCTCATTGCCGCCCAAGAGGTCGGAGACCATCCTCTTGGCCGGGTAGTGGATCTCATGCTTGGTGGTGGACGTTGCCACTTCCTGCCCAAGTCTGCTGAAGGAAGCTGCCGGGCTGATGACCGCGATCTGATCGATTTTGCTTCGGGTAATGGCTTCACCACGATTCAGAACCGCTCCGCCTTTGATAGCCTCAATGGTGGCGAGGATGTCAGCCTGCCGTTACTAGGTCTCTTCGCCCACGGAGATATTCCTTTCGAAATTGACCGACGTAATCAGAATGAAAAGTACCCCTCCTTGGAGGAAATGGCTCGCACCGCCTTGAGGGCATTGAGCAAGGCCACTGAGAATAGCGATCAAGGTTTCTTTATCATGATTGAGGGCTCTCGCATCGACCATGCCGGCCACAACAATGACCCTGCAGCCCAGGTGCATGAGGTCTTGGCCTACGACAAGGCTTTTGCTGCTGTACTTGACTTTGTGGAGAATGAGTCTACTCCTACGGTGGTCGTTAGCACATCGGACCACGAAACTGGCGGACTTTCTGTGGCACGACAGCTGCACGAGTCCTATCCCGATTACGAGTGGCTCCCAGAGGTTTTGGATAAAGCAAGCCACTCGGGTGAGTACGTTCACGCTCAGCTGAGGGACTATCTTGCTGGTGCAGGCAGTGATGCCAGTGCATCGGACAAGAAGTCTTGGGTCCGTAAGCACCTAATCAAAGACGGGCTTGGCATCACCGATGCCACCGACGATGAGGTGGACGCTTTGCTCCATCCAAGGCCTCAAGTCAGCCCCCAGAATCTGTTTACGGATATGGTCAGTCGTCGTGCTCAGATCGGCTGGAGCACTCACGGTCATTCCGGTAGGTCAATATCCAATTAGAAACTATAACCACCTACTAATTTTACTTCAGCTGTCGACGTCAACATTTATGCCTCATCGTCCAAGGACGCCTGGCCCTTGGTTGGCAACAACGAGAACACTGACGTTGGCTCCTTCCTCGCTGCTTACCTCGACCTCGACGTTGGCAAGGTCACAGAAAAACTACAGGCTACCAAATCCGGCATCTTGAACCCATATGACTGGATGGGTGACACCTTGGGCATGGGTGTTCGCACCGATGAACTAGACTCCTACCATGGGCAATTCAAGAAGCGATCTGAGGATGACTGTGGATGTGGCGGCTCCCACTGAAGCACTCACTCATGGGTATGTGTCTCACGGACTTACAATCTAAACCCATTCTAGATATTTTCTGTTTCTGTCTACATCATTATACCAATCCTTCAATGTATCAGGCGCGGGCGTGTTTATTTCAGTACCTACTTTCGTACTTTCATATGCATTCAATTCAGTTCGGACATTCATTAGATCATAATATCATTTCGTGTACTTTTTGCTTCCACCCTTTGTGATATAAGGCATTAAATTCAAAACAGTGACGAAACAGGAGAACTACAGACAAATGAGTTTCTTGATTTCCCCTATCCGTATGTCTTTCTCTTGTCTGATGTGGTCTTATACCTTCACTTCACCACGCCCCAGCACAACCAGGACAATAGTCCATCATATCCATTACCCACTTGACCACGTTGATCTGCTCCTGTCCTTGTAAAGGGCGCCCATCGAGACCCAACGGCAGGATCTCCCCTATCAAGTTGGTATATGGGCTGCATCCCGAGCAATCTGCATCAAAGGGCAGGAGGTACTTATCACGCTCGGTCTTGTCATTGATACGATTGAGCTGGTGTAGGAGCTCATCGCAGAAAAGGTAAAGTTCAAAGCACGTGTGCTTGCAGGTGTTATGGTAGGTGCCGACAAAAAGGCACATCTTAGCCGGATGTGTTTTGGTTGCTCTTGGCCTGTCTGGAAACCGGGTGTATTTGTTAGTATGATTCTGCTCTTGTGTTGATGTTCTCGCGTGGGCTGTTCTACTTGCTCACTTCTTGTAGGGCTCAGTGCCCACGTTGGTGGGGTTTGTTTGGTGTGAGCACTTTCTGGATGCTGCAGATTTTAGAGTTGAGACTGTGGAGTGACTTAGGGGATTACCTGTTTGTCTTGTGTTTTTCAGGGTAGGTGTGTTGGGGGGTTGATTTTGGGATGAAGTTAGCTTGCCTGGTTTGAGGTGTATCGGAGATATGGGGGCACTGCTTAATGAGACAGTGATAACTATGCTCGGTTTATAATGAGATGACTTAAAGTATATAGTGAAATGTATACCATGCTGAAAGAGAGTTGACAGTGAGGCTTGAATGAACTATCTGATGCAGCTATCCTATTCCCGTGGCTATATCACTTGTTGTGATATTCTAAATTTCCGTCGATGAGAGGCTATAGAAGTAGGGTGAGAAGCGTAGTTATCAATTTCATGTGAGATACAGCCTAGTTATGGCAATGGCCGACCGAATTGCCCTGGCTCTGTGATTTAGTTTTGTACTGGATCCAGTGTCAGATCAAACACCACAAATATATATCGGGAGTACAAGCACATAATTGCCGACTCAGCACCTAAAGACCCAAGAAGTGAGCCTCAATCTCAAAATAGCCACCGTTGTCACCAACTGCGCCAAAACTGACATCGATACCAGAAGAAGATGTCGATCCAGAGGTATTCCAAAGGGTACTCAGCAATGGTCAATACTGCTCAGTATATGACCAAGGGATTCTCCATGACTGACGGATCTTATGATGGTATCACTGATTCTGAATGTCTTGATCGTCAAAGGTTCCTTGTTTCTTTCATTTCTTCCAGCATACAACCCTTGGTTCGATGAAAGACATCTGCTGCGCTAAAGCTCTATTGTATATACTTGTAAACGAGCAACTTCCCCGAGACCACGAAGGATACCTATACAAACTCCGCATGGAATCCAAAACATAAGGAACCTTAGATTTAGAACTGACCAATTCCAGTGAATCTCCGACGAGAAATACGCCGAAAAAGACTATGCCAGGGCAGGACAAAACCTGCCAAGCTCTAAGTAAGCTCTCACTAATACGTAGAACGTCCTGGAAAAAACATCAATTAGAGAAAGAATGACCCTCTTGAAGTAAATTCAGTTTAGACCTCTTTAATCAACAACAAAAAGAAACAATCTTGATGGAGAATCAAGATATAAAAAAAACTAAAAAAAGATGATGGCGTTACCCGGAATCGAACCGGGGCTATCACAGCCACAATGTGACGTCATACCACTAGACCATAACACCAATTTGATGAAGTAGGCCTCACAGTTCTTTATCATAACCTCATTGTTAGTTTCTATATACTACGGTTGAAACACAGAACAGAATGCCCAAGCAGGAAAAGGGTCGCAGTTACTACTGTAGTAGCCTAATAGTATCACCCGCTACTTCAAATCACGTTTAATGCCAGAAAAACCGTCAAGTCGATCAAATCCTCGAAGCTCATTCATGGCTTTTATTATCTCTCGTACCAACACTTATGACCTACAATAGCGATTGTGAGAACCTCCTATGATAGAGCATGAGTATAATTTCGTTGAACTAGTCGTTCATGTTCTCTATAAATGCATACTTATTTTGGGGTTGGCGGGGTCCCCCACATCAAAATAATCCATACCACGCCGGAGACACGCGCACATACAATCCTGATAACGATTCTGACCAAAGAAGCTTATGCCTGCAGAAATGAACTAAAGGATCAAGAATCAAGCTAAGAAAGCCACCCGAGCACGCCATTGGTGAGCTCCAAAACTAACGTTATCTGGAGTTTCATGCCGGGACTAGTCCAAAGCATACCCCTCATAGGATACTTAGTGTGGAATGATCTAGACAGCCACTCGTACATTTCTTAGCCCAAATAAGCCACTTGCCTTGCCCAACTTGATCTGTGGAGTGTTCCGATGTGTATGGTTAAATAAATTCACCGATGTACGTTTCTCGGGGGCTATATGGCGTTTTATTGATACTCCACCGGTCAATTCCAACTTGTATGGCGCAATCAAATCAGGCAAAAAGTACATACTCAGCGCCTGTTTGAAAGAAAAACCTATAGGGCTATTCGTAGGGAACTGTTCAGTTTGTTATCAAGTCTAGTGCATATGATAGCAATCTTTGATAGTCGGCCAGCGGTACTACTTAGTATCAAGACTCCGAGACTAAAGCTCGAACGCGTCAGCATGTGCCTTTGGGGGGATGATATGTTATCATGCTGGGTGGATCTATCGTGACTGTTGCACAGACTTGCCTTGGGGTCATATAAAGAATTGGGTAGTGCAGCCCTTGTTCATCTTTTCCTGCCTGGGAACCTGTCTGGATCAGATTTACCTGCCAACTGTGCCTAATCTCAGATATGGAAACTTCTAAAGTTTCAACCAAGAACCCTGATATCTCCGAGGCTCCGTCCTCTGATCTGGAAGCAGAGAATACCGGCCAAGATCCGAAAGATTTGTTGTATCGATCGGACCTAACAGAGCTTACGCCTGTTGAAGCATTCAAATGGAATGTAGAGGGAGACCAGTCGCCATGTAAGTTTCTCCATACGATGTGTCGAATACAGGTGCTTACACTTTACAGTTCCAGAAGTTGCGGCTTGCGTATCTAACAAAGATGATCCTACTCTCGCTTGTAATAGTATGTTCTCCTCCAAATAAGAGATGACCTAAGCTAATAAGCATCACAGCTGTCCGGGCCTGGATATTGATGACGATCTTTGTCATACTGTTCTCCGGAGTCAATCAATTTTTCAGTCTTCGATACGTATGTTCCTTCTCGCATCGGCAATGTGGATGTAGCTTTTGCTGACACTTTTTAGCCTTCTCTCACCATTGGCTATGTTGTTGCTCAAATTTTAGTATTCCCTATTGGTCGAGCATGGGAGAAGCTTCCTAGATGGAGGGTTCCTTTGGGGATATTTTCATTTGATGTCAACCCAGGGCAATTCACTATCAAGGAGCACGCATTCATTGTCATTGTGAGCAAATCCATTACCTTCGTACGGCAGGCAGATAGCTCGATCAATCTAACCTTTGACTTCAGTGCGTCAATATCAGCGCCACCGTCGCTTATGCTCAAGGCGCCCTAGTAGCGATCATCAGTCCAGTTTACTGGAATCGCAATTTTGGAGCTGGCTTCTGTTTCTTATACCTCTTGACAACCCAGATGATAGGGTAAGCTTCATCTGATTGCTATTAATTGAACTACCAAATAGCCAGCTAACCTTCCCTTCCTAGATTTGGCATAACAGGTCTTGCCCGCCGATGGATCGTGTACCCAGCAGCCCTTATCTGGCCTACTTCGCTATCCTCGACTGTTCTCTTCCGGGCACTACACGAACCTGAGAGCCGTACGCCAGCAAATGGTTGGATCATAAGTCGCTATCGCTTCTTTGCATACATCACGGCCTTTGCGTTTGTGGCATTCTGGTTTCCAGATTATATTTGGACCAGTCTTAGTACATTTGCTTTCATTACTTGGATCGTGCCTAATAATCAGAAAGTGAATACACTTTTTGGGGTAAGTACTTCTATTAATTTTTTTCTTCCAGATTTCCCACTCCATCTCGTGGAATGTTGCAACTAACCTTGTCAGATGAATTCCGGCCTGGGACTTCTACCCATCAGTCTCGATTGGACACAGATCAACTACGCTGGGTTCCCACTCACGACTCCATTCTATATTACCTGCAATGCATTCGCCGTAGTTGTGTTGTTCTATTTCTTCTTATCACCAATTCTGTACTATTCAAATGTGTGGAATAGCGCCTAGTAAGTTCCTAGTCCCCAGCTCACTTCACAAATGACCATACACTAACGAACCAGTCTACCACTTCTATCCTCCAGCACATTTGACAACACAGGCGGCTCATACAACGTATCCCGTGTTGTCGACGCAAGCTCCAACTTCATCGAGAGCAAATACAAAGAATACTCGCCCATGTACATATCCATGTCCTACTCTCTCACCTACGGACTATCTTTCGCCGCAGTAACTGCAATTGTGGTACACACCTACCTATACAACGGCACGGAGATCTGGGCTCGAATGAAGAATTCCCAGCATGGAGGTGAAGATGTTCATCGGCGTTTGATGCGAGCGTATAAAGAAGTCCCTGAATGGTGGTATGGTCTTCTTACAATTGTAACGATTGGACTTGGGATCTTGACAACTAAGCTCTGGGATACTGAGCTGCCAGTCTGGGGATTCATTGTTGTTTGTGTTGGGCTGGCTATGCTTTTGATGGTCCCTGAGGGCATCCTTCAGGGTACAACTAACCAGCGTGTGTTCCTCAATATCATTACGGAGATGATCGCTGGATATGCTTGGCCTGGAAAGCCGATTGCGAATTTGATGGTGAAGTGCTATGGGTATAATGCTGTGAAGCATGGGATGGACTTTGCACAGGATCTGAAGCTTGGACAATACATGGTGAGTTTGGTCCGAGTTATTCCTTGAGTTATGGATGCTTATTGCTCAGAAAATTCCCCCACGGGTTCTGTTCTTTGGTCAGATTTATGCTAGTATCCTTGCAACAGCAACACAAACTGGAGGTATGATTTTCCACCGGGGGTTTGAAACATTCAGTGTGAAGCTAAGAATATAATAGTGCTGCGATGGATGATTGGACACATCACCGATCTATGCGAGTCAACTAACAAGCAACGCTTCACTTGCAATGGTGCCAAGGTTATGTACAATGCATCCTTGATCTGGGGAACTATTGGTCCACAACGAATGTTCCAGTCTGGGCAGGTATATAACGGACTTGTATACTTCTTCCTCATTGGGGTGAGCTGCTCTTATCACATCTTGGGTCTTTCTCTTACTGACTGTCTAGCCTGTTGTTACTGGGATTGTATATCTGCTGTATCGCCGCTACCCCAACAGCTGGATCCGCTATGTGAATGTGCCGATTTTCTTCAACGCAGCTGGCAATATACCACCTGCCAATACCAGTATGTCCCCACTATCATTGGAGTAAGGTACGATGAATCTAACCAATTAGCCCAATACTCTCTTTGGTTCATAGTCGGCTTCATCTTCAACTACTTGATTCGAAAGCGCGCCTTTGATTGGTGGAAGCGCTACAACTGTGAGTCCCTGGCAACCCAACCTATCTATTATCCCTTGAAGGAGGGCATTGACCCGTGCTCCTAGATCTACTGCAAGCTGCCATGGACACTGGAACCGCAATTGCGACCATTATTATCTTTTTCGCGCTTGGATACCACGCCATCGAGTTCAACTGGTGGGGAAACACAGTGGGATCTAATACCGACGATGCGAACTCGGTCCCTTGGTTGACGGTCCCTAAAGGTGGATACTTTGGGAAGGGACCCGGGGAGTTTTGATTGAAAATTTCTTATAGATTTGTTCGCAAGACTTTCCCATAGGACAATGGGGCTAGGGCTGGCCCCATGCGAAATCAAGCTTCGATGGAAAGATCCCAAAACCGGATTCCAATTCTGTAGCCTAAGACATGTTCATAAAATTCAATCGAAGGGGACAGTAGTGTCATGACATCACCTTCGATAGTTTGGCGACCACCTTTATCACCCCTTTACTGCTCACATGTGTGTGTTACCGAGTCTCTGAGCTCTCAATGACCGTATCCACACATGTCTTGACCATCAGTGCAATTGAACGAATCATGAAACTCTGAATGACCTTGATATCCCTTGCAACTGATTCACCCCATAGCAACAATGCAAAAAATAGCAAACCTTATCCCAAACAGGTCATTGGCCCTGGGTAAGAGGTGAAGAAAACGTGCCTTGCTTGTTTGGAACCAGGCCGCGTCTGCAGACAATGCCGAATGTGATCTGAAAAGAGCAACGAATAATCAAAAGCCCCTTACATTCCATGGTGACACATTCCTTGGCTGAATTGGGCGTAAACAGTGAAGTAAACAAGATCTGATGATGTGTATCTGTAGATCCAGGACCGCCACATACCTTCTAGAAACGCACCGTTGCACCCAAGCTTACATGTATAAAACCCTTCGGAAGCAATGGATCTTCTTATCGCGCTTATCAGCCCCTGAGCGAGAACGAGCCTCTTGAGTCGATCTCTCATTTCTTGAACGATGCCCCAATGGCCCGGGACTAGTCCAGGATAAGGTTAGGCACTGACTCAAGATGGCCATACGGAACTGTACAGTACTGTACAGTAGGGGGCGAAGGTCTCAAAGTGGATATATAAAGATGGATGCTCGGTGCCGAGAGTGCCTTAAAGCGACCGAATCTTGACTAGGGACTTTGGCGCCCAGGGATTGGCAGGCGTGGCATGGTCCAAGAGCTTGCCATTTGTGGGTGCCTGGCTTTGTGGGTGCTCGGGTAAAATGAGTATTGAAAATTGGGGGGTTTCTTTCTTTTTCTTTTTGGTCCTTCTCCTTCTTTGTCCTAGTCAGCCCTTGACTAGAATAGTTTAGCTTTGTGTGGCGAGAGCGAGAGATTTGGTTCTAAGCGCAGTGGAGTAAGGACGGAGTTCGGCTCAGGTGCTGGTCTGTCCGATATTTTGCACACCGTCAAGGATACGGGGAAGTGTAAGGTAGCAGTGCGTAAATGAACGTGAGCATGCGATGTCGATCAATGTCAACCCCATGAACATCGAAGGGGGGAGAAAGCTGATTTCAAGGATGCCAAGCGGTCAGGCGCTAGTGGCTTTACGGTACCATACCAATTTCCGTTATCTTAAACACAAACACCTGGGGAGATGTCTGATGTCTCACTTTAACGGCTTCGGTGTAATTTGCTTGGACACTACACTAAAGACAGGCGATATTAATAACCTGTCCGATAGCTCAGATGACGAAGCCTTGTACCTTCCATGCCATCCATGCCATACCACTGTAAACCCTAATTGCATACTGCATATAAGAAAAAAACATTTAAAATTTCAGGGGAATACAAAGCACAGACGGGAAACCCCGATTACCGTCTCCAAATCCCCACAAAAAAAGACCCTTTTGCCTTTTCGGCCTTTCCTATTCGGTCGGAGTTGAGCCCAATCAGGTTAGCCTGGACTCTGAGTTCCTTGGTTGTTCACATCCCATTCTATTGAATTATATTAATCATCTCTCCCCCCCCTCTCTTCCTCCGTTCTCAAGATCTCTTCGCTTTCGTTCCTCTAACCTTTCGCAGTGATAGACTTCCTCTTCACTTGCTGTCTTTCGTTTACATTGTTCAGATCCTGTTATCTGTCCCCCCCCCTTGTCTCCACAGTCCACTCATTTCCACCTGTGGCTTGGATTGAAATTCTTCGAGTAAATACTGTCATTTAGGCTGTACATACCAACAGTACATATTAATCATGGTTCGCTTTGTGACACCATTGGCCCTGGCTGCGCTGTCCGCCACCGCCTTCGCGGCTCAGAAGTGCAGTACCAGCAGCCAGTGTACCGACGAGACATACCCCTGCTGCTCCCGTGAGTCGCCTGGCGCCAGATCGCAATGGTTATAGGTTGGTCGCTAACGAACGATAGAATATGGCGAGTGTGGTACCGGTGCCTACTGTCTCGGCGGATGCGACCCTCTTTCCTCCTATTCCCTCGACTCATGCGCGCCGATGCCTGTCTGCGAGGAGAAGACCTACACCTGGGAGAACCTCGACAACGCAGTTTCTCAGGACAAGTACCTCGGAAATGCCAGCAAAGCCGACTGGACCTACAGTGGCAACCCCAAGACCGAGGATGGCAACCTTATCATGACCATGCCCAAGAACAGCGTCGGTACCCTCTTTGCCAACAACCACTACATCTGGTACGGCAAGATCTCTGGAAAGATCAAGTCCAGCCGTGGTAAGGGTGTTGTTACTGCTTTCATTCTGCTGTCCGATGTCAAGGACGAGATTGACTACGAGTGGGTCGGCGCCGACCTGACCAACGTCCAAACCAACTACTACTGGCAGGGTGTTCTTGACTGGCACAACAGTGGCAACATCTCCGTGGATGGCGGCGACACCTTCAACGACTGGCACACCTACGAGATCGACTGGACCCCCGAGAAGGTCGACTGGATTGTCGATGGCTCTGTCCAGCGCACGCTGAACAAGGCTGATACCTACAACGAGACCAGCAAGCAGTACCAGTTCCCCCAGACCCCCTCCCGCCTCCAGATGTCCCTTTGGCCTGCCGGCCAGTCCAGCAATGCCCAGGGCACAATTGATTGGGCTGGTGGTGCCATCGACTGGAACAGCGAGGACATCCAGAACACGGGATACGACTTCGCCACCGTCGGTGAGGTCAGCGTGAAGTGCTACGACATCCCCTCGGACGCCAAGAAGACCGGTGACAAGTCTTACCTCTACACCAACTCCGCCGCCATGGAGAGCGATGTCGCTCTCACCGGCAACGACACCGTCCTCGCCTCTCTCGGTGCCACTGGCCTCGACATGGATCTCGGTGCCGACACCTCCAGCAGCAGCACTACCTCCGCTGCCAACAGCATCCCCACCACCAACGGTGGCTCCGGTGGCATGTCCAACTCCAACTCGAGCTCAAGCGTCGACTCATCCTCGTCTTCCTCGTCCACTGGTACCTCCACCTCCTCCGGCTCGGAGTCTACCACATCGTCTGGCTTCACTCAAGGCACAGACACCACCAAGGGCAATGGAGCCGCCAGCCAGAGCGAGCACGTCCTCCGTGGTTCACTCTTCGCTGTCCTGGTCGCCATTGTCGGCCTGGTAACGCTGTAAATTTGTTGTCCATACTGAGCGCCTGTGTTCGTTTTTGGCTTTGGATTCTCGCATTTTATATTTCTTTTTTCTTCTCTTCTTGCAATGCCTCCCGCATCCCGCATCAAGTATATTTTAGCTCCATGCTTCGCTTCGTGTCTTGTCTCTGACTGAACCTGAACCTGAACCTTGAACAAATCACCTAATGAATTACTCTTTGAATCTTGTACCTTTTGTCTTCTGTTTTTCCTCCTTTTTTTCAACTTAGTGATGGTCTGATGTCTCATTGCATACGCATGCTCATACGCACACTGCACCTCAGAGTTTTTATCTTATATGCAATGTACCTGGCGTTTCTGACCGCTTATGGTCTACCATTTCTTCACTTTCTTTCTTGCGCGACACACCGCTCATCTGGTAATGATTTGGAACCAGCTGCACATGCTTGGACATTAGTTTACAGATCCTTTCGAGAAACTGTTCTAGATATGGGCGGTCCTAGTCAATTCATTATATCCGTTTCGACACGTGTGCCGTTGTAGCAGATTCCAGGTTAACCATAGTCCTCTCTCTGCCAGGACTCACGTTCACCGAATTTCACTTCTTCGTAGCATGCTATGGCAAAGCCCTTCGAGTGCCCTGCAAGCCACAGTCCCGACGATTGACATCCTGCTCTCTATACAACAGCGGTGAGCAAGGTTGAAGAGCGAGACGATATCAGAAGTGGGGGTAGTCTCAGTAGATCGCAACGAAATAGCTAATTGAAACTACGATGCCTGCTCGGGGGTTGTTTGTTTGAATGTCTTAAATTATGAGAGCGCCCTCTGTCATGTCTCAGTAACAATTAGCTAGAGCCGTTAGGGAAATGAGGTGGATACTGGAAACCGGCGAATACTCAATATGTTCGGCACAGCACTGGGCCGAAGTGAAACCGATCGTCATGTCCGTATGGACCTTTTTTTCTCGTATTGAATGTAATTTAGGGAGATAGGTGCTAGCCAGGATTGAAGTCTATGAGGTTTGATTGAAAGGATAAGGATCAAATATAGGGCGTGGTGGATTCCATATCATGACTGGTACTATAAGCCCTTTTAGGGTTGTCTTAATTCCTAGAAGACTCCTATTCTATCCGAATGGCTGACTATCAAACCCCTTGTTTGTCTGTTTCACTGGTTATCTTCCAAAGTACTTGTATATAGCCATACAACCATCCAAAGCTCCAGTCTCAAGTCTCAAGTAGGTCTGGTTTCTTCTACTGCCTACAAACTCGAAGTAGCAGCACTGACTTGAACCGTATGAGCAATTGCGCATACGCTTCATTTTTTTTTTTTGAGTTTTGCTTTTCAAGAAAACAGCAGAAAGAAAAGACGCAAGATCCTCAAGCCCAAAGCCAAATAAAACAAAACAACAAGAACCCATGCTGCATGCTCATATCCATCTATCCTCCTACCGCCGAAAACAATGCTTTGCCGGACCAACGATCTTAGGTCTCGTTCGAGTCGTCGCTGTTCGCTTTTAGAACATCAGAACAAACAACCATAGAAATTAAACAAATGAAACGCTACATCCATCTCTTTCGAGACGATTATGCGTGCGACTCACCTATGTACCCCAGCCTCCGAATCTTGCCTACAAAGTCTGTGCATCTGTAGAGCGCCGTAGCTAGCCTGTCCATCAAAGCTTAGTGTGCCTTCAGGGTTAAATTTCGCGGTGCTCAAATCCACAATTGCCAGGACAGCACTTCCACCATCTAATAGATGAGGGGCCTTCAGGGAATCGGGATTTACAATACCAGAGAAAAGAGCTGGTCGGACTCTAGAGGATTGCAAGTTCATGGGAGTATCAGTCGACTCTGCTTCTAGGCCTCTAGGGCCATGGTCATCGGGGGTGCCCACTGAGCGAGAGGGCATTGCAAGGATCTCTTGAACGTTCCGCTGGGGAACCTTGTTCTGGCCCTTGCTTTGGTTCACAGCGGGTTTATCAGGGCCCGTCAAGGCTGCGAGATTCACCTTGACAGCCATATCCTCCCGCCGAGGAACTGTGTGGCTGTCTTGGTCTGGCACCCGGGGGGAGCTCATCGCTTCCCCTGGACCTGAATCAACCGCTGGACCTTCTCTTGGAAGATCTTGGTCGACATGCTGGTCTGAATATGTTGACTTAGAGACCACATCCATGGGCTTCATCTGAACATCATCGTCAAAGGAGATCAAAGTCCCTCGAATGGCTTGAGATGGCTTGAATGCGGGAACGCTGGGACGAAGCTTGGATTTGGCAACCTGGGCCTTCTTCATCTTGGAAGTCACCTTCCTGTGGGTATCGCTGTCAGACTCGAAGCTGATCAGTGAGCCCTGCGACTCAGGCTCAACAGGCGATGGGACCTTCTCATCAGAGTTGTTGACTGGAGGTTCCTTCTCCATAGGCGGCGTATTGCCCTCCCTGGTCAGGTCAGCAGCACCAACAGCGACATCCTTGGCGAGGTCAACGAGAGCTTCCTGGCGCGGGGAATTGTCAACAACATGTTGACCCATTGTCTTAGGGGCAGTCGGGGCTGCAAGATGCTGCGGAACCGGGGGAACACCTGCCACACTCTGCTTATTTACAGGAGGATATGGATTGCGTGCATTACTGCTAAACGAAGATGCGTGCGAACCGACAGGCTTTCCATCTGATGTGAATTGCATCGATTTCTCCCAGGGAGGGCGTTTTCCGGTAGAGTCACGGATCTGCATTTTCTAGAACAACCCGTGTCAATGTATTGTCCTCACGAATGGAGCTTCACTTACATTTGCTGGGTGTCTTCTGGGAGGGATCACATGGTACTTCTCCATGGCATCATAGATGTCAGTGTCAACCTGACAAAGATCGACAGAGAGTGCAGGCCGGTTCCCTCGATCAGCCTGGTGGTCAAACATGTTAATGTATGCGAAGAATTTCGGTTGTTGGTGTAGGAATATGACATACCCACTGCTGCGCTTCGCGGACCAGGAGTCTTGCCTTGTTCAATTTGAACCAGGCGTCCCGTTCCGCCATTGCTGCCGCGCGCAGTGTAGTCCAAGGAGACTTGGGATTGGATGTGGCGGGTAATGGAGGCAGAGAAAAGTTGCAGCTAGCTATGTTTCGTAAAGAGGGAAGCTGGGAATGTTTGTTGTAGAAGGCATCGGCAACGAGAGAACAGGTGAGCTGGACGAGAGAATGCAAAAACGAATATTTGTGGAAGTAAGGAATAGAAAAGAGAGAAAAAAGCCAACACGTCAAAGTGAGGGACCTTTGATAGTTGTAGTAATGCAAAAGACAATAGAAGCAATGTTAGTTGAGAGGATGGGAGATGTTGAAACTCGGATGTCAGTGAAGCATCAAGTAAGAGTTCCCACCGAGGGAAATTAACTGAGAACAGAGCCAACAGTCATGACAGACAAAAGAAGGGAAGCGTCAATTATTCTCGAGCTGTTGGCAAAAGGTCAAGCCTCTTAGGCTATGGCTGTGTATTGTCGTTGTCTCGATGAACAGTTAAACAGGGTAGAAAGAGAACAGAAGATATATTTGAATCATTCGAACACAGACAGAAGGCAAAGGACATAAAGCCCAAACCGACATGGGCGCATGTGTATTGTACAAGGGTTGCATTATCAAAGCCCTCTGCTTCTGGGTAACACTGCAGACAAATCTGTTGGTGATGGCAAGACACGCATAAGTTGAACAAACAGTAGGATCAGACAAAAGAAAGATCAAAAGAAAGGCAAAAAGATGAAACTCCCCTCGCGACTCAGCTGCATACCCCTACTAAGATGCGCCTTGGCTTTCCAGGGCCCGTGTGTGTTGCTCACCTCTTTCAAGAAGCGCAGTCTTAACGGGGAGGGCCTAGGGAACGGAGACACACACGGTAGCCAGAGCAATGAGGCTTCCTGGAAGGGATGCTCTCTGCCACATTGCCGCTAGACTACTGGGGACATTCGGTGAGGTAATTACACTTAGCACATGAGCAGCAAGAAAGAAAGCTATACAACTGCCTTTCACTTATTTCTCTCTACTAGAATCATCTTGTGTCAAATCGATGTGCAACATTAACTCGTGAGTAGTAAATTGAGAAACATGTCAAAAGAGAAAGAGCATCTCCAATATTAAGTCAACACAAAGAAAAAAACCACATGGAAATCATGCCATCAATCTTAAAACTCCGGCCATGCTTGACCTGCCCACGGGAATAGATAGACCCGAACCCCCAGAAATACAAATTCAACAACCCGGAGCCCGACGCAAGAAAAACAAGAACGAGATCCATGTCCACAGGTGAAGTAAGCTGTCCTAGATAACCCGAACGCCAAAATAGTTCACAGTGGCAAAGGAGGACTAACTAGAGAATTAGCGAGGAAGAGAGACAGGAATTGTACGATGCATACATTATGTGCCAGTAAAAGTATCATGCAGGTCGAAAAGTAGTGAGGGTCCCGAACGTCGATGCGAGTCATGGGTGACAATTAAAAGACGAGGCGAGTGTGGCGGATGAATCTGACGAAAGAGTTGGGCTTAAGTTTCAAAATTGCCCGCTCACCGACGATACCTCTTGCTAGTAGCAACAGTTTTGAACTCGATTTTGGGCTGGTAGCGGACGGCGCCACCATCCTCGATCCAAGGCGACAGATTTTTGCACTGGCTGACGTCGAAGACTTCGAGTTGGTGGCACCCTTCCGCTACAGCCTCAACACCGATGCCGGTAACTCGAACACATCCTCGTACAGACAGATGCTTCAGTGAAAGAAGATGAAGACCGATGCTTCGTAACGAGGGATCAGAGATTGCAGATCCGCAGAATGCCATATTGAGATACTTCAATTGTGAGCATTGAAGGGCAAGGACCTCGGTTGCGGTATCTGATAATGCACAGCAGAAAGTCTATTCCCGGTAAGTAACCGCGTCGAAATCTTTTGGTCTGATATGGAAAGGTCATCTTACCAGATCAAGATCCTCCAAGTTCTTAGCTGCATTGGTTAGATGCACAATGGCATTGTCTGTTAGGTATGTGCAATCTGCCAAGCAGAGCTTCCGCAAGTTGGTGAACCGGGCACTTCCCCAGTACTTGAACCCCTGATCCGTGATTGTGGTACAACGAGTCAAGTCTATCTCTTCAATCCGACCAGCAGCATGAGACGCAATGTGATGCATGGAACGATCAGTGACATGTTTGCAATAAGACAACGTGAGTTTTTTCAACTCTGGACACCCGTATACGGTAGATTCTGCTGTCTGAAGCGAGGGCTTGATGCTTGACGATTTGCCTTCGGCAGGCTTCTGATCGGCGGGTACAACCCATCCGACGATCCGTGCAAGAAGTGTATCCCCGACCTTGCGACAATTGCTCAAATCTACCTCTTGGATGCCTATAGCCTTGCTGGACATGTCAAGGATTGCAGATGCTGTAACATCCCACACGCTCTTCATCTTCCACACAATGGTGGTTGGAGCGCAAGTAGCAGACAAGGCTGTGAAGCCTTCATCGGTGATGTGGAAGCAGTTGTTGACATTGACAGAGCGAGCTCGATCGCCGACAAAGGGACATATGATTTTGATGAGGACGTTATCGGTGATCCTACGGTTATAGACGCTGAGGTCTAGATCGTGCAGAACATCTGGGGATCTGGTCAGGATCTCAGACCAGTGAGATGACACGGCTCTAAGCCGGAGAAGGTGGTGGAGTTCGAGGAATTGGAATATATTCAGCAACACACTGTCTGGGACAATGCCGTTGGAGCCATCCTTGCGGGGACGTTCGGATTCGTATGGCCTTGAGAAACTGACTGATTCTGGAAGAGCGAATGTCGAAGACCCAGCGGAGCGAGGCTCAGTAGGAGACGAGCGCTGGTGCTCCCCAGAAACTTCTTCGGGGGTCAGCGGAGCTACCGAGCCACGCCGGCTGCGTAGCCGCACCTTATCCAGTCCCATGCTGAGATAAGGGTCGGGATCAGATGGCCGCAGTACGGCTTGATCTTGGTCTTCCACTGATGAAGATTGATGTGGACCATCAAGCTCCGTTTCCGTGAGCGTCAAGAGGGGCATTGAGCGTCGACGCGAGGAAGTAATCTTCACTTTGTCGTCAAGTGCGAGATCACCCAGAGATGTCTGGTTGTCTGTCTCGTCTGACATGACGACGTCCCCATCAGCTGCAGCTTGAAGCCTTTCTTGGGCGGTTTTTTCCACTTGTTCTCGAACACCAGTGGGACATTTCTGCCAGAATTCTGCAAGAACATCACCGTCCAGCATCAGACATTCGACTGAAGTGACGGAACGAACCGTGGCGGTCCGTCTTGGTGCTAGTGCGAGACTGACAACTTCGCCGAAATATTGCCCTTGTTTTAATCGGGCTTTGATCTCCAACTTTGGCTGTTCTAACCCGTTTGGTCGGTGATTGGACGTGTGATTATGATCCGTCTTCTCAGTTAAGACCTCCACTTCACCACGAACAATGAAGTAGAGTTCACGGCCCTGGGAGTCTTGTCGTATAATATCGTGGAATGGAGGGAATGAGCGCGGTTGAGCATTTAGACCAAGGAAATGAAGGATGTCGGCTGGCAGCCCCGAGAAAAGGGGGAGCTCTTTCAGTAAGAGCCGTACGTTCACCAATCCGTTTGCCAATGCACTGGATCCATCCCGCCGGCCGGGGCTCGGTGACTTCCTCTTTTTGTACACAGACTTGGCACTCAAATCCTCTTCGTCTTCAGCAACAGCCAAATCTTTTGAGAAGCTTTCGCGTAGTCTTTTTGAACCCCTTCGCGCGGGGCTCGGCGGATCCAGATCCAGCGCAGGCGCAGATGTTTCTTTTTTCTTCTTCTCCAGAATCATCAAGCGCTCCTGCGCCTCCTCCCGGATCGCTTGTTCAACCTCTGGAAACCGGGGTAATATATTTCGAAAATCGTCCTTGGTGAGCACGACCAGCATGCATCGAGTCCGGGCGATAATGGTTGCAGTCCGAGGACGATCCATGAGCAAGCCAATCTCGCCGAAGAACGCACCGGGTTGAAGTTCGGCATATATACTCTCACCATCTCGGGATGTGACCGAGACAGCACCCCGCACCAGCCAATATATGGCCTTGGCCTCATCGCCTTCCGTCAAAATATAATCGTTGGGCGCATGGAGCTGCGGGCGCAGGTGCTGTCCGACCTCAATCAGAAAGGATTCCGGAGTGGCCTGGAACAGCGGGAAGGAGCGCAGTCGGTCTATCAGCTCTAGCGGCAAAGCTTTGATGTGGGAGGAGGCCAAGGGCGAAGGTCGGACGGGACGGTTTGGGTTTAGGACCGAATCGAATGAATGTATGAGGGAGACGGTATCGGACATGGGTGAGGCAGCCTTCGTTGGCCCGCCACTGGACCTGCCATGGCGACGCATTGTGATCGTAGTTGTGAATGGAAGAGGGAGGAATAGTCTGAGAGGATTAAGGCCCTAGAGAGCTCAAAAAGGCGATGACGTCGACGATAGCAGCGTCGAACTTCGCATCGGCATTTTCAACGCCCAATGGGTAGGGATTCAGCTAGTAAGGCAAGCTCCAGAAAAGCGACATTGATATAGAAGAAAGAGGAAAAGAGGAAGTGTCAGAGCTCAGGCAGGTAGGTGGGGGGTTTGGAATCAGCGACGTCAAAGTTCTCCACCGATCACCTGGGATCCTTCGGAAACTCTATGGGAAACCTCCACTTTTCAATGACTTCGCGTTGAGGAAGACTTTTCTTCTACTTGGACTACGCTTCGCTTTTTTTTTTCCTGGTGGGGGTAAAGCGGTCAATCCTCTTTGAACCTGCATGCGGGATCGGCTCTACAGACAAAGAAAGTACTAATGTCCATGTGAACGGCCCTGGATCCGATCCAACTCGCTCTCGATTGGATGGCTCCGGACTATACATTAAAATCCAGATCATGCATTCTGCTAAGGGGTCCATTGATATTGGTTCGGTTAAGAAGGTCGGAGATCTCCTGGAGATTCTTGACTCGCATTTCTGCAGAAATCAGTGGGTCACGTGTGGCAAGCTGGCAGTCCATTTCCGGAAGAATGTGTGGATATTTGGTGCTATGGAGACAATTGGGTATCAAAATGCAGATAGTACATAACGGAATATGAGGAATAAGGTCGGCAATCCCATAGCTCAAAGGTTGACCGAAGCAGATGAGGGTTTGGGGTAAGTGAGCGGGCCATAACTCTCAAGGTGGGTTTCGGTGATCAGAGGACTGTTCCTGAAGACTGAATCAAGCTGGATAGACTCAGGCATATGGCTCTTGCCATCGGGATCGGGAGTTCAATAGCTGCCATGGTATACGGCATGTCCCAGGCGATGAGTGGTGATGGTGATGGCGATGGCGATGACCGGTGACTCGAGGAGAGCAGGTCTTTCTGGTGTTACAGGTTGGGCAAGCTGGTCGCGACGTGAAGCTGCACGTCGAACACGTTTGGGACTAATTCGAGCTTGGCCAATTAGATCAGATTGATCCTTCCTTTTCAACTCTTGACCGACGGGTGCCCATGATGAAGTCAATATACGCCGGGCGGTTCCCTTTCATAGCCTCGAGGGCATCTTGCAAAAGTCCATAAGTCAAACTGAGTTTCAATCCAAGCTTTGCAGTACGAGCGGCGGTGTAGACATCGTGACGGGCTAAGGATTGGCATGTTAGCTTTCAGTTAATGAAGAGAGCTGAATATTGAGAAACTCACACAGCAAGCTGTAGATTCCTGAAAAGGATAAGCCGGCGGTGACGGTCGATAAAAAGTCTCTTTCTTCATGTCGGGCATAGTCCACCGTCTCCTCGAACAAACAGAATGTGAGAGCACCTGCGCCGAGCTTCAATCCCATCTTCACGCCATCTTTCACTCCGCCTACTACACTGATGTAGTTCTTCGTTTTATGGTACTGGAACCATCCGGTGGAGGATGTAGGGAAGCGATGCGCATTTTCCGCCCGAAACACGAAGCCCGCTTTTTTGCTGCCGTGGTAGTATCCCAACATAGAGCCGGTCATAAAGGCAGACATTGTAGCGTAGGGGATTCGCTGGCTGACGTCAATTCCTAACCGCGGGGGGCTGTCGCATTCGAAGAGCTTATCCCAGTGGATAATTCTGAGGAGGACGGAGTTCGCCTGCAAGGACTCAGCGGAGGGAGGGCGATTCGCCTCCATTCTGTGCAAAGTGAGAGAGAAATGGGAAATAGTTGGGTTGAGAATCGTCGCCTAGAGGTGAGTTGTCGCTGCAAAGATCAAAAGCTCAAGTCGGAGCGGAACGCGGAGTCTCGGCGGTTTCTCCGCCTTCACCTGCGAAAGACCTGACACGCCACCACTAATACTGTTCAATCTCCAAAATGGTATGCTTGTCTAGTTTAACCTCAGGTGGAGCTTGTCGAACGAAGAAAAATAGCTAACGACCGAGTAGCCTCCAAAATCCAAGCTCGACTCGAGCGCCGCGACACTCTTCTTCAAGAAGCATAAAACCACGGTCCTTCTGATGCTTCAAAGCCACGAATCGCTCGATACCGCAAAGGAAAAGCTCCTGCAAGCTTTAACCTCACGAGGTGTCACCAATATCAATGGCGATGCGATTCCCGAGGATTCCTTCGATATCGAATTCGGTGTGCCCATGGACCGCACCGATCTCGAGAAGGGCTGGAGACGGCTCGACGCAGATGCACCGGAGGCAGACGAGGAGGGCGTCACAAAGAAAAATAAGGGTAAATCCAAGAAGGAGGCGGTCACTTTGATGGCCGCTGGTCTTCAGGATGGACACACCATCGCTTTCCGCTTCCGCAAGCCAAATGAGGATCGAGACGAAATGGATCTTGATTATGAAGACCCGGGCTGGGATGTCCTGGTCCCGACATTTGACGATGAGGAGGAAGAATGAATGAGTGTTCACTCATTGGCTCTGAACAGGCTTCGGGTACTACGTTTAGAGTGGCTTACGGCGCTTCTGGGAGGGTAAAGTTGATTCAATTGCATGGCGTTTTGAGTTCGGTGGGTATGGGACAGTGATTACGACCAAAATGATACCAAAACGGCCAATTAGCCCACGACTAGTGCAAAGGTCCAGGTGTTTTGTACCATTCTAGCCAGGACCATGGGTGTGTCGGTCATAATAGAGGCCGTTCGCCAACATTCACCAGGTGCTTCGACAAGGGCCTGGGTGAATCATGAAGATCCTATCAAGGTGAATGTGGTCAAAGATATCTTGTATCCATGGCCTACAGACACAGTCTTGAAAAGTCTATGGGTCTTTTCTCAACTAAGTGAGCTCAAGTGCCAGGGGGTTGGACGTAGAAATGTCCGAAATCAATATCATGTTGGATATAGAAAGGTTCTATGAAGTGGCTTTAAGGTATAACGTTATAACTAGAGACCTGTTAGCCCGCCCTCCGCAGTTCAAGATGAGTAGTGCGTCGTTATAGACATGAAGATAGGGCAGGAAATACATGAAACGCCTTCTCTGAACTGGGGTCAAATTATTTCCACGCCACCAGTTGCTCAGGCAACCAAGGACAACACCAACAAATGAAACGGGAGCAAGGAGACTCGGAGAATACTGCATCCCATACCCCATCCACCCTTTAGATCCACATATTCTTTTCAACATTCTTGAGTGCATCTAACCTCGGCCTTCTCCAGGGTGTCAACTGCTGTGACGCGGCCCTCAACCACGCGACTCGGGGCTACGACACAGCTCCCCTTCCAATCCTCAGCATGGCGGTCTCCGACGGGGCTTCCTCCATCAGCGTTGCAGTCCGTGTTCGACCCTTTACCATTAGGGAGGCAGCCCAAATAACTCGATCGGACGATGGACCCCTATTTCTCGGTGATGGATCTCTCGCGAGCGCGCCGACACCAAAGCTGAACCAGAAGGGGATTCGGTCTATTGTGAAGGTCATCGATGATCGATGTCTGGTGTTTGACCCCCCAGAGGACAACCCTGTCCAGAAGTTTTCCAGAAGCGTGGTACCCAACGGAAAGCGCGTCAAAGATCAAACTTTCGCCTTTGATCGCATCTTTGACCAGAACGCCTCTCAGGGGGAGGTCTACGAATCGACCACCCGCAGCCTTCTCGATAATGTTCTCGACGGATACAATGCGACAGTCTTTGCCTATGGTGCAACCGGATGTGGTAAAACCCACACAATCACTGGAACTGCCCAGCAGCCCGGTATCATCTTCCTGACTATGCAGGAGTTGTTTGAACGCATCGACGAACGATCGAGCGAGAAAGCGGTCGAAATTTCTCTTTCATACCTCGAGATTTACAACGAGACTATTCGCGACTTGCTTGTGCCCGCGGGAAGCAGTGGTAAGGGAGGTTTGATGCTACGCGAAGACTCTCAACAGTCAGTCTCCGTCGCTGGTCTGTCAAGTCACCACCCGCAAAATGTGGAGCAGGTTATGGACATGATCGTGCAAGGCAACGAGCGCCGCACTATGTCACCAACCGAAGCAAACGCCACCTCATCCCGATCACACGCCGTCCTTCAGATCAACATCGCCCAAAAAGATCGTAATGCCGACGTCAATGAACCCACCACCATGGCTACTTTCAGTATCATCGATTTGGCTGGAAGTGAGCGAGCAAGTGCCACAAAGAACAGGGGCGAGCGGCTGTTCGAGGGTGCCAACATCAACAAATCCCTATTGTCCCTGGGAAGCTGCATCAATGCTCTGTGCGATCCCCGGAAGCGCAACCACATCCCATATCGAAACTCGAAGCTTACTCGTCTGCTCAAATTTGCACTGGGAGGAAATTGTAAGACAGTTATGATTGTCTGTGTCAGCCCTTCGAGTCAACACTTCGACGAGACCCAGAATACTCTTCGATATGCCAACCGAGCAAAGAATATTCAGACCAAGGTCACTCGAAATGTCTTTAACGTCAACCGACACGTCAAGGACTTTTTGGTCAAAATTGATGAACAAATGAACATGATTAACGAGCTTAAGGCTCAGGCAAAAGACCACGAGAAGGTCGCCTTTGCCAAATTCCGCAAGCAGAACGAAAAGAAAGATGCGGTGTTGCGTGAGGGCGTCGCCCGGATTCGCAATGCCTATGAACATTCCTTGGCTGAGCGGCAGGAAAAGACCAACAATATGCTGAAATTACGACAAATCAGCCGTAGAATCGGCATTCTATCATCTTGGATCGCTGCCTTTGACAATGCTTGCGCATCGCGTGAGGACGAGGAAGGATTGTCCAACTTGTATGCCATTCGCAAGTCTGCACAGGGCATCCTCCTTGAGCTGGAAGGAAGCAGGCATCATTACAACCAACGCTTATCAAAAAGCAATTGGGACCGCGCAGTCAATTCCGCCGTTGAGAATGCCTCCAAACAACTCCAAGAGTTCGATACCACCGATAACAGTGATTTTGCCAACCTTAACAGAGAAGCAGAGCTGCTGAGATCGAATGCAGAGCGCGAGGCCTTGTCAGCTGTGGTGGAACAAGACAAAGCGGGCGAGGCATCTGCTGTGCAGCTTCTTTTGCAAGCACAATTTGAGATGATGGGATCAATCGAGGAGATAATGCAACTAAATGCAAGCGAAGCCATCAAAAAGGGACGGACAATCCTCATGAAAATGATGGAGGACTGCACCAATGCCGCAACAAACCTTGTCAAACCAGATGGCAGCCTGCCCACTATCCCGAACGTCAGCTCCGCTAGGCCAGCAAGCCCCTCAAAACCAAAGAAGAGATTCAGTTTGGTAAGCTTGCCGCCTGTGAGTAGCGCCAACCCACCAGTCACACTTGCCCCTGTCGTCCCAACTTCGCCAACCAAAGCCTCTCCTCGTCGTCGCAAGGTTGCACCTGGCCGCAAGCTCGTGAGCTTCTCGCCGAAGAAACCCCAATCAAAGCCCACAAAACGATCTGTCCGCTGGAAGGACGATGAGGAAGAAGGTGCTTTAACTGAATTAAAGAGCCCTCGGAAGTTTGAGTCTGAGTATGTCGATGGACCCAGCTGGGACGAGCCATCCTTGCCTCCTCGGTCAGGATCTCCTATTCCGCGCGATATCCCAAGAGTTTCTAGCCCAAAACTCTCGGTATCTCCCGTGTCCGACGAGCCTGCTGAATCCGCCGAGCCTACATTGAATGTCCAAAAGAACAACAGCCGTTTCAAAGCCGGCTTCTTATCCAAGAGGGCTGGTAGTTCACCGCTGGCACCACCCCCTTCATCCACCCTTCCTCTTGCCGACAGGGGAAGCTCTCCACTCCGTGACATTGAAGGAAGCAGTTTCATGAACCGCAGTCCCATGGAGCGCCCGTCCCGCATAGCAGTCCGCAGCCCCAGTGGAAATTTCCTAAGCAGCCCCGTTTCTGAGAACAAGGACAACTGGAAATCGAATAAGGAAGATGCAATCAAGATCAACTCGGCTATGCGACGCCTCTCGAACACTCATATTAATCCTTCATCTGCCAATTCCCTACGTGTTAATCGACGCCGCAGCCCAACGTCTGGTACGTACGGAGCTACCCCGGGCGAGAACAACATGTTCACTGCATCCCAAGCCCGGCGTATGGTCAAGAGCGAGCGAGAACTTGACGCAAAGCCTCGCGTTCTGAGCCCTCACGCCCTCCCTGTGATGAAGAATACTGGACGTCGCACTACGTTAGGTGATATTCGCCCTCGGAATCTCAGCATTTCCGGCCGGGATGCCATTCGTCTCAGCGCGATGGCAGCACCCCCTGCTGACCGCTACTCGGATGCCTCGTCTGGACTTCGATAAACCATTGCGACTTATATTTGAAGCACGGCCGGAGTGATTTTATTTGCCAAATGGGTTACTTGGACCCCGGATAGGCGTTTTGTTGGCGTAGCAGATACCACCTCTTTCTCTTGTACACTTGGACCCATGGAAATTTTCCGTTTACTGTCATGTTTGATTACTTTTGCTAGGAGTGTATAGCACCCAGCTCAATTTCACATATCCCTTATTTCGGTGATCACGTTGCCACCCTCAGCCCTAGTTGTATTCAAATGCCGGATTCCCCGCGCTGCTTTGTCAGAACTCGAGATGACGCCACCGTTGGAGCTCTACATCTATAGCTTCTTTTTTTCTTTCGCTCGTCTGCTTCTTCTTCTCTTTTCACCCTCCCTATTTTGACTCATATTCTCCCGTTCAACCCTTGATTTGTCATATTTTGACAGAATACCCCATCCATTGCCGACGACAATCTCCACTTCTTATCGAGTACGTCCCCACCAGAATTTCAGCAGATGTCTTTTGCCGCACCATTTGCCTCGACTTTCTTCTCACGCTTCTTCCGTCCGTTTTCAACTAGTCCGACGCGTTCACTAGCTCCAGAGTCACAAGTGCGCAACATGTCAGGCACAGAGACCGCGACCGTAGCTGCCGGCTGCTTCTGGGGCGTCGAGCACCTCTACCGCAAGAATTTTGGAAACGGCAAGGGCCTCCTCGACGCCAAAGTTGGCTACTGCGGCGGTGACACTTCTTCGCCTTCTTACCGGGCTGTATGCTCCGGACAGACTGGTCGTAAGTCAAAATCAATATCCGCGTCGCGTTTCATCAACAATGCGCCGGAGCGCGAATAAGCCACAATCGCAATCAGAGAAGCTGACATATTCCCGCCTTTCCTCCCCGCAGACGCCGAAGCCCTCCAAGTGACCTTTGATCCCTCCATCGTGACTTACCGCCAACTCCTCGAATTCTTTTATCGCATGCACGACCCCACAACAGAGAACCGTCAAGGTCCGGACGTCGGTACCCAATATCGCAGTGCAATCTTCACACATGGAGAAGAGCAGCACAAGATTGCTGAAGATATCTCTGCCAAGGTTAGCAAGGAGTGGTTCAAGGCGCCTCTTTCCACTAAGATCCTGCCCGCTGGTCAATGGTGGGATGCCGAGCAATATCACCAGCTCTATCTCCAACATAACCCGACTGGATATGAGTGCCCTGCTCAGTATGTGGCTCATCTTCTTTTACCCTTTCGCTTTCGGTATAGGTTTGCTGACTTGGTATCTTCTAGCTTTATTCGGACTTTCCCTCCTCTGTCGGATTGACTAGCTTCGAGACTGTGATTGATTTTAGCCTATTCTTTATACCGCCTATGACAAAAGTCAATACAAACATTATTTTTTTTGGGATTTTTGATACCTTTCTTGCTAAGAACTTCGTCTATATGTATTATGTCGTGCCTTGCCCTGTCCTTGATATGTATATCACCACACAGCCGACTTTCATCTTTAAGCTTGAGTTCCAGAGATCTGATCCACGAAATTAGGAAGAAAATGGGGTGGTTTTTATTCCATCTTCAGCCCGATGACTTCTTTCAATTGTTCCTTATCATCCATGTGTGTCAAATTACCTGACATGACCATTTGATGGGGCTGGCACACTCACATGCTAAACAACTCTCGGCGGATAATAAAGACTTTGTGTTCAAGCCATGCCGATGCCACATTTTGCACAGTCCCTGATATTGAAAATGTTGATTCTCAAACGATATTCAAGATAACATGCAACTGGTAATGAAAATATAGTCTCGAGTACCTCTGGCGCCACGGTGTAGGAAAGTGAGCCTAACCTCTTGACATTTGCTGCATAACGTTAATCGAAATTCAGACTCAAGAAGCAGGTTTCTTAGAATCTCAAACACTAATATCATGTTGAAGGTGCATCATGTTGATACAGGAATTGATACTGTCTCTATTGGTAGACTTGATCTTATAGCGAGAGAATATTTAGTGGTTTCTCTAGATGCGCTTCACGGAAAATGTTTGACTGCTCCTACCCTCAAGTTGATTCCTCCCTATGACCGACTGATAAGTAGTAACATCGAAACCTTCAAGTGACAGTTCAAATACGTATTCAAGGCATTTCTGCTGTTTACTGCGGCCGATTCTCAAAAGAAGAGTTTGAATCTGGTTGCTTATTATGAAAAGCATAACCCTATCTTGTCATCCGCATGCATGTCCAGGGCTCCTGAATACCTTTTACATATTCCGGTTGACTAATTCGTGCAATTCTCCATGGCCTCCACCTTTTTTTGCAAGGCTTTGTCGTCCCATCTATTTAAAAGAATCCACATCTCATCACGCATCTTGATTGAGCACTCGTGACAAAGGCCGTCTTTCTTTTCAAGTCGATCCTCCTGTAGCTCAACCCCGGTCATTTTGAGAAGGCCGGTAGCTCTTCCTGTGCAGGCGCTTCGCCTGAAAAGTGGTTGTCCGAATTCGATGCACGTTTCGACTCGCCCGGGATGGTAACAGCCGCAGGTCAGATGTTTTGTAAAGAATAGTAAACACATGTTCTATATCATCTCTGGCGTGGCGCCCAAGATCAGAAAGCAGGGGCGAGGTTCTTATATGCGTATCATAAGTAGCTTTGTTGCTCAAATGACATACAGCTATACAGCAGGAACTACTGGGGATAGTCGCTGAATGTTTTACAAAATAAAGACGCGAAAAACATACAATGTAAATTGTGAACCATTTCTCCAAACAATCAACAATAAAATACTGAGGTGGGCCAATGAAATAGATCCGAAAGATTAAAGACTAGGTAATATCTCATAATTGCTCTGTACTTGAACCTGAGACCCTAATTGAGAACCGAAATCACACCAATGGCCAACAAAAAGAAGTGAACATGTACAACAATGGTTTGATGGCCGAAAAGTCCTTTGTGGCAGCGATACCAGAGAAACAAACAAAGAGAAATCATCGTGGAACAAAGGCGTTGTCATTTTGATAGCTTTCTGGGTAGATCTCAATGACAATATGATTACTAGATGGCCAGAAACCTGACCACACATCTTCGGAACAAGCCTACATGCTAAAAGAAAGATGTTCAAGCAGTTTTGAAACAGAAATCCAAGTCAAATCTGGACTCTGCCGCATAAAAAGACGAGATCAGACGCCATTAGCTGTTACTACCCATCAACCAGAAGCAAACTTTCAGAAAATGGATACTATCAACGAACTTCACACTCTTGAAACCAACACTGGCGAGGCTTCATGTGGAGAGGCCTCTATCAACGGACCTTCTCCTAGTGATGTTACTACCGAGGAAAGCTCTTCCTTGGCTGTCTCTACCGATCCATCTATCAATGATATCTGCACTAGTGCTACCTCTCTCGGTGATGCATTTACTAGCACGGAAGATACGAAGAATATCACCACCGGTGATACCCCTATCAACGACACGGAAATGAACAAGCCCGTTGCCAATGAGACCGCCGATATTCCAAGCGAGAATACAACCCCAAAGAAGAAGCGTCGCGGCCGCTACGAGCCCGAGCCAGACTGGTCCGCCCAAATGCGGGAAAAGGTGAACAAGTCTAACCGCCGTATTGGCCAAGCCTGTGATAGGTGCAAGGTATGTCCCCTAAAAGCTCTTCTTCCCTTTTCGGAATCGCGTCCTTACATATATAATGATGATCTAGGCCAAGAAGATGCGATGCACACCAGACCACGACGGCTGTGCCTCTTGCATCACCCATGGCCTTCCCTGTAAAGTAACTGACCGTGTGACCGGACAAACATACATACGCGGCGAGGCCGAACAAATGCGCCTACGTATTAAAGCACTGAACGATCAGGCGGAGGAGCTGAAGGGGAAAATTGCGGTGCTAAGGCAGGAGAATGAGCTCTTGCGTGAATCTCAGGTTGAGCTTAAGAATCACATCAATGTGTACAAGTCTTCTCTTGATACTTTTGAGGTATGTCGTTGTTTGGCTTGCTCGTATCCCCGGTGGATAATCGCGGCCTTTTTATTCGGGGTTTTTACTGAGTTGCCGATTGCTTTCTACGTTGTCCTCCTTTTCTTGTGTCTTTGTTACTGACGGAATCTCTAGGCAGGGTTTGCTCTTGGCAACCAAGAGGCTGATCTGATGCATCTTCTGTGATGATGCTAAGTATTGTGTCGTTTATTTGGGCTTGTTTTCGTTTAGGGTTTCTGCCCGATCATTTTTATGGGTGTGATATAGGATGGGAGGACTGCCGCAAGGGGATCTTCGTGGGCATGTATTGCTGCGATACATAGATAGTTATTACTTGAAATGAGACTGAGTTGATAAGAACAGAGATGAGAAAAGGTAAAAGCTGCGTAAATTCTATAACCGAACGTGTTCCCTGGGTATTCAAAATCCATAGCAAATGTACAAGAACTCCAGATGATGCAAATGATTCACCACTGCTCTACCAGCTAGCATTCTTTTTCCAACAGCAACATACCCCTTTACTTTCACACCACTCCCTGACAGATGCAGTCCCAACCTCTCGATCTTCGCCAACAAGCCCAAGTCCTTCGGTGTTAAGCCATGCTGTAAAATCTTCCAAAATGATAGGATCATACATGAGGATCTTCTCATGCCAAGTTGGCCGAGTGCGGCTACCGAGAGCTGACGACAACGGTGAAAGCTGAGGCTGAGCTCGAACAGCCTTGGTAATCTGAGCCGCTAAGTTTACCCGGCCGACTTGCGAAAAGGTATCAGCTGAGTGGGTCTTGGTCATCGAAGCTTTGGATGCAGTTCTGCGTTTGGTTGGGCTTGCAGGTGGAGTTTTAGTGAGTATTTCCAGAGTCTGCTCGTGGGTTTGACCCCTTCTAGACTTGGAAGAGATGCTGGTGTAGTACTTTTGTACTGGACTCGAAGATAGTGCGATTTCCTCTTCCGAGTCTTGAATTTCTTCCACGCCAATAAACGATGAAGAGGGTCTAGTGATAGATTTGCTCCTTGGACCTTTTTGTGGACTTTGCTGGGAAGTTATGCGTGAAGCGGCTGCTGACTTTGCAGCCTTCGATGAGGTACCTTGCGTAGGAGGGTTATGTTTTGCATTTTCTTTGGAACTTGAATCAAAGGCAGGCCTTGGGTCGTTGCTGTGCACTGGGGCCAAAGTTTTCAATTGCTCTGCTGGGGCGGCTGACTGACTACCATTGACAGCGCCGCCATGCTTTGACTCCCAACATTGTTGAAGGAGATCAATCATCTTCTTGCGGCCCCTGACCGACTTGAAACCAAATATAGCAATTTGTTTGGATAATTCAGCATCTGTAAATCCCGCATATTGTGGCATTTGAGGTGCTTGTGACTCGGTTGAGTGAAATGGGGCTACTTCCACAGGAGGGACATCGGTTTTTCTGTTTGACTTTTCAATTGTTGGGGGCTGAGACTGAATGTTCGAGCGTGAGCTCTTTTCTGACGACTTCTTCTCTGGTGGCGAATCGATGTCCGCGAAGTCAAGCTCAAACCAGTTCTTGTCAAGAGGTTTCGGTGTTGGCTTGACCACCTTGTCATTGGTCTTTGTCGGAAGTTCAGGTCGATCAGTCAGATCAATGACATTTGACTCTTTGGACTGGACTAAAGATCCTTCTATGTCTCTGGATCCAACATTCCACAGATTCTTAGTGCCTGTTATCCTTGACACAGATCGGATAGAAGAGGCTCGGTCTGCCTTCGTAGTATGAGCAAAGACATAATCGCGTGTCCCTTCTGGGTATGAAAGACTCTCAGACGCACGGATAGCTTGTTGCATTTCCCGGAGAGTCTGTGGGGAATCCTCTCTTTCCAGCTGACTGCAGGTGCCGAAGATAAGGTCTTGGTCATTCATGAACTCCACTGCAGCTTCCGGAGAAAGGATTGTAAAAGGAGAATCTTTAGCTGTTTCTTTGGCTTTCCCTCGCCTGCTTTTTGTGGCTCTAGTGCCTGGAAGGCAATCTATTGCCGGCTCTTCCTCCTCTTGTGCGTCGTTTTGGGCGTATTGCGCAGTCACTCGAGCAGTCAGTGTTGTAAACCTTTTAGGTTTGGTTTTGGTTGCCTTATTTGATTTTCTTGAAGCCGAGTCGTCTGTAGATGTGTAATCACTCAGAGTGTCAGGTTTGCCATTGGATAGTTGCTGGATTTGAGGGTTTTCCATCATGATGCGTCGGCGTTTTGTCGATCCATTGTTTCCATTATGGGGAAGGTTCAGGGGATTGGAAGCCAGTCCACTGAAGCTATAATCGGATAACAGCTTGCCAAACCCTTCCATAGTGTTTGATCCACTGTTTTTGTCTTGCGCTCCGGATTCATCACTCAATGTGACGTTCTCGTAGGCTGTCTCCCTTGGCGGTGTCCAATCCATTCTCCTTCTCATTGCCTCATCCAGGTGTAATTGCTCGTCTTTACCCAGGGCATTCGTATTCACTGTTGTATCTTTCAGTTCAGCTGAGGGCGATTGTTTGGTGGCACTTGTTTTCTTGCTAGCCTTGGTTGGTTTCTTGACCTGCTCAGTGCTCGTCTTCGTAACCTTCCCAGCAAGTTTCATGTTTCCTTGATCCTTGCTCTTGGCGGTTTTCCGGGGCCTGCCTTTGGCAGGCTTTGCCGCGGTATCCATTTCACCCACGAATTCCAGCGATGGGCTGCCAGGCGCGACAGGCGCTGGCTGATCTGCTACCTTCTTCGTCTTCCGTCCAGTCTTGCTTGGTGCGCTTTGATCACCGGTACTTGCAGTCGTGGCTTGTTTGGTCAATCTTTTCTTTGTTTTTGACGCGTCTGCTGGGCATTGTTCACTGGTAGTTGAGGTGGGAAAGAATCGAGAATGCGTGTGCGGTTGTAACAACTCGGACGGTGAAGGTACCGGTGGAGGCGTTTCGTCTCGTGGCACGACATGGCTCGCCAAGCTTAGATCTTGTTTAGCTTGTGCGGGTGATCTGGAAGGATTCGGAGAGGACGATAAGACGATCACATTCGCTGGGCTGGTCATTGTGGCGAGTCGTGTTTCTCGATATTTGTTTGCTTGGGCGATACGGACTAGTCGCACGTACAGCTGTACTCTCATGGATAACGCATTTCATATGTAAAACTCATGCCTAAAAAGACTGGAAGCAAGATATTGTTTTCAGGTAGATAGGCTTGTGGGGGTATTGTTTGGAGAACGAAGGTGAATTGAAAGTGACGAGACCGCGGGCTTGGCAAAGTTGCAGGATTGCCGTTTTGGGTTGATTCCATAGTTGAACCGGGCAACCAACGGCATTCGAAAGACTGGTAGTCTACAATTTTGTTTTATATATACTTGATTCTTATGAGTAGGCTCGTGACTTTCTGCAATGCTGGAGCCCTCGAATATTCATTTGATGTTATAAAATGCACCAAATCGTTGGATCAGGGCCTAAGTTGAAGCGAATAAAAAGTCTTGGAAATAAATACATGCGTTGAGGGTATGATTCATTCAATTCATCATTAATCTTGTGTAACAGAGGGACTCGTGATCTCTGCCATCCAATCTTATAGTTTCATCCTGAGAGAGTTCAGGATGGTTTCTTGCGACCACAGACGGACATGTTCGTGAGTCGAAAGCCACCACCCCTATGGCGTAAAACTCCCCGAGACTCAAAATACTGCACGTGTTTGACTTTTAAATGCATTGAAAAGGCTGCACTTTGATCCATTGCGAGTCCGAGGCATTTCGGGAAAGGCGTGGTGCTATTGATAGACCCTATCCCTCATGATCCTCTCAAGGCAATTGCTGCCAGTAGGGCGTTTTCAAGACGTTGTTTCAATTCATCATTGGTGCCATTGGATTGATCTGTTGCCTTAGGGGGTGAAGGCAAAGCCCCCAGCTTGTAGACTTTCTTGATTTTGTTGATATCGGAGACTTCCGCAAGTGTCTGATCATCGAAAGGAACAGAAGTCCCTTGAACGGTAGCGCTAAGATGGGCGGCAACAGACTCATGTGTTATCTCTGGGGAGACAGAGACCTTGACCACCAAGAGATCTTTAGTTGTATCGGCAATGCCAAATCTGCGGAATGACTCGGCAATCTAACTCCGTGTTAGCTCCGTGACAAATTGCGCCGCATTTCTATACACACATTATTGGTGGAGTTGAACGAGAATACAATCTCAGAATGCACATTACGAGATTTCAGTCGATTGTGCATATAATCATTAGCTGCTCTGAAGATCGCAGCAGTGGCATGTGCCCTGGAAAGAACCTGATGTAGGGTGTCAATATCAGGACTCGAAATCTATATCTTGGGGCCAATGATCGAATCCTGAGTAGACAGTTCTTCACATACCATGCTTGCATCAATGAGAGCATATTCGAACTCGGCATTGCCAGCAAGAAGCTGTGATTTCAAGAAGGCGGCGTTTTGCACATCGCGATATAGAGCCACGTGAACCGGCAAAGACGTTAAATGCGGCACATTAATAGTCTCTAAACCTGAAGCCATGGCCAACATTTAGAAATTCAGAATAAAATGACGTAGAGCAAGCCGATCTGCTAAGCCGAAGTTCAAGTTCTAAGAATATCAAATCCCACCTGTGAGTCACCTGACTATTCTGGAATTTTCCGGATTCCGGACTTAAGCATGAGTAATCACGCTGATATCACCCGTCCACCCGATACTTAAACCTCCCCTCTCTTCCCAAGGTGTGCGGCTCGATTATCAGATAACCGCAATCATGGCTTTCTTTTTACGGCGCCCGTTCGCTGTGTCATCGGCTCTTCGCCAGCTTCCCAAGGCTTCGAACACCGCTCGATTCATCCACAACTCCCCTCTCAAGCCCCAGGCACCCAAGGTCCAGGGAGCTTCGGCCTCGATCTTCGCCAAGTCTCGTTCGTCCTTCCAAAATGCATTCCGCCGTACCTACATGCAGCAGAGCTCCAGCACTGCTCAGGGCGGCAACATGACCCAGAAAATGGTGTATGGCGCCGCCATTGTCGGCGGTACCATCTTGGCCACCAACTTCATCTTTAACCGTGAGACGCGAGAGGATGGCGGCATGCCCGCTTATGAGCGTAGCTTCCTGAACGAAACCTTCATGCACACTGGCCTCGGTATTGGTATCATTGGTGTTGCTGCGCGTGCTCTTCATATGAGCGGCTGGTCTTATCGTCTCATGGCTATGAACCCTTGGCTCGTCATGGGTGTCGGTCTCGTCGGCAGCATCGGCTCCATGTACGGAACTTTCTACACCTCTCCTGATAAGTAAGTTTTTTTCAATCGCTCGAGTGGCTTAGCAAGCGGCATCCTAACTAATACCTCACATAGCTACGTTGTGAAGTATGGCTGCTGGACTCTGTTCAACCTCACCCAGGCTGCTCTTCTGTCCCCGCTCATGTTCATGCACCCCGCCATCCTCGCCCGTGCTGGTCTCTACACCGTTGGTATGATGGGCTCCATCGCTTTTGTTGGTGCCACCGCCAAGCAGGAGAAGTACCTGTACCTCGGTGGTCCTCTTCTTGCTGGTGTTGCCATCGTTGCTCTTTCCGGTCTCGCCCCCATGGTTCTCCCCGCTACTGCTGCTCGCACTCTGATGTGGTCTGAGCGCCTCTGGCTTTACGGTGGTCTTGCTGTCTTCGGTGGCTTCACCCTGTATGATGTTCAGAAGATTCTGCGCCACGCTCGTCTTGCTGAGCGCGGCGTGATCAAGCGCGATGTTGTCAATGAGTCTGTCAGCCTTGAGTTGGACTTCATTAACATCTTCGTTCGCATGGTCCAGATTCTCGGCATGCGCAACAACAGCCGTCGCTAAGCGGTCTGCATAATAGAGCAGGCTGGTATTGGCCTTACCCACACAGATATGGAGTTTTCTCTTTGCTGGAATAACCACCTTGTACTTTAGTCGTTCATATTTCTTGTTCTTGTTTTTTTTTTCTTTTGGTCTTATGGGTTTGCCTCTGCCCAAGGGCACGCCTTTCATTGTCCGCAGCGACGGACCAACAGCGATTGCAGCGAATACAATCTCCGCTCTAGTCATAAAACAATCTGCTAGAGGTCATTTACAGAGTTTATGAGCTTTGTCGGTGCTTCTTTAGAAATACAAATTCATTTGAACCAAAACTTTCGACTTTGTAGTTCGCTAACTGAAACTTGTCCCGTGTGGTTGGGCTCACAATTCACTTACGGAATAGGTAGAAGAATTGGAGTAGAAAGTATCCTGAAAAATAAAGCAAAATGCAACCTTCAGTACTAATATTAGCTTATACACTGGCTGGAACTCAGCAGGGTCGTCATGGTCATGTGATCGCGAGCTCGCAGGTGAGGCTTGCCTAAACCAAGACTGCAATCCAGACTCGGACTCATTGAACATTACCAACCGCCAAGTTAAACTCTCCAATATCCGATCACTACAGTCGCATTGAGTGTACACTCACAACCACGCAATATGTCGAACGAAATGGAAGTCGATCCTCCTGTCGCACAAGACGACGCACCCGAGCAATCTGGCAGCTTTGAGCCACGGACACAGGAAAATGCGGTTGCTGTGCGCAGTATCGAAGGATGGATCATCCTTGTGTCCAACATCCACGAGGAAGCATCAGAAGAGGATGTTACCGACCTATTTGCGGAGTACGGAGAGATCAAAAACTTCAGCTTGAACCTCGACCGCCGGACGGGTTACGCCAAGGTACGCTCCTGCCTGTCCCAATGGGACACTCGGTTTGAGACCAACTCTCAATGTCTTGTGTCTTGAGTCGTGATTTATTGTGATGGTCCGCCCTGAATCTTGGGCTAACAAAACTGTTCCTAGGGTTACGCATTGATCGAATACTCAACACTCCCCGAAGCCAGCGATGCTATCCAGAACCTGAACGACACCAAGCTTCTTGACCAGACCATTCATGTTGACTACGCATTTGTTCGCCCACCCCCATCTGCCAAGGGCAAGAACGGAGCCAACAAGGGCCGTGGTGGTCGGAATCGCAGCCGAAGCCCCAACCGCAGTCGCAGCCCTGAAGCCGCCGGTGACCGGGAATAAGCTGTTTAATGGATATGAAAGATGAAATTTGACACAAAGATGCATGGCTTGTGACCTTTCACATGATACCTAGGGCTTTCACTTTAATCTTGCCTTTTCTTTTTCCACTCTTGCGCTGTTACATCAACTCCCACCGGTTCACCTGAACAATCCCCCTGGATAACTGAACCACCTGGACTTCGCCGGTGTTACCCCCTGTTGGACCTACCCGATTCATGCTGAATGAGATGTGCCATGGGACACGTCCGCAAAGAGGGATACGCCGGCGCCGTGATAGATTGCCATAATGGTATGGGATCCCGTTCCTGACCTGTCACAGAACCTTGCTGACCTCAATCCAGAATGAAAGGCAATTTCGATAAAATACAAAAATTGAACTGTCAACTTAGCGAAGACCATCTTGGCTCCATAAACCAACCCTTCAGTAATAGACACTGTGCAGGAGGCTTGTATTCGGCGATGTGTGACTTGTTCCCATACTGGGTAGTCTTGCGACTCATTTTGTAACCGAATAGCATGCTATTCGCCAGATCTCCATTTGTAGAAGAGCCCTTAGTCGCTTGACTTCGTATCCGATGCCTTGCAGGTGGATCACGCGACAGCCATGTGGCGCCCTCCTCCAGCCAATATATAAACTGCAAATTAGCTTTAGACTCAACGAAATCTATAGTCCTGGGCCTACCAGCACAGTAACAGCGCAAGTTCATATCCTATAGAGGCTGGGGTCAGGAAGCGGGTCTGGTGACTAAGACCGAACCCTGGCCCGTTTTCCCCGCATGAGCCTATCCTGCGCACTTCCTCTTTTTCACGTCATTGCGTACTCTCTCCTTATATATCTATAGAATTGTTCTATTACCTGGTGTCTGGGGATCTGGTTCTGGCAGGATCACTTTCCTGAGACAGAATGGCTCCCCGACACACTTCCTCTAGCCCCTTGAGGCTACCACGGTCTCTATATTGTATCATTACACTATGTGTCCTGTCATTTTCGGCTGTGGTCAATGCGCTGGCGTATCCGCAGCAAGATGTGCTGGGTGAATCATTGTCGACTGTCAATGGGGACTCCAGTGTCTTTGGTGACCCTTCTGCGGAGACGGTTCTGGGAGATCCTGAATCGACATCGGGAGGGTCAAGCCACGAACCAATTATTGAGACACTGCGGGATCTTATTGATGCACTGCGTGTCATGCAAGACAAATATTTTGTATTATGGCAGGGCACATGGCCTACCAGCATCGATTGGACTGCCGCCGTGCTGGGAACACACGTTTCGGCGGCGCTGTCATCGCTGACGTCTGGACCGCTTGATATGCCTGAGACGGATGACTTACAAGGATTGACCTTCTTCATGCTTGAGAATACTGTCAACCAGTACTTCAGCCATACATCTGCCTTCTACTTCGGCGAGAATGCATTCAGTCTGCGGAACCAGGCTTACGATGACATGCTCTGGGTTGTGCTGGGGTGGCTGGAAAATATCAAGTTCCAAGACGTCCATTCAGATTTGCATTACACTTCATCCAATGCCAGTTCTGGACAACCATGGTATGGCACTCAATTCCGTGACTCTGCAGCACACAGAGCACGACTATTCTACGAACTTGCCTCGGCAGGCTGGGACAAGACTCTTTGCGATGGCGGTATGATCTGGAGCCCATATTTGACGCCATACAAAAACGCCATCACGAACGAGCTGTTCATCTCCGCAAGTATCGGCATGTACCTTTATTTCCCAGGTGATCCCATCGACTCACCATTCCTCGTCAACTCACAAAATACCCATGCAACACGGAAGAATATACACAATGTTGCCCATCTCAAGGCTGCTGTTGACGGGTACAGATGGCTCAATCACTCGAATATGACCGGCCCTGGTGGACTCTATGCCGATGGCTTCCATATCAGTGGCTATCAAAGCTCGCAGAAACCCGGCTCGGGAAAGTGCGACCAGCTTAACACTATGGTCTACACCTACAACCAAGGTGTCATCCTCAGTGGGCTGAGAGGGCTCTGGCTAGCCACCAACTCAAAAGACTATCTGGTAGACGGCCATGAGCTGGTTCACAAAGTACAGCTCGCTACCGGCTGGCCGTACATCTCTAGTCCGCAGTGGAAAGGACTCGGCCGCGGAGGTGTACTAGAAGATGCATGCGATGCCGGTGGCTCCTGCTCTCAAGATGGACAAACCTTCAAAGGAATATTCTTCCATCATCTTGCAGAGTTCTGCCGGCCTCTGCAGCCACAAGAAGAACGATTCCTGGCAGACGCCATTAATGGCGGTGACGCAGAAGGAAGTAGCTGGGATGATATCTATCAATGGCATTTGGGACGCTGTCGTGCCTACGGTAGCTGGATCGAGCACAATGCGCAGGCTGCTTTGATGACTCGGGACAGCGATGGCAAGTTCGGTTCTTGGTGGGGTCGTCCATACTGTCAGCTTGAGTCTGATGATATTGTGGATAGCAGTACTATTCCTGCCGACGCCATTGACTACCGCAACTTTAAAGACTCTGGGCCCCTGGTTTCGGGCCTGCACCCGAAGGATTATAATGACCGCGGCCGTGGTCGTACGGTTGAAACACAGTCTGGCGGTATCGCAGTCTTGCGAGCCTTGTATCAATGGCAATCCTGTGGTGCTCTTTGACTGCGATGAACGGTGGCGTTTGGGTAGTAGATAGGTCTTTTCTGTACAGTTTGTATAATCTCCGAGTTTCAGGTTCAGCTTCGGAGTCATTATCATCACTTATCCTTTCACAGTTGAAATTATCCTACAACAACTCTCCCAACTCTCCTAGTCCAGAGAAAGTATAAGAAAATAAAACTGTATCACTCTGTGACTCTTGTCCCGGAGATGTCTCGGAGCCGGCTATACTGTACATTTTCCAGGAACAGCATACCAGTCTTTATGATCAATCAGACTCATTGCAAAGATGACATGTATAACATGACTTAACGTTCACTCAGACGCCGACGAAACCAACCGCGCATGAACATGCTTCAGCCTTGCAAGTGAAAACCTGGCTCGTAATTGCATGTGCATCTACAGTACATAACATGCACAGTGCATGCACACCGAACACTCACCGCATCTGCGTTGAATCTCTTTCTAGGGATTGGACAGCTGGCCACAGCGAATGGATCCCCCATCGTGGGACAGTTCAAGCCCCCACAAAACAGGGAAAACCCATTTTGCAAACTGGATATGGTGTCTGATCTGCAGAGGGTGGGACGTGAAGGTGAAGATGCCGTCGATATTGTGAGACTGTGGGTTAGACGGGAGATATTCCTAGACAGTTGAGGCTGAGCTAAGTTAAACTCATGTCTCTGGCAAAAGGTCCCACTGGCACAGCGTCAACAACTCTTTCCCGTTTTGGACGATATGTTGTGTTCTTCTGAGTCCGGTCACCTCCCGTATTAATAGCTTTGTGAACCAGTATATGAGTCACTGAATATATTCTGTGTGTGTATTGTGGGTGGAACCCGACCGTAACACTTTTTGATAACCGTGTCCTTGATTCATCCTGTTGACCAGGAGAGGCAAACAGACGGGCAACCCCCGTAGGCTTGCGCCGTGTCCGGCGCCTCGGTACTACGGAGCAGAGTCTTGTTCGGGGGATTGTTCGAAAATGTTCTAGTGATTGGCACAGTTTCAAATTATTCGGTATTGCAGGGCACAGCATTTTCGGTGCTACGATTGGCGCCAACCATAAAACCACAGAAAAAAATCAAATAAAAAAAAACGGGCGACCAGTGAAAGGGGGCTACAAGGATGGCAATAATGAAAAAGACCCCCACCACGTATTGCGGTTATTTTGGTCTTGGATTTACCAGTCCAGTGCATTTCTGCACTGGACGTTGAATGTGCCCGTCTGCTGTCTCATAGACAAAGCAATAGGCAATAGCTCACCTCTACGTAAGGCATTCGTGGATGTCTCACTTGCCCCCCCCTCTCCCCATTGCCCATGAAGATGAATATCTTCCTCGCCTCAACCGTCACAGTGTATTGCGGCCTAAAATCGGTGAAGTGTATGGAGCAGTTACACATTTCCTGGTCTAAGCGTCTCATCATCTGACTATCGGGGGCTCAGGAACGAATCTGGTTTGATGTTTGAGATCCATATCTAACTTCCTAATAGCTTCACCCTGATGCCGTCATGCCTCGTGCAGCGGAAGACTGCTGCATATCCCCGTAGTGGCGTCGGCAGTTCTGATTCGAGGTGATCCTACTACCGGGAATGGGGCTACTGTGTACAGTGTGTACAGTACACTGTCGACAGTCCACACTGAAAACCCTGGACTCCATCACCACCACTCCCCTCTCCATTTTCCCAGAGATCATCTTTTCTCAAGGTTTTCAAGATCGGCGCCTATCTCCATTTCCCCCTCGGCTAGTGATCCATCAAATCATATGGGATGTCAAATCCCCCCCGGGAATGGATCGCCTGAAGCCCAAGCGTTGGGCGCACATTGGTGGGTTAGGAGGACTGTTGACTGGTTGCGGGAGATTACGACCCTGTGCGGAGACACCCTTTCCCGTGAACTGGTGAAGTGTTCTCTGCGCACCTACAAAGGGTGTCAGATCATCTTGACGGTTTCATTTTCGCGGTGGAAGCGGCTACTGTATACTGTACGGACTGGGTCGGAAGAAATGGGGAGAGGGGGGTGAGGACGGTTGGTTTCCACGGTCATCAGAGTCAGGGTCAGGGTTTGGGGAGGGGATTGTTTATTTCCAGTCGAGCGAATATCCGAGGGCCTCTTGTTTTCCAAGGTTAAGGGAGGAGACCATAACCACGGAGTAAGTTCCCCTTTAACGTTTGCCACTGGGATATGCAGACTCTTTATGTCGTGAATGAGAAAATAGGACATGGCGTCATTTTGGCTTGTTGAGGCTCGATCGACATTGCATACAATATCCACCCCCTGAGAAACCTCCTTAAATTCTAAGTCCAGTGCAATAACCTCTAATTCCAAGTCTAATTGCCCTCTATATTTACTCGGCTAAACGGTGGAGGTACCAGTGACCTCCCCTAACCCCATCCCCTCCAGCGACCGGCGGTGTACCGGGTACCAGAGAAAAAAAAAAAGGGCACACCGAGTAATCATTTAATATGTGGCTGCCACGCGCCTCCCCCACTTTCTAAAGAGACATGGAACCTGAGAGGCTAAGGGAAGGGATTAGAGAACAGAAAGGATGATCATTACCAAGGGCAATCTGCTGGATACGATAGACAAAATCCCGGAGACTCCTGAGGTACCAAGTGGTGCCGCTCCCGTAGCCCCAATCAACAAGTCACTGAGAGGTACCCTTTCATGCCGTAACACCAATACCGACCCTCTCTCTCTTCTTCCCATTTCTCTCCTCCACCCACCCCCCCCCCCCCCAAACCAAACCCTCTCCCCCCCCCCCCAGCAGCTCTCTTCCACTTCCATGTCTTTGAAACACCTCGACTTAACATTACTTTCTTTCGTTCACTCTCTCTTCCCTCCTATTACTGTCCCTCGATCACGCCTTGACCTCGCCCTGAATTGATTTTTATTACACACTCTTCTTTCCCCCCCGATCTCCGCTCCCTTTAAGTCGACCCCGGTCGTCTTTCAACCCGGAGAAAAATCCACCATTCTTACCTCTTTTCGAATTTCCACCGACCCCGGTAGCTACCTCAAGCGTAACACAGATTTTCCATCTGGGGTACATCGCTAGGGGTAGACCCGTGGTCGTTTTCATCAGCCTACGCTTTTCCTCCGACCCTTTAAAAACCCTGACCCAATCGCGGGATCCTCATTACACCGCCACCCTGGACGTCTTTTTGAGCCTGTGTGTCGCGAGTAGTTACCCTGATGGCCTCAGATACAGCGATGACTGAAGCCTCTCCTGTTGATACCTTGCCGCACCCAAACGACGGTGGCCGCATGCATATGTCATCCCTTTCTTCATCATCTTCCATATCCGACGCCGAAACAGATCGTCGAGGCCGGTCAGAACGTCCCCGAATGGCGAGTCGAAAACCCAGTGCTTCGATTCTTGTCCCTCGGGACCATCCCGAAATCGAAATTGAGGAGGAAGAGTTTCCCCCAGACGACGCCCGGGCCATGAGTCCCCGACGGAATTCCGCCGATTTAGAACGGTTAGGCAAGGAAGCTCGTCAAACTCTACAAGAGTGAGTTTTTTCTACAACTGTTTGGGACGGAAAGCGACGGTTTGAGTTTTGCAGGCTAACGAGGCGAGCGGGAAAAAAAATAGACAAGCCAAGGCCCTTCAATCATCTCTTCAGGCTCTCGCCGAGCGTATCGACGCAGTCAAATCGGACCACGACAAGTTGGAAAATGAGAACAAGATTCTACAAGACTACATCGGTGGTCTCACCCGCAATATGACCAAGAGCGAAATGACCCGCAGTACGAAGGCCCGCAAAGCGCAGAAGTAATGGAACTATCCTCATGAGGGATCAAATGTCGCCAGGTGGTCCAAGATCTCTCTCCGTGAATGTCAACCCGGTGGAGATGGCCTCAGATTTGCGACAGGGGGGATTTCTCAAAGTTGCGCCCGACCGATTCTACCGAGTTTTCCGACTTCTTTTCACTCAACTCATTACGAAGAAATTCCTCCCTATTCTCTTCTCGCACATCCGACTGGACCCTCAATGTTACATGTCCAGCTCATCATGTTACAGTATCAACAACGACAGGGTTGAGGTCTCTCTGGCGACACGAATGCCTTTCTCTCTCTCCGAAATGGAGGTCAGCAGTTCTCCAGGAACGTCTTACGATCGCCACTTTCTCACACATCATATCTACCCGACTGGTTCGGCCACCCGAAAAATACTACGAAAAATACCAAAAAAAAAAGAATACGACACTTTCGAGTTGAACGCCACAACGCCATCATCGTCTCCACAGCCCCCTGTTCAACCGAGATCGAACCGCTGGAGCGATGAGGCTGAAGTCGGATATATCTTCTCAAGGGGGTTCAAGGGATCATTTGTGACATCACTGCATATCTGGTGTTCGTCAAGTGGTCCGCCACCTGAACCTTGGCAATAATTGTGTTTTTCGTTCTTCTTACATCATCCTCAACGCGGTGTGCGACCTCAAACCACCTGCTCCCTTCATCCCTTGTCGATATTATTGGGCCTATCTCTTCCTCATCTTTTTTCTATTCGGCGTTTCTTTCTCGTGGCGGTTTTGTGAACACATGTTTCACTTGTACTTTTTTTTCCTTCGTTTTCTTTTCTCTTCCTCTTCGTTTTCTTATTTTGTCATTCGATGCATAGCACCTTGGGCGTTTTCGGGGACTGGGATTAGACTCGATTTGATTGAATGACTCTTGCTGGAGCCGCACTGGAAATGTTTTCTCGTCATGGTTGCATTTGCATGGTGACGGTCACGGTCACAGCAGGACGGCGTGGAAAGTGGAAAGCATCTTAGGGGTCCTTCGGAGCAGTCCATTTGTCTTCTTATCTTTACCTCTCATATGCCCTTTCGGTTTTCGGGGGGGTTCTCTGTATATCTGCGTTTTGTCATTCTTCTTTTCTTCCTTTCGCTTCTCACCTACCATTCTTCTCCCTTCGTCTACTCCTTAACCAATTTTCCGCTGGACTGACTATCCCCACCGATTCCATTCGTGTCTCTCCTTTCCCGCCAAGGAGAGACAGAGATGACGGCTTCCGTCATCTCATTATCGCACCTCTATACTACATTTTTGCACTTGCACTCGCACTTGCTATACCCATGAGCGTGCATGTCTCAACTTACCCCTTTGACCCATCTTTTATTTTTCCCTTTGCGTTTATCTTTTTTTTTTACAATCCTCATCTCATTCATACCCCTTTTTTATCGAGCCCGCATGGCTGGTAGCATTGTGGTCTCAACCATGACAGCAAATGGAAATTATTTCAGACTAAACCGTCCTGTCTTTTCTTTGTAGATCTCCTTTCGCTTATCGCCTTAGTGTTGACCCAGCCATGGGCGGACACGTAGATCGCCCCGTATATCCATGTATGAATTGGGTCGCTGAACGTGAAAAAGGGGGGGAGGGGAACTCCCGAAACATTCCCAATAACTGCTGATCCTTTGAGACGCATTCAATGACCCCAGTACGAGGTATTAACCCAGACAAATTGTAATCCGTAGAGTGCGCTTGACTTGACTACAATATTACTGTACAGCACAGTTCCACCAAGGCAGCAACAGCAACCTGCAGTCTCCACAGCCTTACATTCCTCCGTGCAGTGATATCCCATCCAAGCAAGACGATTGGACCAGTTCAATACACTACAGTATATAAGTTATAGATACTGTAGCCACTATAGACACCGAGAGCTCACACCCCCAACAAAAAGAGCAAGCGGATACATATTCCATGAATTAACGCCAGCGCGTCCCCCCTCGATCTCTTCCGATCATTCGATCATTCGACCCGGAGATTATCAACCTGGAAAGTGGAGGGCCACGGACGGGGTCCAAGCATTCAGAGCGAGGGCAGGACCAGCCGTTTTGCAATTCGCGCAGAAGATCGCCAGTCCGGCCCGAGCGACTTCTTCACCGATTTTTTGACGTTGCTGGAAGACGCCTTTGCGCCATTTCGCTTGTTGGCGTCTGGTGATGATCGATCTGAACGTTCATGTTCGTGTTCTTGGGCTTGTCATTTGCGTGGGGGACGTGTCCACGGCCTGGAGTCAATGATGTCGGTGGGGGGGAAGACTGGGGATCGAGCGTGGATTGTACTGGGTGGTTGGTGAGGCATATGTTGGGAGGGTGTGGGGGGGCATTTGGTGTGCAGGAGCGTTGGATGACTGTAGACCTGGGGTAGGCTGCCCAAGGAACCGCGATAGCCTCTATGGGGTTGGGATCTTGGCTTTGCGTCTCAAGGTGCGTCAATATAGGGCTCTAGTAGATATTGGTTGTTTATATCCAGCTCTGCATTCACATTAGAGTATCTGTACAGAAAGAATATGTCATGGAAAGAGTGCAGACAATGGACCAGGGAATGTACAGTACTCCCAAGGAGAAAAAGCAAATATAAGGTCCATGTCAGATCAAGGCACAACCGCAGTTTAGGCGCTTGCAGTTACATATTCCAAGTAGAACCCCCCTGTCATGTTCAGTGCTCGTGTGACTATCTCAGACTCCAGCCTGCAGCCTCCAGCACATCGCTTGGGGGAAATGATATCGACAGGGTTGAGCGTCATGTCGTTGCTTGCTGATGTTTGTTTTTCAGAAGTGAGGCAACATTGGGAGTTCTCATTCGCATCTGTCTCGTACTTTTTACCTTTAACCTAATCCGTCAGTACTGTAGAATATTCCACGCGTGGTATTGAACGTCCATGTTGTGTATTTGGAGCAGAGTTGACAATACGGAAATGAAAGGTGCCATGCATCCATAGGTTGGTTCATGCAGCAGTCACTTTAATGAAGGACAATGTTAATGCCATTGTTGTCTATTCTTAGCGGAGATATAAAATTAGCCCCATATGCTATAACGTTATAAGGCAACGTATTCGATCAAGAGCGAGTGTAATTATCTTTCTATCACTGATCGTATTCTAGGGAAACTTCTCAATCGTTTAACGTTCAAGGCAACGAACTTACCGTTGAAGTCGCTAAATCCGCACTTTGTAGCGTTGAACTACTTCTTGAATCTCTAATAATGAAAGGTCAAATTCCCTGCCCAAGGTCGGCGCATTTCTGGGGACGAGTTACCCTCACTTTTTTATCGAGTCTTCCATGGCTTTGAGGACAACACAAATGCGCTTGGAGCTGTACTGAAACAAACAGGGTCTTGGTACTTAACACTTGGTTAACTAAAAACTATACATTATACCATCTTAGGGATATATCGATTTGGTTATAACATCCCCAATACTTGTGCTTGTGACCACCGGTCATCCGTCTCTGCACGTCGTATCGCCTAGGATATAAGCCTACGTAGCAAATCCTCCATTTTTATTGTTTGAACAGATCAAGTATCGGTGGTGACTATCGTTGTACGTCTAAAGAACCGGCTTTGAATGTATTAGTCGAACGTAATGTGTAGTGGATTAACTTGAAATATTATTTAGACTTGGATCTGTTGACTTCAATACCTAACGATAACTTATGCACATGTGTCATGGCGTAATATAAAAGTATGCAGGCTTTCCTTTGTATCAATTGAGATTCAACTATGATCAGGTAGCTAGAAATATTATAATGGAATATAAGTTGGGACATGACAAAAACACACCCCTCCCCATAGAATAATGGATGTATAACATTAGCGTTAGGATTAGCACCTTTTTGAATATTATATAGGATGATGAATGTGAATCCTCGGCATCGTATCATTGGTGCGGGATCTTGTGGCACACGCTTGGTATGCGGTCAGATGTGTCCTCGCGAGTCGAAGTCCCACGGGTAATTCGCTACCAGCTTTCTGACTGACAAGTTCTTGGCTGCTATATCAGCGAGCTCATCTGACAGTCGCACTTCCGCGGGGGAGGTATCCATTTGCCGTTGACATCTTGTTGCACGATTGTTGCAAGTGGTGCCCAGGTCTGGGTGGTATTCGATGGAGGAGCTGGGTTACCTGGCGACCTCATATTTTACTTAAAGAATGCATCAAATCTGTCTTGATAAATTGTATATATTATCAATTGTCGCTTACACATCTCGGACCGGAGGACATTCGGTACGTACTTGGACTACAGTATGTGGCAGTATAGTAAATTGAGGTACGTTTTGTTCCTAGGTTTTAAGAGTTACAATCAAAAGCATTCCAGTTTATATGCGGTTTCATCGTATCTTATGTCGGACACCCAAGGTACATGGTTAACTAGGGAATTCCTAGGAAATTCAGGTACCCTGGGTGCGTATTAACCCTACACCCTTGACAACAATCAACTTCTCTGCGGGCTACTAGACGAGAATTGATGATTGATCTGATTTGTTAAAATGCCAAGAATTTGATGCATTTGTTCATGTAAATATAAGGGTAAAAAGAGGTGGCATATGAGGTAAAATATGATACTGAAAATGGGCTAATCCTACTGCTAATGTTATACATCCACTATCAACTTATAAGTTATGGGGAGGGGTGTGTTTTTAACGTGGCCCTATATTTGAGTGACAAGGAACATGTACCCTCTTATAGGCATAGATGTACCTTCACTAGCTCGTTTCTACCAAATCCGTTATCCTTGCTTGCAACCTGAAATACTCTATCTTGGAATATGAATGGTAACATTGAAGCTTGTAAGATTGCCGTTTGTAGGTAAGCATTCGGGAAGGCGGGTATATAAGCTCGACAGCGAACCAGAATGGATTAGAATAGCAACTTGGTGATGTTTCGAAATTCTTCCATTTGAATAAGGATGTCACCTTCCCCTTGTCCTGGGTATCGGTCGTAAAGCGCAACAAATGGGATGTTCAAAGGGGCCCCGATAACTCTGTCATGCTCTTCGTCGAGCTTTGGATCTTTCGTGTAGACAAAGAGGACATCAATCCACTGGTTACCAGTTCCGTTCTCTTCTAGGGACTCCAATAGCTTCTCTGCTTCGACCTGGAGATTCTAGAGACATGTAAATGGTTGTACAACATGCTCAGGGGGAAGGGTACTCATAAGTGAAGCGAAGGTTCTGTCACTCTCGGACATTTTGTGAAGTTGAAGGGTAAATTCGGAATCAGTATGATCAATAGAGACGGACGACATCCTAGGATGGTGATGGATGTATAGCTAACCGTGTCACCTGATTGGACGAGGCTTTGACGACAAACCCTCAACTTCAACTTCAACTTCAAATTCTCAAGTAAGCCATGCATGGTCGAACATGAAGAGGCAAGAACACACCTGGTTACCCTGATATGGCACGTAGCATGGTTATCAAGCAACAATTGCATAACAGGATGGGATTGTATCGAGGAAAAGCAGTTGCCCTCTATGTAAATCCACTATGATTGGTCACTGGGAAATACATGACTGGACTGTCGAGATCGAGCATGAGTCCGAGCCTGAGCGACTTCAGCATAACGCAGCCCAGGCAGGAAAGCCCCATCTGGCGGCCATTATCCTGTCTATATGTATGCATGCATACGTATACTGTTCAACACTTTGTCAGTGGCACTGTACACAGATCATGAATATAGCTCCCGTGGGTGCCCTCTGTTTACTACCTCGACTGCAAATTTACACAATGATAGCAAATATTCAGGTCAATATACGAATTCATCTTCGAATCCATGTCTAGGGATAATCAAACGCCATATGGCACAGAGTACGGGAGATGAAGAAGAGAAAAGGTAAGAAAACCAAGTCGGAGATCAGCAAAATACATCCTCGTGGAAATCCTGATAAGGAACTGATTGAATAAAAACTTCTGTGTGGTGTGTCCTGTGTATGTGTTGGGGTGCTGTGAGAGTGCGCGCAAAGGGACTCTTTGGGTAGTTAAGAGGCAAAGTAGACAAAATAACAAGGAGAATGAAAAACGAAAAAGAGAAGACAGATGGATATCCCCAGGCAGAGAACACAAGCACCGGGCCAAAAGCAGACAAGGCATAAGGTAAGTAGAGGACCCGAAGTAAAATGAACCAGTGCAGTATCAAAGCACGGTGATATCTCTCGTAGGCCCTTGCGAGCCTTGAGAAAGAACAACCCAACTCATGTCAATACATTCCACGGTTCCGTTCTCCTTCTTTCCCCTCTATGTCCTTGCACAGGGAGACCCGTCGCGCGCTCTCTCTCTCGGCTGTCTCATCCGTCCTGAGGACGTGAGTCCTTCGACAAGATCTTTTTAGGTGTTACTCATTTACTCGGCGGGCTTCTCGCCCTCGGTAGCCGGGGCCTCCTCCTTCTTCTCGGCGGGGGCGGCGCTCTCGGCAGCGGGCTCAGCCTCGGACGAGGTCCAGAGGGTCTAGGACTAGTTAATAATTGAATTTCATCCATGTCGAGCGAAGTACATACCAGGTTATCACGGAGGAGCTGCATGATGAGAGTGGAGTCCTTGTAGCTCTCCTCGCTCAGGGTGTCGAGCTCTGCAGATAGACGTTAGTTCCAAACTGTGGGATTTTCAGGGAAAATATAGACGTACCAGCAATAGCATCGTCGAAGGCGAGCTTGGCGAGGTGGCAAGCCTGGTCGGGGGAGTTGAGGATCTCGTAGTAGAAGACGGAGAAGTTAAGGGCAAGTCCGAGACGGATGGGGTGAGTGGGGGCGAGGTCAGTCTGGGCGATCTCGGTGGCGGCCTTGTAGGCCTCCAGGGAGTAGTCGGCGGCACCCTTGCGGCGGTCGCCAATGGCGAACTCAGCGAGGTAACGGTGGTAGTCACCCTTCATCTTGTGGTAGAAGACCTTGGACTCGCCGGACTGGGCGGACTTGATGAGGTGCTCGTCGAGGACCTCGAGGATGTCATCGCAGATCTTGGCAAGCTCGGCCTCGATCTTCTGGCGGTACTCCTTAATCAAGGTGACCTGGGACTCGTTGCCCTTGGACTCCTCCTTCTGCTCGATCGAGGTGACAATTCTCCAGGAAGCACGGCGGGCACCGATGACGTTCTTGTAAGCGACGGACAGGAGATTCCGCTCCTCAACGGTGAGCTCAACATCGGCCGAGGCAACGACCTTCATGTTCTCGACCATCTCTGTATCGCATGGTTAGCGGATATGACAGAAAGTCTGGCGATATTCAACCAACCTTCATAGCGCTCAGCCTGCTCAGCGAGCTTGGCGAGGTAGACAGCGTCTTCGTGACCCATTGTGAAAATGTGTTTTCTGCAGATATACCAGGTTAGCGAGTTATCGATTAATTATGCTGAGTTGTCACGAATTTCGATAGGAAACGCATCAAATCACGCCATCGAGAACAGTGCAAGCAAGGCGGTCGAGAGGGGTAGACAGCCGCCCCTCAAGTATCGAGGGGTCCAGGTGTATAATTTCCCCCCAAAAATATCACGTAGAATTATTATCAAGTCATTGGGACGAAAATGCGTGATGGCAGATCATGACGATCATTGGTGATAGCCCAGTGGCCACTTTGCCTTGGTTCCCGTGCGTAGTCGTATCGCAGGAAAGCGGTCGCGGCACCGGTTCAGCGGGTAAACAAGGCAACGAAGACATGTGAATTCCCCCATATATTATCGTGACGCGATTCCATTGACGAGGACTTGACAGGGCTAGACTTGAAGGATATTTTGAAGAGAAGAGGGAAAGTTGTTCTTTTCGAGCCTTGGAAACCAGCGAGTCCTGATATGTGTGTGTGGGGGGGGAAGAGGGGGGGAGGAGGGATATAGGAGATGTGACGTGGGAATGGGGACCATAGTAACCGAGAGATAGATCGAGACAACACTCACCTTGTTTAAAGAGAAAAAGGTGAAAAGGAGATAGATGGATGGGGGGAGGGGAGGATGAAGGGGAAGAGAGAGAGAAGGGGAGAGGAGAAGGAGGGGGGGAAACACAGAAGGCGGTGTTGTTGGGATTTACGCCTGAACAACCCACTTCTTCGGCTTCGAATAAAAGACAGACCAAGTGCTTGGTCACTTGGTCTAATTAATTCTCATTTCGCTTTTGTATTGGTACTTCATCTGCTACAACTTCTCATCTTCTGTGTGGTTCGGTGGGCCAACATCGTCATCCCCCATTCCGCGCCAATCGCCCCGGGGTTCCTTACTTGCGCCTCATTAAGAGACCCAAATCCAAGGCAGACCACTAGTTTCAAACATCATTTCCCGTGTCTACTCGGGCTCTAGGGTTGGCCTCGTTTTCTATCCCCGAGGAAACGGTCCCGACCAGAGGCTGAGCAGGTCATCTGCACCATCCCCCATGATCTCAATATAGTTGAACAAGTCGAATGAGAGCTCATCCACTTATCGCATCTTGGACGCCGGAAACAGAAATTTCTGCTCACATGACCTGCTGATGTAATATTCACCTGACATAAGCCCCTGCTCACATGACGTGGACAAGTTATGTCATGGCTTGATGTGTCCCGGTTCTGCGTACCTTTGTAAAACCTTCCCCTGTCATCTCTCTCTCTTGCTCTCTCTCTTTCTCTCGAAACTCTACTATTCCATCAAGATGCTTCGTCAATTTGTTGTCCGCCCTGCCGTCGCTGCCAACCGGGCAGTCATGACCCGTTCCTTCTCCGCCGCCGTCCCTCGTATGGGTGAGGGTGACACTGGTGCCCCTCGTGCCGGTGCTGGTGCTAGTGCTTCCTCTGGGTAAGCAAAGATAATTACTTCGAGTCTTTCTGTGGCAGTCTGGCCTGGGCTTCAATTACGAGCTCAGCATGTCAGTCTGTCTGCGGGTTGATGACATCATACTCGCGACGATCATCGCTAACACCTGTGCTCTGTAGCGACGCATTCACCCGCCGTGAGGCCGCTCAGGAAAGCATTTACATCCGCCAGAAGGAATTGGAGAAGTGAGTCTCATTTCAATCATTAGACCTTGGGCCAAGAACACAAGCTAACTGTGCTCTCAGGCTCGCTGACCTCAAGAAGAAGATTGCTGAGCAGCGCAAGCACCTCGATGAGCTCGAGGGCCATATGTGAGTGGATCTTTTACGTCTTTCGGATCTTTTGTCATTTCTCCAGCTTGCTGGGTTTAATGATGCATTACAAAGTACATGGCTGACTCGTTTCTTTACAGTGACGGCCTGACCCGCGAATAGACTTCTCCATGCATATCTGAATAGCTAAACTAGTCCAGTGTATAATATTCTCTCTGCTCCAAGCCATCCGAGCTTGTTTACTGGATTCAGTGCCGCTCCATTGACTTCATTGCTAGCGCTTGTTCCTCGCTCAAGCATCTCTCTCCATCCCATTATTTCAAGTTTCTTCAATGAAATTTACACTGTGCATGAGATCTGATTTATTATTTTTTTCTGTACTTTGTAGTTTGGAGGGCTGGAGAGAGGGCAATCATGGTGTTCCAAGTTGGTATCGAGCCAATTCGATACCAGATTCATAGCTATTAAGTAGAGTCACTGTGGCGACATGTATATAGCAGCAAATCTAGTGGTCGACCAAGCATGGGACTTTTACCCTGATCTCAAGACGATGTCTCATGGACCTATAAAAACACAAGGGCTCTCCTCTCTTAACTTATAAGCAGGGAACTTTTACAAGTAAATCTCCTGTCAACAAATATCCATACAGCCCTACAAAATGTAAACGAGCCTGCTACCGATGACACGATTGTATGTATCTTTAATATTGCAACCCTTCACATTGAAATAAGCTCATACCCAAGTGACAAGGCCACAGTGGATATTTGTTGACTCCACAATATCAAGGCCCACACCCTGGGGCACTTACATCTGGAGCTCTTTCCTCGACAATCTTTCTTCCTTATTCAACTCTCCCTCCATGCGCACATTCACGACTTATTGATATCGGGGCCACAACCTCTGGTGACTCTCCACGGTTGCCCCGCCATGCCTCTGCTCGACCTGCCAAACGAGCTTCTGCTCGCCATAGCAAGCTTCTTGGACTCCGAGAGAGACATCAACGCACTGGTACGAACTAATCGTCACCTCCACTCCCTTTTCAAATCATATCTTTATATACACAACGTTAAACACCACGAAGGATCCGCACTTCGATGGTCTGCAGTCCATGGAGTGTTACCATCAGTTAGAGAATCCATCCGACACGGCGCAAAATTCCAAGGCTTGGTCTCGAGTCAGCCCTTGCTCGATGCAGCACACTACGGCCATGTCGATATCGTGTCTTATCTGCTCTCCCTCGGGGCAAATCCTTACTCTGAGGAAAAAGGAGCCCTCAAACGAACTCCAGTCCAATGGGGTATCCGCTCCAACTTCCCAGAAGTAGTCAAGGTTATGATCGAAGCTGGAATTGACCCAAATGAAAAAGACAAGAAGGGAGAGACACTACTGCATTATTCGGCTAAAGAGTGCGCAAGAAACATCGAAGCCGCGACCCAGGTTCTCATCACCAAAGGCGCCAAGCTCGAATCCACAAACTTTATCGGCGAAACACCGTTGTGCACAGCGTGTGTCTCTGGTTCAGTGGATGTGGCGCGATGCTTGATTGAAAATGGCGCTGATTTCAACTACAAAGACCGTGGCCAAAACAAATCACTACTCCACATAGCAGCGTTGAAGAACAAAGTCTTAATCGCCGAACTGCTATTGGAAAAAGGTGTGTCGATTGAAGAAAAAGATGCATTCGGCAACACACCACTTCACTACGCCTGCTACAACGGTCACAGAGCAGTAGCCATGTTCCTAGTCCAGAATGGCGCAAACATGGAAGCACAGTCGACATCCGGGAACCGACCATTGCACCTAGCCACAATTTGGGAAACCCGAACCCACCGAATCCACAGAGTTCTCCGAATCACTTTAATGCTTCTGGAATTGGGCTCAGATCCAAACCCGAAAACCAGCAGTGGAGCTACACCCTTGCACCTGGCAATGAAGAAGGACTGCGACCACCTGTGCGAAGTATTACTCGACCACGGCGCCGATCCCGCACCGACAGACAACCGCGGTCGCACGCCGCTTCACCTTCTACCGAAGAGTTATTGCCTGAGAACAGCAGAGCTTTTGTTGGGTTACGGCGCTCCTGTCCAGGCCCAGGACAACAACGGTGATACGCCTTTGCATATTGCTGCAAGCGAAACAGCGCTTGACTTTATTACGCAATTGCTAGATGCCGGCGCCGATCAGAATATTGTGAACAAGCAGAATAAGATGCCAATTGACCTGACGGTGGCACCTTTCTCGAATCAATGGCCAGAGGAGTTACGGCCGCCAAGCGAGGCACGCCTCCTTCTCCAGGATGCAAAGGATAAATCATTGCAAGCAGCATTGTAAAGCCTGAGACTTGAATGAGAAATCGATGACAAAAGTCCAGGCATTGTTCAAGTTACTATCATTAGCGAGATGGATAGAAGCAAATACGGGTGAGACGATCATGCTATGTTTTACTTCAATGCATGTACGTTCTGGGTTCACGACAAAGAGGGAGGGCAATGAAATTGTCAGAAGCGCATGCAAACAGTTTATTGGGGCCGACTATTAGCAATTCCTGACTGCAAGAGTACATTCCTTAATACACATTGAAAGTGCCAAGTAGCCGATAACTCCGAGATTCAAATCATTAGAAAAACATCAACCGCCCTTTACCGCCGACCCATGTAAGAGCGGTAGAAGTCATCAGCGGCGTGGCCATTGCCCATGCCAGGGCTGGCATATCCGTACCCGAGACGGCCAGAGATTGACTGGCTAGCTTGGTGGGCTGCTGCAACCTTGGCTTGCAGATCCGAAGTGCCTTGGTCAATGACCTGGAGCTGGGACAGGTGCGAGTTGAGGATGCGGACAATCTGGGAGATCTGTAGAGCATTGTTAGTGGATATTATAGGAGGGATAGATCAAGTCTTGACTTACAGGCTCGTCTGCTTTGTTGGTCTTGCTCAATGTGGCGGAGGCGCCGTTAACTTCCTCGATCATGCTGGTAAGGTCCTTGCCCATCTCGTCTAGACGATCAGAGAGCTTCTCGGCCAGTTTGTATCTGTAGATTCGGGTCAGTCAAGAAGTTACTGGAGGGAAAGGTTCATCAAAAGGCAACTACTCACGTCTTCTCACGTTCCTGATCAGGTCCCTGCAGGGACTCTCCGGGACCCACTTGCTTGGAAACCATCTCATCAACTTCACGCTCATATCGGTCCAGCCAAGCGCTGAGCTCGTCTTGTTGACCTTCCACGGATGCCAATTGGCGCTCAACCTCCTGTGTAGCCCGGTCCGCATCAACAGTGCTACCATAGAGCTTCTGAACTTTGGTACCGTTCTCTACTAGCAGGCGATCCCATTCAGAAACCTTCTCGGCCTGTTCACGGAAGTCCTTCTGATACTTGGTAAGGTCCGTGGCCCAACGGGTAATGATCTCATCCATAGTCTTGTTCTTCAGGCGTGACTGGGCAGGAGGAGCAGGGCCAGCTGTGGACTGACCAAGGGCAGAGATACCCGATGCTGTAGCAGTGGTGCCTGAGGTGGCGCCTGCGGTCGAAGCAGCAGCTGGGGCGGTAGTCGTGGCACCGCCGAGAGGTGCGGCGGGTTTGGTCGAGGGCGTGGAGGCAGCTTGGCCGAAAAGGCCACCAGAGGGAGCAGCGGGTTGTGCGGTAGATGTAGCAGGTGCGGCGGTTGTGGCGGCAGCACCTGGAGCAGTCGCAGCGGTTGTTTTGCCAAGCCCCGGGAACAAGCCCCCAGAGGGAGCCGCAGCCGGGGTAGTGGTAGGCGCAACAGTGGATGTGGCGCTTCCCATGGTTGGGAAGAGAGACTTTTGAGGAGTAGCAGTCGAGGTAGCGGCAGCTCCTAGGGAGGGCTGGGTGGCAGCGCCTGTGGAGGAAGGAGCGGCACCGCCGAGGCTGAAGGCAGGTTTTGGAGCAGATGCACCAGCGGCAGAGGCTGCATTACCGCCAAACAGAGGAGTCGACGATTGGTTGCTCTGCGCAGGTGCCGCAGCTCCAAACAGTGACGGCTTGGGTGTGCTATCCGCAGGAGCGGGTGTGGTTGACGCAGCTGGTTTGTCACCGCCACCGAAAAGGTTACCACCGGATGGAGCAGCAGGGGCACCTCCTCCGAACAATGGTTTCGAAGCACCAGGTGCAGCGGGAGCTGCCGCTCCGAAAAGACCAGAAGACGGCTGTGTTGTAGTAGGTGTGGTCGACGAGGGCGCGGCGGAGGGTGTGGTAGAAGCCCCGGCTCCAAAAAGGCCAGCGGGTGCTTTGGACCCCGGCGGAGGGCCTGCAGGAGTGGTAGAGTTAGTTCCGAACAAGCCACCGCTGGCGGGGGCAGGTGTCGCAGAGGCAGCGCCTCCGAACATAGGCTTCGCAGCACCACCTCCACCGCCGAACAGCCCACTGGTAGAAGTCTGGCTAGGTGTAGTCGATTCTGTGGTCTTGTTGGGTGTTTGGCTACCGCCGCCACCGAACAATGGGTTAGATTGGGTACTGGGCGCAGCAGCAGCACCACCACCACCACCAAAGCTGAAGCCGGAGCTAGCAGCGGGGGGCGCATTGGAAGCAGCTGCATTGGGAGCACCTCCACCAAACATTGTGTTGCCTGAGCCTGTAGCTGAGCCACCTCCAAACATAGAAGGCGAGGAAGAACCGCTGGCTGGAGCTCCAACATTGCCGAAGAGACTGTTGGTCGACCCGGAAGTTGTGGTATTCTTGTTGGCACCGAAAGCATTACCGCCGGATCCAAAGAGGCCTCCTCCGCTAGGAGTGCCGCTGGAGGCGCCGCCGGATGGTGCGCCGAAGGAGAAAGACATGTTGGTTGGCGCGATCAAGGTAATAGACGGTGTTGGGTTGATGGGAAAAAGCTGGACGAAGAGAGCGCCAGCGATGGAAAGCAGGGGTTAAGAATCCTGCAGAAAGGATCAAAAGATCCAAGAGAAGAGATGCTATCTCTTAAGTGAACGGAGTGGGCAATAAGACTCGGGTCTGATTGAACAAAGGCAAAATAATGAGACCAAGATGCAGCAATAATAATTGAAGGAGTTTGGCAGCACGCGCGGGAGCTCATGCCTGATACATAAGGCATCAGCATAACGTGGTCGGCAAGCGAGTGGGCCATGTAAGCGAGTGGGCCACCCAACCACTTTTTCTACACTTTTATCGATATATCTCAACCATAACGCTATTATATTGATTAATCTCTTCTTAGACAGGCATTCTTCTTGTGCCCTATCTCGCTACATTTACCACATTTAGGTGGGCGCCGCATAACCGGTGCTTGCGTAGCCTGCGCCAGCGCTACCCTCGGTCCTGTTCTTGGCTGAAAGAACTGATTGTGAGCTTCCTCTAGCTCTAATGCTTCTTGTACTGATAAACCGTCATCGTGGGCTATCCATCTATTCACACGAGCGCGCTTTTGCCTTTGTGTAGCGTTGGCGGCACGTAGTTGCTTGTTTTCTTCCTCGAGAAGTATACCGTTCTGCATTGCGACTTGGCAGCCTTTAATAAGCTGGTTTAGCGCTGCCTGTGAAGGCGAGGGTGGGCTATTTGAGCGTTGCTTAAGGAACTCTTTGATCGAGGATGCTTGCTTTAGAAGCTCGTTAACGTTCGCGGGTGTATGTGGGTAAAATGCGCTTGTGTCACTGCCACGGCTGGAAGGTGGCGTCGGCGTCCGAAGTTGAATATTGAGCTTTGATAGCACTTCTTGAGGATCGAATGGTACTAATCCTGCTGCTTGAAAGCTATTCTTGATTGTGTCTGTTTTAAATGCGTTGACACGAGCTTGTGGATATGCTAGGAGGAAGTTAAGCTTGTCGATATGGTTGATCCCGAGCCGTATTTTGTTACCGACTAAGGTACCGTACGATTGCTTTAAAACCGCGAAACATCCGATATCAAGAGGCTGTAAAAGATGCGATGAATGCGCTGGCATACAGATTGGTATAATATCGTGATCCGCGCAAAGTTGATCGAATTCTGGCGTAAGATGGCTTCCGTGTCCGTCGAGGACTAAGAGTCGATATTTTCCATGCGTACGACTATTTGTCGACGGAATAAATTGCTTTTGAAGCCAGCGAAGGCCGATCTTATCGGACGTCCACCCGTTCGCACTAACTTCGATACGCCAGTCGCGTGGAAGGTCTTTAAACCACGCTTGATTGTATTGCTTACCCTTAAAAATAAGGGTCGGTGGAAGCGCCCACCCCGAAGCGTTAACTGACTCGATTGCAGTTACCCACTCACGGTTTCCTGGCTGTAAAACTGATCTCCGACCGTAGTATTCTGATCGGGTAATCACTTTTTGATTCGCACAAAGGCCCATTGCGAAGCCAGTCTCGTCAAAGTTATAGATATCGTCCGAAAGGATACCGTATTGCTGAATCGTGGCTTGCACAGTGTTGAACCACTCTTGAATAATCTTTGGATCCTCTTGCTGTGCCCGCTGGTAGTCGTATCGTCGTGAAAGGCGAGAACAAAGCTCTGGATGGCGTTGGGTGAAGTTATATACCCATTTTTCGCCGACGGTTTGGATGGGGGTAGAACCACGCTTCGCGAGTAGGATATTCGCCATTTCTCGTACGTGAGCTTGTGTAGGGGCTGCTCCACGTAGATCTAGCGATAGTATCCGCTGCTGAAGTAGTTCCTCTTCAATTTGTGTCATTTTATGACAATTTGCGCGAGATTCAGCGCGGTTTGTAGTTCCGCGTAGTCGACGCGTGAGCGTAGTGCGGGGGACCTGAAATTGGTCTGCGGCCTGCCTAATAGTGCTAATCTCTTTACTCTTGATAGCCTGTATAGCAAGTAGGATACGGCCTTCTTGCTGAACGGAATTTTGGCTCGATCTGACGCGAATTGGAGGCATGGTGGTTGATAGAAAACAGATAGATAGACCGGGATGCGAAAAAGTGGTTGGGTGGCCCACTCGCTTACATGGCCCACTCGCTTGCCGACCACGTTACTCCTGTCTGCCTCATTATTCAGGCCAATACGGACATTTGTGCCTGAGGCGGCGGTGTTCTGGACTCGCATCGATCACAGGGAAACGACGTCGTCACTCACGCTACGCACTGTGCATTGCATTTCAACTATTTCTTCTCCCGCGTGCCCCTTCTTTCATGTTCATACCCTGAATTCAGCTGCAATAATGTCGGAGGGGCTGTCCGATTCGTCCAATGTGCATCTAGAGCCCCCCAGCAAGACTACTGAATTGCACGACCCAGGAGCTGAGGATAATAGTAGGTCTTTGGGTATACCTACAGTATCTTGTGACATTTGACTGACAATATCTTCCAGCAGCTTCAGAGAGCGACGACGAACACTTCTCAGACGCTAATGAAGGGCAGCCTGAGTCGCAATCCAGCCCACAATCCGGTCGCACTTCCCCTGTCCCGCGGACACGAGTCGAGCGGGTCGACGACAGCGCTCAATATGGCGAGGTTCCCGGTACATTAGCATTCGAAAAGAGAGAGCAGGATGCAGTTCCCGACGAAATTGAAGTCGTTCATGAGGGTGAACCTAACTCAACCCAATCGCCCGCGGGGTCAGAGGGCCGACCCTTGACCCCAGGAGGGTCGCCCGTCCCGCGGACGGTGGTTGAGAAGGTGGACCCAGAAGAAGCCAGCCATGGTGAAGTGCCTGGCACATCAGCACACGAAAAACGACTTGCGGATGCTGTGCCTGACGTCGTAATGAAGGCGTCCGACACTGAGGGCAGCCCAACGCCGCAAGCACTTGACCCTACATGCCCGACCCCTGAGACCGAAACCATTACATCGGAAATCCCTGAGACGCGACTTGAGCGAGTGAACACATTACCTACTGAGGAAGACACCCATCCACAAGCTCATCAGAGCTCACCAAGTGACCCATTACCGGATTCGGTAGAAACGGTCCCAGATGCCTCGGTATCCACAGAAACCGTCTATGCGAGCCACGACCCTTTACCACAGGATGATATAGATGATGATGATTTTGGAGAACCTGAGCAAGGAGCGGATGACTTTGATGAATTTGTAGAGGAGCAGGATGACATGGAAGATGATGATTTTGGAGACTTTGACGACGGCTTTCAAGAGCCCAACGCGGAGGACGCTGAACCAACTCTCACAGATGGAACAGCAACACCTCAACCTCCCTCCCTCCCATCAGTTGTATGTGCCAAGCTCCACGCCATTCAAACTCCCGACTAACTCTTTCAACCACATCAGCCCCCTCTCATCGACTTCGACAACATCAAATCCACATCCGACCTCCTCACCTCCCTCCAGGGGACCCTAGACAGCCTCTTCCCCGCCACTCACGACCTCAGTACTCTCCCACCCATCGAACCAATCCCAGATTCAGCAGCAATCTTCAGCACCGAGCGCTCCCTCTCACTATGGTCACAGCTCGTGGCCCCACCACCCCTCCAACCTCAAAACTGGGTGAAATCCCGCATCCGCCGCCTATTCCTCGTATCCCTAGGCGTGCCCGTCGATCTAGACGAAATCCTCCCAGCCTCCAAACAGAAAAAGCTCATCCTGCCCTCCATCGACCTGGAAGGCTCAGGCGCCAAGAGCCCAGCCGCCCGCTCATCAAGCCAACCCCGAAAAGAAGGCGATGGCACACCCGATAGTGCCGAAAAGGGCCAGGCCCCCTCACGCCAGAAACCTACCTCTTCATCCCGCCGCGGTGCCCCGCCACCGCCTGAAATGGACCTTTCAGCCGTCCGCCGCCTGTGCGCAACCACCGATGCCGCGCTAAGTGGTCTTACAGATCCAGAACTAGAATCCCATGTCAAAGAATTGGAGCAGGTCACACAGCGGGCCAGCTCAGTGCTGGAGCACTGGCTTAAGCGGCGGGATGGGCTCGTTGGTGAAAAGGAGGCTTTCGAGGGCGTTATTGAGAACCTCGTTAGTCATGTGAGGAGAGTCAGGAAGTAGTGTTCTTCCTTTCTTTCTCCTGGGTATCATTGGTATTACTTCTCTACCTAAATACCCAATATAATACACTTTATGTATAATGCAATGCCGAGCGGAGAATGTCATGTTCTGCCTTCATTGAATGACGGATATTTCATGCAAGTTTTTGTAGGACTTGACTTCATAGCAAGTATATGACCAAATCTATACTGTTGATGCTGGTTTTCTTTTTCTACGGATGAAGCAAGGGTTCAAATTATCCAAGCTAGGAATGTTCATTTTATTAAAGAGACACAAGAAGGGAATATTATGTCCATGGGTAAGCCAATAGAGGGCGGGGAAAGGATAGATGTTAAACAGGAGACAAGGTGGCTAGCTAGCTAGCTGTAATACCTCAGTCTCTGGACGCCAGCTATGAAAATGCATCGAGAATAACATGCGAGAAAGGGGTATCTTTCTTTTCAAAAAAATAAAATAAAATAAAATAAGGGAGGGGGAAGAAAAGCAGAAAAAAAACCAAGTCATAGCTGAAAGGCATGGGAAGCATAAAGCGGGTTGCATAGGTAAGACAGGAAACATAAGAGGTGACTCTTATGTCACTGTCTGATCGGGAGTGGCAAAGGCAGGTAGCTAAACGAAGGGCGTGAGGGTCCTGGCAATGGGTCTCAAAGCAGCATCCACTCAGTCCAGTTCAATGACGGTATGATCAGTCACAGGAGCCTTAGATAGGGGAGTAAGTTCAGTCTTCGGACGTTGAGCCACTGGGCCTTGGGGGGTCATTGAATTAGCCTTCCGCTTTGTGATCAGGCGGGGCTGATCAGAGTGATGAGATGGATCATCGGAAACTTCCATCAAGGTCCATGATCCATCAGCCTTGAACTGGATCGCCTGTGCATTCTCGAGGCGATTAGTGGCGGTGAGGTTTGCGTGCACCTCAGCAAGGAACTGGTCGATGACGAGGAACTGCGGACGAGCATCTCTCTTACAGGTGGGACAACGCCAGTTCTCGAACATGGGTTTGTCGTCGCATTCGAACAGGCGGGTCTTGATAAAGGTCTCCAGGTCAAAGCAGTCGATATGAGTGCAGTTGGTGGACCGGGCAGGGATGTCGAATATGCGCGCCATAAAGGGGTCCACTAGGCTGATTGTTAGGCTGTCCGTGACCACGGCTAAGTCATCATCGTCTGTTATCGGGTTGATACGCTTCTGGATCAAGGCCTTAGATTCGGCGGGTGAGATGGGCTTTGCCATGTTTTTAATGGACTCGAAGTCGCTAACTCTCAGTAATTCCACGCCGACGACATATCGTGAATTCTTGCACTCGTCCTCTCCTAGGAGCAGGGTGACCCTCACGGTGTTTTGACCACGGCGAACATTTGCGGAGATGTCTAGAGGAAGGTCTTTTCCGTTATAGACCTTTCGGCGGACGAACATCTCTTCGTCATTGATGTGGATGTAGATAACACTAGGCCAATAAGTGCTTTCGGTATGCCAATTTTGATCACAGGAAGTTGGAATTCCCGGCAGGCGGATGCATCGTAAACGGAGAGTGTGGCAACCAGACTTGTAAGTCCAGATGGGACGTTCTCCTAGACCTTGTGCGGCTATGTAGGGCAATGAATCGACTAGCGAGTCCGGTGCATGGAACATCCACCCGTGATTCACTACCTGAGGATTGATGATAGTCGGCGTTACAGCAAAGCCGTGAAGGTAGCAAGATAGTGAAGTTTCAACATGCTGCCCGTCGGGTCCATCTACCACCAGCCTTTTGATGGGATCGCGAAGATTCGCCTGATGTAAGCCGAGCCGCATTGGAATCGCATTTACTGTCATTGGTGCTTGGTAGTTCGATGGCGGGAGTAGGTAGGGCCACGGATCTCTCTCGGCAGGTGCGGTGAGAACCGGTGGCAAGCGCTGTTGCCCAGGCTGTTGTCTGGACTGTTGGGGCTGCGTATTCTGGGCAGGAATGGGATTCACAGAGACGGGAGGACTGGGGTGTGGTGAGGACGTAGCAGATACAGAGGGATGTGTCGAGGGGAATTGACCTCGAGACATAACGTTATGTCCTGGGCTTTGTGTAGAACCTCTCACTTGGGATCCCTGTGCCATTAGAGGATATACCTGAGATGGGTGTCTTTGTCCAAAGCGGGTTGCATGCATCAGCCTCTGCTGATACTGCGGCTGTCGGTGACCAGCGTGTGGATCAAACTGCGATGGGGAGAAATTCGAGCCAGAATGATGGTGCCCTGTGCCGGCTGAGCCGGAATATTGGCCCAAGACTGGAGATCCAGTTGAGGGCGAAGAGACTGACACAGTTTGTGGTGTGGTCTGTATCTGGGGACTAGGATGGTGGGCATTGGGGTAATGGACCTGCATGGCCTGCGTTACCTGTGGGGAATAAGACATCCGAGGCGATGGGGGGAACTGAGTCTGAGCTACCTGCGGCGACTGAGCTACCTGCGGTGATTGGGCTACCTGCGGCGACTGAGCTGCCTGGGTTATCTGGGGTGACTGGGATGAGATAAGTTTGGGATACTTGAGATACTCCCGAGTCAAATGTTGACACAAAGCCCGCCTGCTGGTTTCAGTGATACGCTTGTCCCGAAGTCCCGTGTATGTCCTCCAGTCATTCCAGAACAACTGCACAAGTTGCTTGATAAACTTCTCTTCATAGAGTCCCCGCGAAACACACATGAACATGACCGACATTATGACCGGAGAGTCAAATGAGAACTTTGCTAAGAGTTCATCCACCAGAGGCGGACGCAAGGACTGGGCGTAAAATAATTCCCATTCATTCCCCAGTTGCCGTAAGAAGAGTAAGACCTTTGCGACTGATTTCGAGTACCACGGTTGTGAGATCAAGGTCTGAGGAGAGGCCGGGAAATGGGAGAATCCAAAGGTGACTGCATAGTCCATCGTTTCGTTATCTTCTAGGAGACGGGTGAGCATGTGCAATCCTGCCTCGGACGCTCCGATAGAAGCTAGTGTCGTTGGATCAATGCTCGAGCGACAGAATAACTGATGTATCGCTAGATAACAAGTATCTTTCAGTTCGATAGCTTGGCGCAATAGGTCAACTCGCGGTAGACCCACGGTCCCACTGAGCTGCATTTTCAGATCTGAAGACAGCGCGCCCAACTGTTCCGACCAGGCTTTCCACACATCGTCAGCTGGCTCGAAGCTCGCAGTGGATGATCCAGCATCTTGCGGGTGTCCATGTGTGGTTTTACCATTTGCCTCCATTCGGGCTTCCCCTAAAGGACTCTGAGTTGTGGACTGGCTCTGGACAGATCGGTTGTAGGACAAGGCCGTTGCCATGGGTTCCTCATTTCCATGCGGCGCATCAAAAGTGACCCCCGTCGTTGGATCATCTTGCCGGTTTGTATCCCGCTGTCCTCCCGCCAAAGGCCTCTGAGTCGAGGGTGTGGACTGGACAGGTGTGTTCAAAGGTAGAGTCGGGGGTGGTTGGTGCGTATTCCTATGCTGTCCAGTCAAGTCCGTCGCGGATGGACCACGAGAATTTGTCTCCCATTGAGCAGCCACGAAAGGGTTCTGATTTCGATGTTCATTCGAGGGTACGATTGAGGGCGTTCGTTGCACATTCCCCCGCTGTCCATCAGGACCAGATCTTGCCATCGATGTGCCATGTGGGTCTGCAGCACGCTGAGGGGTCTGCGTTCTAGAATGAGACCTGGCGACCACTGCGGGCAGGGGTGCTGTCATAGGTTCCTCTGTTCCTTGGGCCCATTGCTGGGGCTGCACGATCGCGTCGGAGGCAACTAGGCTCGGATGAGAATTTGAGCTCGGCCCCGGCCCCGGGAATGCTGAAGTAGGTTTTCCTGCATTGATCGCGGTGAACCCGTTGACAGCCGTGAAGGTACGGGGCAAAGGCACGGTGTCACCAGGGGACATCAAGGGCTCACGTGAAGGTTCAGAGCCTGGCGTAGGAAGGTCGGAGAGTTGTCGCGCGCATATCTGACCCGAGCCCTCCGGCCCCATCCAATTCCTCCGTACGCCACCCAAGAACAGATTCGCAGTGGTGTTCGATGTCCCAATGCTGTCAGCACGAGGGGCGTGCACCCGGTGAGATTTGGAAGTCATGGTAAATCATGGTCAGGGTAGAGAGTTGTCGGAGGGAGTCTCTTATACGAGACGCTCGTTTGCTCAACAAAGACTTAGGCGCGGCTGATAGTGAAATATGCAGGAGAACGAGAAAGCGAAAGAATACAAGGGGGGTTTCAATGCAGGTACCTGAATCAGCAGGATCAATCCACGGGGAAACGAAGAGGTTATGTTCATATTCAGGACCGATCCGGCAGGTTTACTGGATGTGCCTGGATGTTTGGTCAATTCTCAGCTCATTCGACCAGTCCCTTTCTCAGAAAAAGTGCCGGTTTCAGCGCGGGAACAGAGAAATAAGCCGAGAACCCTTCTACAGTGCCTAGAACTAGTCGCAACTAGACCATTTCTCTCCCAATAGTGCAGACTCCAATCTCATTAGACGAAACCCAACTTGTGCCACTCTCAGCCGTGGATTTAAGCGTCCAGACTCTTTGACGACCGCACACGTCACTTGAATTTCGCCTCCGTCTCTTCCTTTTTCCTTTTACTTCTCTGTTCAATTTCTGGTCTTATCTGGCATTGATCCAGTCCCTCTAGGAAAACAGAGAGTTGTTGAGCATTGAACATTGAACATTGAACATTGAGGTTCGTGCTTTCCCCCCCCCCAAAGCCCCGCCAGCGTTTAATAACCTAATCCCCGAATGCGCTAGATTCCTCGACCTCAACATTCTCTCCCTTTTCTGATCTGCTAAGATTCCACATCTGTTCCCGGTATCTTCTCTGTTTTCCCGCGAGGGCGCTCGCGCCCGACTTGCGACTTTTGATCTTAGTTTCTCGCCTTTTGCCCTATCTTCTTGAGCTCATCGCGATCGGGAAATCGGGAAATCGGGAAATCATCACATCGTGCGAAAATGGTTACTATGGGACCACCCCGGGGTCTAAGCCCCGGTGACATGCTGGAAGTCATTCGTAAGTGACGCCTTGTGCGACGACGTGGCGCACGCGCCCAGTCGGTCAGTTGCCCCAGAGCTGCGTGTTGACTCTCGGATCTAGATGGCTTCAATGGACGTGGGGAGGATGAACTGGTGATGGCACCACGTGATCAGATTCGATTGGTCGAGTTGGATGATGAGTTTGGCGATGCCTGGTACTTGGGCGAAAACTTGCGCACCGGGAAAACAGGCCTCTTTCCAGCCAGTAGGTGCATGTGGAGCGTGAATGGTGGAAAGTCGGGGAAGAACTGAAAACTAACATGCGCAACAGACTTCACCAAAGCTTCCACGTCCAAGAAGAGCTTGGCCGAGTCACCCGTGCTGCTGGAATCGCCGACGCAATTGGAATCCGTGAGCTCCTCAGATTCAGCATTTGCTTCAATTGGCAGTGGCCAGTCCACTCCTCAGGCCTCGCGCCATGTCAGCATCACCAACATGCAATCGCCGCAACTCGATTCTCCCACGCAGCAGCGATCAGCATCATCTCCGCTACCTCGGCCCAGCCTGGCCGCGGACATTCAGCAAGCGTTCCGCAGCCCTATCGATAATCACATGAATGGGGAAGAAAGCCCAGTGATGAATGAGACATTGAGCGTCATCGATGAACACATTACGGATATGAATACTCCGCGCCATAGCGTGTCGACACAAGACCACAAAACTATCAATGATTCAGGTAGCGAGTACAGCAGTCATCTTGATCATCGGGCGTCTTATATCAATGGACATGAGACTGATGATGAGGAGAGGAACCTGCCCAGTGAGACACAAGTGCGGAAATGGGGTCAGGCAGAGACCGCGCGGCACTTGCGTGCGCTCGGCATTGATTCAAACCATTGTGACATCTTTGAGGAGCAGGAAATCACCGGAGATGTTCTTTTGGACATGGATCAGGACTTCATTTTTATGAAGGAATTTGACTTTGGCGTCATGGGCAAGCGCCTGAAAACATGGCACAAGATCAAAGTCTTCCAAGAGGACATTAAGGGTTTGAGTCAACAGCAAGGCCAAAGAGGTTCTGTCTCGAGCGCCTCAGGCCCTCCGGATGAGCGCACATTGTCTCGTGCGGGACATACTGGCCCACTTCTTCCGCGGATTCCGACACTCTCAGAAAAGCATGGCGCAGGGTATCAACATCCCCGGGTCTCTGCTCCGGCACAGCACCCACGACTGACGGGCAACAATAGCTCGCCAATAACTCCTCCTTATAGTCATGATTCCCCGAGGAGGATTTCTGCGGCATCAATCCGTGAACTCAATCATACGCGTCGTCATTCGTCCATTGATGCCACCCAGCGTGGCATGCCCGATGGCCATCATCAAAAGAAGCCATCGTTTGACCGTTCTTGGACGCTCAACTCTGGTCCACAAACATTACCCGCTCGCCCAGGAACAGCTTTGGGCACTTCAGGCTTCCGAGGACCGATGACCGCTGACTCAGGCTCGTTCACCAATTCTTACGCCACCACTCCTGATCAGGTGGATGACTTGGATCGAGGTTACTTCTCAGGGACGGAGGTTGACAGTCGCCGAAATCGTCGCGTTCTTCAGAAACGCAGTTCTGCCACTGGTAGCATGAACCATTCACGGAAGTCCAGCTATGCTGATGAACCGTATCGGGTCAAAACCGCCGGGAAGCGCCACTCTCGCGTTGGTAGTGCTGACTCAATCCGTGACGCCTCAAAGCATGTTTCCACTGCTGCTCAGGCTTATCATGGGACGCCACCAAAGAGTCGATTGCGAAGCTTGAGCACTCGTATGTCAGGAAGTGGAGCCGGCGCTCAGTCTCCAGTGGCCGAAAGCAAGACAGGCGGCTTCTTTTCCAACTTTGCTCCCCTTGCCCCTCGAGCCAAGACCGATTCGGATGGAAGTGCTCGTTCCTCTTCCTCGCAGTTCCAGCCATTGAAGAATGCGGGCCCGAAATTCCGGCGAGCAATGGGTCTCCGTGCTATCTCCGATGTTGTTGGAAAGAAGCTCGACACCTCTGCGCCTGTCTCGCCGCGCGATTACGATCCCACTTCCGCCCGCACCGGATCCACAACTCCATCAGCGACGTCGAAGAGCTCGGAACGGCATAGCACAGATGGGTCTGGCAAGGCGACTGACCCCAACGGATTCCAAATCCGTCCTCGGACCGTCAAGTCCAAGAAAGAGACCAGCGCCTATACTCGTGGTCTTGAGAAGAAGACCCCAGGCGAGCAGATGGATGGCTGCGAATACAGCGGATGGATGAAGAAGCGATCCTCCAACTTGATGACGACTTGGAAACCCCGTCTGTTTGTTCTCCGTGGTCGTCGCCTGTCCTACTATTACTCCGAGGACGATACCGAGGAAAGAGGCTTGATTGATATCACCGCCCACCGCGTCCTTCGGGCGGATCAAGACCCTATAATCGCCCTGCATGCAACTATCACCGGCTCAACCGCACTGCCTGCCAACGCCAATGCCAGTCACACCGCTGAAGACGGCACTACTGGCACTAAGCTCATTTCCCCCTCTGCAATTCAATCTCTCACCAGCAAGGACAGCAGTGGTCCGTTCTTCTTCAAACTCGTTCCTCCCAAGACAAACAACTCTCGTACCGTGCAATTCACCAAGCCCGCCACCCATTATTTCCAAGTGGACAACGTTCAACAAGGTCGCTTGTGGATGGCAGCCTTGATGAAAGCAACAATCGAGCGCGATCTGGGTCAAGCCGTGGAAAGCACCAACAAGCAAAAGACTATCAGTCTCAAACAAGCGCAGGCCATGAACCAGCGACCGCCAGAGCTGATGTCTGCTTCCAAGCCCAAGGCAGAGCAAACAATTAACGAGGAAGAGGAAGAAAATGGTCTACAGATTGATGGCCTCAATCTGTCCAACGCGCAGTCCTCGGGTACCAACTCTTTTGATGACGCTAAGATCAGTCCAGGCGAGCCTGAAAAGAATGGCATTGATACCCCGACATTGGATGGTTTTGAAGCATTGGGCTCTCCGTTGTTCCCTGATCCGTTGGCCAAGACTGAATCCAAGTGAAGACTTGTACACTGGATTCGATTTTCTTTGTGATCTCTGTTGCATCTCTGTCTCCTCTAGCTGCTATTTCCAGCTATTAACCACCTTATCCCCCCCCTTTCATGTTCTGCTTTTGTCATTTGTCGCTATACGTTTCCCTTTTGCTGGCGTTTGATGTGATATACCCCTCGCTCAGACTTCTTTCTCTTCTTTGACTCGGGCCATCTTCCCTTACGGAGACTGGCCTCGAGGGATGTGAGATTATACGATTGATTTGCTTATGATACGAAGTTGAGTTTGTGCTGGCTTGGTGATGAGCGTCTCTTTTTGCCCTAATTACGTATATTGTAGATAGATTAGCTTAATAGTATTGTTGTCGGTCCTATTATCTCTTCTAAGTATTCAATATCATTCACTTGTCATGTATGAGATCAATGCCATTCGCAATCGCGTCTCGAGTTTCGAGTTTGGCGCTTGGATCCTAGTGTTATAGTTCCTTATCGTTATCGATTAGCCCCAATCACTTCGATTTGGTCCCTTCTCCTTCTCCTTCTCCTTTCCTTTTCCCTCCAACCTTGCTAAATCCACGATGCTGTATATGACCTTATAACATTCTTATCCTTGTCTGTCATTTTATAAAAACCCCCCATGTCCCTCCGGTGGCTGCTGTCGCGCACACTTGCGATCCTCCTCCCAGTCACAGTCACCGCCACTGTTTACCTCTATTTCTACCCCGTCTTCAATGGCTGCGCCTTTCCCCTACCAAACACGCACACCTCCAGATCGGATAATAAGTCATCGACAAACCGATTCTACCAAAATGCCGTCCTGAATAACTTCCTCCAACACCTCGGCATCTCACCGTCAACTCCAGACCCAACCACCGAACCCGCAATCTTCAGACTCCTAGTCCTTGCAGACCCCCAATTAGAAGGCGACACCTCCCTCCCATTCCCGGAATACGAACTATACCCCCGCATTCAATTCCACTGGTGCGCCATCCAAGAATCAATCGGCAATGCCACAGCCTCGACCAACCCCAAAACCTCACTGCCAAAAGCCTTCTTACACGAAGCAGTCATCTCAAACATAACAACCGGGCTACGCGAGCTAGCAAAAGAAGACATTCCCCGCGCTTTCAAATCGGTTTTAAAACGCCTCGACCTCTTCGGCAACGACTTCTACCTAGCACACATCTACCGCACATTATTCTGGTGGACGCGCCCAACACACACAACCGTCCTGGGAGATCTAGTAGGCAGTCAATGGATTTCCAATGAGGAGTTCGCGCGGCGCGGACACAGGTACTGGGATCGTGTTTTCCGCGGCGGGGAGCGCGTGGATGATAATCTCACGAGGACCGGTGCTATTGGCGCAAGTAAACAAGATAAAGCTACGCCGCCGGTTGAATTGCTCGGTGCGCAAGGAGACCCAGCTTGGGCGAGGAGGATTATTAATATTGCTGGGAATCATGATATCGGGTATGCGGGTGATATCGATGAGAAGCGCATGGAACGCTTTGAGAGAGTGTTTGGTCGTGCGAATTGGGATTTGAAATTCGAACATCCTCCTGTGAATGTCTCGGGCACCTCCTCATCCTCTGCTCCAGATGCGGTTGTTACGCCTACTCTGCATCTGATCAACCTCAATTCTCTCATGTTCGATACACCTGCGCTGTCGTCGGTTGTTCAAGACCAGACATATTCCTATTTAAACGAGCTGATTGCGCACAGGCTCGCGCCAGTCGAGGACCAGTCGGCTTTTACACTCCTTTTGACGCATTTGCCTCTCCACAAACAAGATGGTATCTGCACCGACGGTCCATACTTCTCGTTCCATGAATCCGAGGATGACGACGGACCCGATGGAATCCCGCGTTGGCGAGAAAGTGGACTCAAAGAACAGAACCATATCAGTGATACGCTTAGTGCTGGCGGTGTCCTGCAGGGTATATTTGGAATGAGTGGTGATCAGCGTGCACCTATCGGTGGACAAGGTCGAAATGGACTTATCCTCACGGGGCATGACCACCCTGGTTGTGATGCCGTTCATTATGTCAACCGCACTTCGAAGGCAGGGGCAGATGGTCAAGAGAAGACAGAAAGTGATCAGAGCGCTCAGTCTTGGAGCTGGGCGGCTAAGCGCTTTGAGGGGGGTTCGCATATTGATGATCCTTCAATTCGCGAGGTGACTCTTCGCTCGATGATGGGTGAATTTGGTGGTAATGCTGGTCTTCTTTCGGCGTGGTATGATCAGGCTCTTGGTCGATGGAACTACGAGATCGCTATGTGCCCTGCTGGGGTGCAGCATGTCTGGTGGGCTATCCATATTCTTGGGCTTGTAACACTTGGTGTGGCGCTTGCTTGGTTCTTGCTTGGACTCATTGCGTCTGGGGATGTCGAAGTGACTGCTGCTACTCGTGTGCAGTCTGATGAGAAGGATGAGAAGCTGTCTCTGCGAAAGTCTTCGAATGTTCAGTTGGACGATTCGAAGATCGATGAACAGACGAGGTAGTTGGTTGGTGTGAACTTGGGGACTTTTGTGATTTAATGTACTGTATCAATATCATCATCAGACATTCCCTTGTGAATATGTATCGCGATTAAATTTATCAATATCATGTTAACATTGAGAGATATATATATACCTTGCTGCGAATAAATATCGTATTGCGTCCCTCGTCAGCCCGGTCCAAGATATATCGGCGAGACTTGTCAAAATGAGGACAGTCACTCATAGTTTCTATGAAGTCTGGGCCGTGGCAGACCAAGGACAACTACGATGCGTCCACACTACAATATATGACAGGACAATTACAGGGCCATTTGGTGGTCATATCAGAGTTCATAAATCTGCTCGATACCAAAAACGAGAACAAAGAGACACAGAAGAAATAACCCAGCACAAATTGTCAAGCAACTGACGACCCTCTGAATAGAGAAGAAATGATGCGCAAGGAAGTCTAGGCAATTGAAAAAGAGATAGGATTTTTTTTTTTCAAAAGTAATACTTCCGAGAGTCGCCAGTTAAGGTAGAGAGGGGGAGGGAGAAAACACGAAGATGGAAGGGAGGAAGACCAGCTTGAAGAATAAAAACAGTTGGATTTCGTCGTCAATATGGACACGACATGTCCGCTATCCCATTTTAATCCTATGGTCTCATATGCACCGCGTTCCAGGTCCCGAACAGATTGAGGTTTGGTATCGTTCTTTTTCTTTAAAATTCGGTTTTTGCTCTCTTTACATGACGACACCGGAGTTGGAGGCAATACGCTGTGAGATGTGTTAGCTTGATGCGATAATGAGAAGTGGTGCATGACAAGGAAATGGATCGTGTCAAGTGATCCAGTCCTTGCAGCAGACGGGTGTGAACGTACGGGCCAAAGCTCAGCAGCCTCCTTTCCGACGGGACCGGTAATGGCGGAACCCTTCATCTCACCCTTGGCGTTGACGATAACACCTGCGTTGTCCTCGAAGTACAGGTAGATACCGTCGGGGCGGCGCCAGGGCTTGCTCTGGCGGACAACGACAGCGGGCATGACCTTCTTACGGAGCTCAGGCTTTCCCTTCTTGACGGTGGCCATGACCATGTCACCAACACCGGCGGCGGGGAGACGGTTCAGGCGGGCACCGATACCCTTGACGGAGATGATGTACAAGTTGCGAGCACCGGAGTTGTCGCAGCAGTTCATCACGGCGCCACTATTCGACGAAAACGGATCCGTTAGTTTTCTGTTCTTCCAATTTTGTTGCGTCGTGCGTTCCCCAATGCTGAGTGATGGAATAGAGTTCCATTTTTTCTCTTTCCTCGATGTCCGCCGGTCTTGTCTTTGGTTTCTATCGATGCTGGGTGTATTCGAGAATATTGATCGACGAGACGACTGTGGGATCCGGCGGACATGGAGGCGCATTCGAGGTACACTAGACGATAAGAAATTTGAAGACGTACCAGGGCAGACCGAGAGTCATCTTCAGCTTGTTGCCGGCGGCACCGCCACGACTATTCAACTGTTAGCACGACTGTTCTGTTTTGTCGGTTTCGCTTCCAATCCGTCATTCTATCCTCTCGACACAAGGTGGACGTTCAACAGATTTTCGATCTCCTCCTCCGCAGGCTTGTGTCGTTCGGAATCGAATGGTTCAAGGAATGTAGTTGTTGGTAAACTCACCCTCTCTTAGACATGATGGCTAGGTATCACGAAGACGAAGTTGGGTGAAAAAGGTTGGCGACAAGAGGTCGAGAGTTCCGGACGACGAGGTTCCAAACTGGAGGTGTGCTTTCTCGCTTAGTGGGCAAAGTGCGTAAAATCTTGGCACTATTATGTGATTGGTGGATGTACCCCACCACTGTGCCCTAATGCTAACCCCATCTGGGCTAGCGGTAATCACCGCCCTTGGGCCTCAGGCATCAATGATATCTGTACTCCGGTGATACTGAGTAGATACTGTACTAGCTACGGTGTCCTACTATGAGCATGTGAGAAACAATTGGGGAATATTTTACTCGTCATATTGCAATCATAAAAGCCAGGGGAAGAAACTAAGAAAAAAAAAATAGGCACGGGGAAATGATCAAGGTAAACCAATTCCTTCATTTTGAGCAGCCCTTGGAGAAGCAGCCCGTCGAGCAAGTTGGAACTGTCAATGAAGACGTGGGATGCAAGACTCTCAATCTGATTCAACCCAATTGCCATTCCGCCACGAGTGATAATGCCCCCAGTGTCAAGCAAGATACGAGCACGCTGTAAACCGATAACACCTTCTGCCTTTGTCCGTTGCGCCAGATCCGATATTCTTGCCTTGTGTCACACAGCTTATTACTCCTCCTTCTTGAATTCTTCAGTAGATGCCGATTTCTCTTCCTTGTTGGCGTCAGTACCCACAGTGGGCGCAGATGCCTCAGCTGAGGGCGCCTCAGCCATCTCACTGGTAGGCTCAGCGGCCACATTTGCGGGAGACTGAATTCTGGCAGGAGGAGCGGAGGTTTGAGCAGGAATTGTTTCCTCATTCTGCTTACTGTCACCCTCAGCTGGTGTTTGCTCTGAGGCAGTAGGTCCGGGGGCAGCATCTTCCATCATTGTGTCTTCATCATTAGGCACCGGGGACTGAAACTGAGAGGTCGTCGAGGCCCCTTGTTCATCAGTCTCCAACACCATCCGATCGGCATCAGTTGCGGGGGTATCCTCAGTTTGAGGGGCAGAAGTGGCCTCTGGGTCGAGGCGGGGAACATCAGCCATCTGTGCATCAAGCGTGGAATCCATTTCACCATCAGCTGCAGATGAGGCGTCTTGTGGGGTGGCCATGCCACTGTCTAGCCCGGAGTCCGGCTCAAGGTTACGGTAATTGACCTGGTTGCGGCGGCGGATGGCACCTGGCTGGCGACGAACGCCGTTGGCAGCGTTTTCCTCTTCATCCTCGCTATCGCTCAATTCACCAGCCTTCTCGGTGTATTGATCGAAGCGCCGTTGAGTGAACCGCTTGTCTTTATTCTCATCTTCATCGAGGTCATCCAGAACGTCATCGGCCTCGTCGTCCATGCCATCCAAGATCGGGTTCCGTGGCACATCTGTCATCTGAACTGAAGGAGCAAATGCCGTGCGCTTGAGATTTTCGACGACCTGATTGCGAATCTTATCGAGATATTCTTTGGTGTTTGCATTGTCCATATTGGAAGGCCGTACATCAAGCTCATAATCAGGTGCAAAGTACTGAGCTGGGTTAGGATCAACTCGTCCATAGCAGGGAAAATTCTCTTACCTCGTAATAATCGTTGTAGGGAAGTTCAGACTCAAGACCTTCGCCAACCAGAATACCAGTCTCATAAGCCCATGTTCGGGCCACATTGCGCATGGTGTAGCCACCACCGCCAAGAATCAATGTTGGTAGATCAAAGCTCTTGATGAAGTTAACACAGTTGGCATGTCCGCGCATACTTAGGTTAAAGCAGCCTAGACGGTCACCTGAAAGACTGTCACCGCCACATTGCAGAACCACTGCCTCCGGACGGTACCACTCCATAACACTCTTAATGACAGGCTCAAAGATGCTCTTGTATGAGGTGTCATTAATACCATCACGAAGAGGGAAGTTAACTGCGTAATGTTTGCCCTGACCGACACCAATGTCACGGAGCTCACCGGTACCCGGGAAGTACTCGCCGTACTTGTGGAAAGAGACTGTCATGACACGATCAGTCGTGTAGAAAGCCTCCTCGACACCATCACCGTGGTGAACATCAATATCAACATATAGGACACGCTGCTTAAAACGAAGCAGTTCGAGAATTCCGAGAACAATATCTATTGAGTGTCAATTTAATCAGAACGGTCCCTGAACTTCGAATATCTTACCATTGACGTAACAGAAGCCACTTGCTTCACTCTTCTTGGCGTGATGCAGACCACCAGCCCAGTTAACAGCAACATCACACTTGTTGCGGTTCAGACGTGCAGCGCCTTCCATACTGCCTCCGGCACTGATTCCGCAGAACTCAAACAAACCATCGAAAACAGGACAATCGTCACCCACGTTATACCGGCTTTGTTCTTTTGAAAAGTGATCCATGTTATCTGGCGTAACCTTGGAGAGGAAATCGATGTACTCATCGGTATGGAATTGTGTCATTTCATACTTCGAAGCAGGTTTGGCGCGCTAACGGATTTGCGCGTTAGCAATGGGTTTGACAGATAAGAACAAGGGAAGGCACGACTCACGTAGATCTCCATCTTTTTGTACAGACCATAGTTCATAACGAGGCTGTGTGTCATACGAATGCGATGGGGCTTCATGGGGTGACCCGAAACGTACGCATAGTTGCCCACATCAGAATCGTAAAAGTAGGCGACCTTCTTGTTCTTGGAACCAAGAAGGGTATTGGAGATAGGTTCTGCAGCCATGGCGCAAGATGACCGAGAGAAAAACGAGGGAAGTGGGGGAGTGAGCTTCGAGAAATATAGGACTTGGGGGAATGGGGAAAGCAAGCAGGAAGTATGCGGTTAGGAGAATTGAAGGCGCAATGCAGAGAATACTCCCAAGAGAGCAGAATGCAAAGGGCACCCAGTCACCAGATTGAAGTGAATAGCAGACAGCAGGACTAAACACAACAAGTCAAATCGGTCATAGTCCAACTCGACGAAAGATGGAGGGAGACTGGAGAGAATCACCGCGTGGGAAGGAGCCAAAGCCGACAGAAACCCTCACCGCCTTCGTCAGGCAAAGCTACCACTGCTTGCTCATCACCGACACGCCTTCGTCACTTTTCTATCTTTCTGGCTTCTGGTGAATATTGCAACATCCGTCTAGTCTTTACTGGCATTATTAAATAGTTGCCCTCAGAGAGTCTCTTACCCGTTCAAATCGCTGAAGAAACTCGATCCTCCCGGAGCTTCCAACTAGGAAGCTATCTCTTGTTCTCTCGTTTCATCGAATCGTGTCCGATCTTACTTAGAAATCATGGATCGCCTTAACCGGATGCTCCAAGCCGCCCAGGGCATGGGCATGGGCGGAGGTGCCCCTGGTGGTGTAAGTCAGACGATTACCCCGATCTCGCCATGTGTCTATCTACCGAAGCTCCTTGTTGAGCGGCACCATGAGCGCAGCATCAGCTTTACCCTCAATGCTTTTAAACCACTCAATACTAATGGGTATGATTATAGGACACACCGAACCTGATTGATAACTCCGAAACCGTCCACATCTCCTCCTTGGCTCTGTTGAAGATGCTACGACACGGCCGCGCAGGCGTTCCAATGGAAGTCATGGGTCTTATGCTGGGCGAGTTTGTCGACGAGTATACAGTTCGCGTTGTGGATGTCTTTGCCATGCCCCAGAGCGGTACTGGTGTCAGTGTTGAGGCTGTGGACCCTGTGTTCCAGACCAAGATGATGGAGATGCTCCGACAAACGGGACGGTAAGTTATCGGCCTCAAAAATTGGTTTCTATAGAACTTGGTACTAATTCAAGATCTGCACAGGCCAGAAACTGTTGTTGGCTGGTACCACTCGCATCCTGGTTTCGGCTGCTGGCTCTCTTCGGTCGATATCAACACTCAGCAATCCTTCGAACAACTCACACCTCGTGCCGTCGCCGTTGTCGTTGATCCCATTCAGTCAGTGAAGGGCAAGGTTGTCATTGATGCATTCCGTCTCATTCAGCCTCAGACCGTGGTAATGGGCCAGGAGCCCCGCCAGACTACATCCAACTTGGGTCATCTCAACAAGCCTTCGATCCAGGCTCTCATTCACGGCCTCAACCGTCACTACTACAGCATTGCCATCGATTACCGCAAGACAGGATTGGAGGAAAACATGTTGATGAACCTTCACAAGCACGTATGGACTGAGGCCTTGGACATGAGTGACTTCCACGAGGAGGGTCAACACAATGTGGAGGCCATGAAACAGCTCGTTCTTCTTGCAGAGGGTTATGAGAAGCGTATCAAGGAAGAGACCGAGCTGAGCAAGGATCAGTTGAAGACGAGATATGTCGGCAAGGTTGACCCCAAGAAGCGTAAGTCCCTGTGCCATATCAACCAAGATCAAATAACTAATATTTCGCAGATATCGAGGACGTGAGTCAGAAATTGATTGAAGATAACATCGTCGCCGTCTCTAGGCAGATGATTGATAAGGAAGCTTCCGTGGCGCGGCAATCATCCTCCAAAGACAACAGTCACGGTGCTGTCATGGAAGTGGACGAAGATCTCTAAAGGATTAGAAAGTGGACGAATGCTACAGAAACGCTCTAATTATGATATCTTGGTTTCCTTTGAGGACTGCATGGTTTTATATGTACGAATTGCATGCCATATGACCTTGCACACTATGTAGACCATCAATGAACTAAATCCACCCAATTTACTCCAGGTTAGTAATTTTTTGATACTCGGTAGTAAATTCCCTTATTCCGTCGAACCCCTGTAATTATTCAAATCATCCATTGTTAAGTCAGGAAGTACATGAATCAACGCCCGCACGCCATTACGTGCGTGGCCTATTCACTTGCTATAACTTAACATGCGTAGAGCTTAGAAAATGACGTTATTGTAAGGAAAACAGCAAGATTTAGCTTATATCTCTAGGAACCAAAAATAATATAGGACTTATTCGTAGAAGACATCATATTTGTAAAGTGTAAAACAGTGCCCAAAAACGCCCCAGAAAACACCTAAACAAACGAGGTAGGTGGCAAGGACAAAAGAGGCTTCTAAATCTAGGCTCTGCCTTTAGATGCAATCTATGCAAGCCACGCAATGTATACTGTAGATAAAAAATGTCGTAAGTTGGAGTGGCGCATGTCAGTTCAATCGTACACCAGACTATCAAGATTCCAAAGTGATGGTTTGAAGAGAGTTCGCCAACCCTTCGAGAGCATCAGGAGGGTGAGAACGGAGACCATCAAAGGCCGCGTCTGCGTCATTCTTGGTGATTTTCTTGCGCTGATCTTTCTGATTGTCATCCCAATCCGTCCATCCTCTGTCAGGGCCCCAGAGGACTTTCTTCTGCACATGGCGAGTCTCGGCAAGCAAGCGTGTCATTAAAGGTCCATGCTTCTCCACTGAGGGCCATGCATCGAACTCAACCTGAACTAAACCAGGAAGTCGTTCCAGTATCTTATGGAGGAGGTCCCCGCAAAAGTCTGTATAGAAGTTCTCGGAGATTCGGAAACCCTCGAATACAGGGTGAGACGGGTCACACTGCACGAAAACCTTGAGCGTGCGGGCAAGGTGCATGTCGTGTAACCCTAATCCTTGATTCACGATCCAATTTCGCGGTGGCGCAGTCCAGCTTGAGCCGACAATCAGCTCGATCGTTGTGATTGAAGGCCGGTGGCGACGAGGCAAGGCGCGGAGGGTGGGCATCTTCAAAAAGTCCTGCACCGGGAATACTCGAAATGTCTGGGTCGAGTAAAAGTAGTGTGTGGCTTCATCGTGTACCTTTCGAGAGACGAGGAACAGTGCGACTCGTTGTGAGGACGGCGATAACGGCTTGCTCTTCTTCGCGGAGGCTCCGACATTACCAGTGCGTTGCAACGCACTCTTCCGAGCTGGCGTGAATAAGAGGAAATGATAGATGCGCAGACGGATCTCGGAGGGTAGTTCGAAGAACGGAAAGGATCGTAGACGACGTGGGAGTTCTGGCTCCGATTCGATATCTGAGAGGATTTCCTCCTCGAACTGGAGCTGCTGCTTCTTCAGCCCCATGGCGAATATGTATAGATTCTATGCGATAGGTCTAGTTTTGGAGTTCATAATTCATCCCATTCATTTATGGTAGGCAAGTTGTGTAAAAATGACAGAAAATGTTTTAAAGGAGAGAATTGTGTCCCACAATCGGAGCGCAGCTTCACTGGAGAAAACCTATGCTGCGCTCTTGGTGAGTGGGATAGAAGAAGATCTTCGTTTGATCTCCCCAGCTCATTCAACCCGGCATGCAGAGAGAATGTGCTTGATAGGTCAAATTATGTCTGGGTGAACTTTCTAATAGGAAAAAAGAAAAAGAGAAATCGCAAGTCGCGGCGATCGATATAAGCAAAGTGCGCGAAGGGATCGCGTCCGCCGCCGTACCGAGTCGCGACGACTTTTAACGGCGAACTGCATCAATTCCACCTACTACACTTGTTGTCTCCCATCTTCACAATGCTTAGCCGCGCCGTTCTGCCTCTGACGAGGCCCAACGTTCTCGCCTCTGCTGTCCGGGCATCGGCCCTGTCGCGGGCCTCCCCATATGCCGCCTACAAGCTTTCCCCGGGTATCCAGCAACGAGCGAAGTCATCAAAAGCGAATAACTTCAAGGCCCCGGGGTCCAACCCCAAGGAGTTCGCTGCTGAGCAGCCCGAGTTCGACACAAAGGCTGAGCCCAAGGCCGCCGAATCATCCGAAACTGTGAGAAGACAATGGCATCCAAACACATGTTAAGAACACCCCTCTAACTATTGTCCCATTAGCCCGAAGCCGAGCAAACATACCAGAAGCCTCTTCCCGATCTCACACAAGGTATCCCGTCGACTCTGGCTGCCGAACTCGAAGGTCGCATGAAGAAGGGCCCATTGAACCTTACAGAAGACCCTACCCAGTCAGAAGAGTACAGCGAGGAAGGCAGAGGTGGTGGTGATATTCCCAAGGGCGGCTATGAGACATCCCTCGACCGCCGCAAGGCCCGCATGGCCAACATAATGTATGCAGTGATGCTACTTGCCGGTGTCGCCGGTGTGGGCTACTTGGGCCGCAACTGGGAGACCGAAGACGAGGAGCGCGTTCACCCCGAAACCCCATCAGGATGGGGGTTGGGTCTCTGGTACAGCCGTATCAAGGCTCGTATGAGCGATCTCACAAGCTACTACAAGGACCCTGCTTTCCCCAAGCTTCTTCCAGATGAGGATCTCGAGATGCGTCAACCCTACACCTTGGTGCTCAGTTTGGAGGATCTCCTGGTTCACAGCGAGTGGAGCCGTGAGCATGGATGGCGTGTTGCCAAGCGCCCCGGCGTCGACTACTTCCTCCGCTACCTGAACCAGTACTACGAGCTCGTCCTTTTCACCAGTGTGCCCAGCATGATGGCCGACCAGGTTCTCCGCAAGCTCGACCCATACCGTATTATCCGTTGGCCCTTGTTCCGTGAGGCTACCCGCTATAAGGATGGTGAATACATCAAGGTAAGCTGAATTCTACGCTTTACAACTTAATTCCAGTTCTGACTCTGTCACAGGATCTTGCCTACCTGAACCGTGATCTTTCCAAGGTGATTCTCCTCGACACCAAGGAGGAACACGCCCGCTACCAACCCGAGAACGCCATTGTCCTGGACAAGTGGACCGGTGACCCGAAGGATAAGGAGCTTGTCGCCTTGATTCCCTTCCTGGAGTACCTCGCCGGTATGGGTGTTGAGGATGTGCGTACTGTGCTGAAGTCATTCGACGGCAGCTCCATTCCGGTCGAGTTCTCCAAGCGCGAGAAGGCCATGCGCGAGCGCTTCGAAAAGGAGCTCGCAGAGGAGCAGAAGAAGAAGCCCAACCGTGGTCTGGGCAACTTTGCCTCCGCACTTGGTCTGAAGTCCACCCGCACTCTAGACGGCGAGGCTTCTCCTTCGGAAGGCTTAGCTCAGGGTAAGATGCTCTGGGATCAGATCCGCGAGCGTGGCCAGAAGAACTACGAGATGGTTGAGAGTGAGATTCGTCTGAACGGCGAGAAGTGGCTGGCTGAGATGGCCGCTGAAGAGGAGAAGGCTCGCCAGGAGCAGATGCAGAGCATGAAGGGCTCTTTCACTGGCATGTTCGGTGCTGGCTCCAAGGAGCAGTAATCGGCGCAAGCCACCTACCTTCTTCCCTACGTGAAGCATTCAGCTTCCACCATCTCCCACTTTCCCGTCCTCTTCGGTATCTACTTCCTTTTACTTCTTATTTACGGGCAGGGAGCGGGTCATTAGATGGTTGGGGTTCGTTCTGGGCATATTTCTTTTTTGGAACGACTGTAAAATAGCGATTCTATGTGTTTCTTGGTTCGATGTACAAAATATTGGTCACAAGTTTTAATATGAGAAAAGACTGAGATTGATAATGTTTCATGTTTCCTGCTGGCTGGTTGGGCTCACTCTGGATCCCAGGGTATATAGTTGATAAATAAAAAAATAAGCCGGAAACGATCTTTAGAAGTACATGAGTGCAGTGGTCGTGTTGAGTTTTCCAATCTGCCAATATCACAGGTTCACATCTTGGTTCACATCCTGGAACACAGAGACATCCCAAATTCCTGTCATGTCGAAGGGGAAGCCATCCATTGTTCCAAAGGTGTTAGAGATCGACATCATGTCGTCGACGATGTCGTTGTTTGTCTGTGTCTCAGGCAGTGAAATTGCGGCTGGGTTGACCAGCCCATTATCGGCCATTGTGTTGGTGAATGCTTGGTCCATTGTTGCGCCAGTTCCAGGGAGTCGGTGCATAATGCGCTCACAGTGGTCGAGACACATGTCTGCTACATCCCAGTCTTCTTCTTCTTGTACGCGGCGCAGGACTGTGCGCAGGGTCTCGACGTTGGCGAGACATGATCGTGCGACCTCGCTGTCCGTTGTTTCGAATGCACAGCGAACTAGTAATGTGGCCGTGGATGTAAGGTGGAATGCACTGTCTGTAGTGGATGTTAGATTCGAGAGGTGGATGAAAATAAGAGTGTAACCTACAAGGTAACCAGAACTCCTTGAAGTTATCTGTTCGCAGCGAGGTCATGAAACCAACAATTTCTTCTGCAGATCTTCTGCATTCTGTTTGGAAATAACGACGTGCCTCGGGATTATCTGTTTCAGCATTGTTGACCTCCTGCAACCATATTAGAACTGGAACTTTGGAAATGTTGCTGTCTTGCTTACATTGAGTTCGACACGACTGACAAGCATCTTGACAGCCAAGAAAGCAAGCTGTAAGCTGCAGGCTCCATATATGCGCTCTCCTGGATGTACTGCGGGGCCTCTCAGCCAAGTTGGCAATGAGTCTTCCCACATATCTAAGTCTGTCCGGATCTGTCGCAGTTTCTTAGATGTCTCACGCGCGGGCTTATGCTGTAGGCCATATACCAGTGGCAAAAGCTCGCCAAGGGTCTCCGTCAATCGACAAAGGTAGATATGGCAATGCGCTGCTCTCACTCGCTCTGTGGAGCGAACATGTGATGGGACTAGGACATCTACGGTTGGTAGAGGCACGTCGTATTGGTTTTTGGAGATCTGGGGTGGTACGCCGTGGCCGAAACTTCCCCTATTAGATGTTAGATCTGTCCACATAGGTTGAAATAGTTGAAAAAAAACTTACCAACGATCGTGAATGACTACGCCCCACCAGAGACGACTCCGCTGGTCCTTCTCTGCCTGGGAAAGTTTCCAATTGCTTGGATCACGGTTCAAACCAAGACAGTTTGCCAAAGACAACATCCGCCCACAGCTGACAGCGTTTCCAGTCATCGAGAAAATAGGTCTTCCAGTCAGGTCAATAAGTGCGGCGCTGATAGTAGATAGTCCGGGAGCTGAGAAATCCTCATGTAATGCGGCGACAGTCATGTTGACCGCATATCGAACATCTGGTTTTGGGTGGCAAGCCAGCTTGGGGGTGTGTTGCCAATATACCAGTGACATCGAATAGACCTGGCATACTAGCGCGGCCGGAGGATCGTGTAGATCTTCAGCAATGTAAGACTCCCAAAATTGTTCACCGTCAAATATGGGGAACGAAACATTGAAGCGATCGATGAAGCTGCCAGGAGAAAATATAGAGTTAGCTCCAAGTCTCTACCCACTGCGAATATCATGTACATACAGCCTCACTAGATCGTGCTTGAACGGTCCGAGTATTTGTTCCAACACTTCCTTTTGATTCTCTCCGGGAGGAGTTCCCACCCGCATACCCTTCCTCCGCCGCGAAATTGTGGTATAGAGTACTGGCTTCCGGGGATCGCTCGAGTAAATATTGTATGGGTGACTCTTGGGTTCTTCGGATTGACTGGCTCGCTCGGGTGGCATGTGCTTCTCAATCACCTGTGCATCTTCTGCAACCATAGGCCCGACAATGAGCACAGACTCATTCTGCGGATCATCCATGTCTTTGCGCCGCGAGTCGCTTCCTCGGCGACCACTCGACGACGTAGTCCCATGTGGACTAGGCCCGTTGATTGGTTGACGGGCCGGCATATTATGATTCTGGTGCGAAGCGACATCGGGACTGCGCTTGCGCTTCTGTCCCGGAAGAGCATCCGAAGCTTGAGGTCCTTGCCACGTTTTTGTGTCCGATGCACTCAGCACGGAAGCGTCCGCATTAGCTTCTTCTTGGTAGTGGCAGTCGGCCCCCTGTACGCGACACAGAAGACACGATTGACCTGGTATGTCGACGGTGCATCGGGATTTGCGCTTGCGACACAGGTCACAGGCGCGAACCTTGTGAGATCGGTATGGTCGTGCACCGGCATTGAACCCGGGGGATGGGAGTTTGGAGGAGGAATTGACTGGAACTGTAGCTGGCGACATGATGCGCGCCCAAGTCAGAGTGCGAATTAGCCGGCAGGATGTGTAGTGCCACGAAAGTTGGCGATTTGGAGAAAAAAGCTACTGTCCGGGGTGGTTTCGGAATCGGCCGATTAGCGGCTGGTCTGGGTGAGGGGTAAAAGCACACGGCCGGATGTGCCATAGAAGGGAGGCAAATATAGAAGGTAAATGGGCCAATGACTAAAGGTAATGGCCAGAAATCAGTCAGGGCTATGCGCAGCACATCTTGGAACGCAATGATCAGCCTTCGTCGCTACAATCCGGAGAAATCTCATCATTTCCTTATCGAAGCTAAACTGCACGGGGCGTGTGGGGTGCTGACTCACCCGCTGACTCATTCTGCTGACATAAGATCTGACATAATTGCTGCTGTGGCCTCAGGCACCAGGCTATTTTTATCTAGATCGGCATCAGTTCATTGCTGTAACGCTGGCGTCCCGCATTGCCTCATGGGGCACAGCCACATAAACTTCAGACAACAACTTCTCAATGTTCACCACGCGTAGATCTAGTTGGTGACCATGGAGGCCTCCTTGCCCGAAGGCTCCCCCGAGTTGCAACACTCTCCGTCCGATTCGCACGCGTTGTTCGATCGGCTCCCAGCCAATGTGATTGAACGGTGAGTCCTCACTTGGGGCCAAACCCCATATGTCAACATGGAGATTGGCTATGTGCTACCGTTCTAATCCAAATGATAGCATCCTATTTGCCGCTGATGCTAATACATTCGCATCTTTGGCTCTTCTAAATCAAACGTGGAAGCATGCATCCGATACCCCGGCATTATATGCATATCACCTGACGCGTTGTCCCTCATTTTCTTGGACTCATGGCGCCAATCCTTTAATTGACACGGAGAGCCTCACTGATCTCAAGCGTCTGTTTTTGAAAGAGATCAGGCAAAATGCATTCGACGTGTTTCTACGGCCTCGACAGACCCTCGTGAGGCTAATTTCAAGTTCTATGAGCTCCTCCACAGCATTTCCCCAAGGAGAAGTTTTTCGATTTTCTTTTTCTGCAAATGGCCAAATGGTTCTATGTATCAGCTCCTCTCGCATTGTCATATTGGATGTAGCATCTGATCCAGTCGCCGTGAAGCATGAATTACAGACTCGGAGAAGACCACTGGGCGCCGCAGTTCGGGATGACGGCTCGCTCATTGCTGTTTTGTCTTCCACGCATCGAGTTCATATTTACCAGCTCTCTGACGATGAAGCTATCCACATACAAGTGATTACACTGAATGATGCCCCGAGAGACATCGCATTCTCACCAACAGGGAGCATTCTAGCATTGGCTTTTGAAGATAGCATCGAGGTTTATGCTGTGGGCGAGGATGCTAAGCCGACAGACCGCCGCGCGGTGCGCTGTCTTCGTGTCGATGGACTTTCATTCTCCCCCGATGGATCAATGCTTCTCGGGTCGTCATCTGATTGCGAGCGAGATGGCGTTGTTGCGATCACAGCACCGTTTTACACGGAGACTGGAACAGACGCCTCGCCTGAAGAGCTTCACTCGCGAATGTGGACAACACAAATTCTCTTCCCTGAGATCACACGCGGTTGCACTCACGCTTGCCTCATTGCTGGTCATGAGGATTCGGATGAGAATTGGGTTATGGGTTATGATAGCCAATTGGCAGCGTTCAGGGCTCTGAGATTGAACGATGTGAATGCGGGGGTTGTCTATTTTGCCAGCCCATTTATCCCAGACGAAACAAGAGAGATGCAACCAAGCATGGCACCTGCCACGGACGATGCAGGAGAACTTGTTGCTTTGGGATTCCAAGACTCCACTCTGTGTATTTATGGAGTACCAGGACGCTTGGACCTTACTGCTCCAGCTACAGGCACTCCAAATGAGCTCACTGGTACTAAATTTGGTGGTACACATCACTGTGAAGGCCGCCCACCTCGTGACAACCTCGCGCAGCTTCAAAAGATCATTCAACAACCTAAAATATTGATTCGTGGACGCCATGTAGCCGACATGAAAGGTGTCACATCTGCTCGCTGGGTACGAGCGACTGGTTCAACAGAAACCAAACGACACTACCGTAGGCTTGTCGCGGTCGCTCCAGGTGGTGTGCGTCCACAGATATTTGGCGAGGAGGATATCCCAGTTGACGGTGGTCGGGTGCTTCTTCTGGATTTTGAACGGTGTACAACCAATGGCGAAATATTGGAGCTTGATATTGAAGTCGGAGAAACGGCTCCCAAAATCCTCAGGGAGCCCGACTCCTCTATGGACACCGAGGTTGAACTTGAAAGAAGACGAACACGATTGCACCGTGGAGATACCGCTACAACTTTCGCATCTGCTAGTCATCAGCGATTAGCAGCTCCCCGAGATGGTCGGGCATTGCCGTTTCATTTCCGTCGATTCAGTGTTACAAGCCCTACCTTGCCAGCTGACACATCTCGAGGCGATGCCCTCGATCTGCCATACGACAACACCCAACCTCGCTCTAGTGATGTTCTTCACCGCGCTGCTACAGCAGCTGCATCCACCCGTGGGCGATATGATCCACGTTATCGTAACTCCCCCAGTCGACGAAACCTTCCTCATGAAAGTGACACCGATAACTGGGTACCACCACCTCCTCCATATAAACAGGAAACAGAGGCACCGTTGCCAGATGATCTACTTAGAACCCTTCTTCCGAGAAATATGGTAGGCCCACACGCTGTCAACGACTCTGTCAATCATCCTGAGCGAGCACAAACTACTCGCATTGCACGGCCGACGGTATCAACTCGACCACGCCCACAATCGGCCATTTTACAAAGACTGGGTAATTTAACTGGATCCAGGCGCAGGGGTAGTTCAATTGGAAGAGACGATCTTTACTTCAGCCAGCAATCCGAGAGCCCAACTATCTCAGCGCCTCGAGAACAATCCATCAATGATATTCTACCATCAACCGAAGAGCAAACCCCATACCCAGATACAGCAGCATCTTTGGCACATCACCACCCAGCAGTCCAAGCACCTCCCACGTTTGCCGTGCATCCAGCGGAACAGATCATTCAAGAGAATCCAATGCCCCTCCCATATCTAGGAGCATCTGCGCTAGGCGATGCCTACTTCCCATACTCGGTGTCGTCTCCAAATCTCTTGCATATCCCACAGCCGCATGGTGAGGTGCAGGAGACAGTAGCAGACGATGAGCACGAAATACCTCACAGGCAAAGGTCGTTCCGTAGGCGGGTCTCAACCGAGCCTACTAGCTTACCACCGCCTGAGAATGAGGAATGGAGACGTCGTATCCAGGATTGGAATGAACATACAATCAAAGAGCGCGGGAGGAAGCGACGGGGGAAGTGCATTGTCATGTAGCATTGTTTGTCATTTATGCATTGCGTGCTTCATACTTCAAATTTATCCCTTCGCTGAAGCATTCTTATTGTACTTATCTTACAAGTAAAAAGAAGGTAAACAAAAATTTTGGACAAATGAAAGTCAGCGAGTTGGATTTTCATACCACAGGTCTCATAAATCGATAGAGTCAAAGAGTACCCCAATGGACAATTTTTACTACTGTAAGTTAATGTTTGCACCGCGCATAAAGTATTTTCAATCATGCCAAAAGAATATTTCCTCTAACAGAAATCGTATCTACTATGATGTGTTGACCCATCAAACCCGCCTATACTGGTTCTCTAACCTAATTGGAGAACGGGACCTTGGAAAGACTCAGTGCGGAGAAAGTCACGGGTCCTGCGGAAGCCCTAAATAGTTACCAGTCACCAGACTAATCACGACACATCCATAACCTACCCCAAAACCAAGCAGAATTATGTGGTCCAAAAGCTTCTTGGATCTTTTTGTTTGGCTGTGGATATAAAAGAGGGCATATTGGGGTTTTGTCGACGGGTACTGAAAATCACAGAGGGCTGGAGCCAAAGCCAAAAGTGGTGCTGTGCTCACAAGCGACGTAAATAAGACTGAACAAAAGGTTCCCATACCTTTTTGGGGGCCAATATCATCTTCTTTGTTCTTTTGTGTTCCACAATGTGTCTTCTTCTTTTTACCGACAAACGATTCACACGCTTATGCAGTGCCCGGAGCGATGGGCTAGACTTTGACCTGCTGTAGAGAGCGAAGGGATGGATATCTGGTTACTGGAGAGCTATAAAGTGGTTTTATAATGTCTTTTCTTTCTTTGCGAGTAGTGACTTTCATGCTTCAGTTGTGTCGGGGGGAGGAAAGACCGGAACTGGTTATATCGATCAAGTTGTATGTGGAGCGAAGTAAAAGTGTAAAATATAACGACGTTAATATTCACAAGGAAACTATCTCGGTGTCTGTGAAGAGAATAAGTTGGTCAAACTTTTTCTGTGTGTATCCTGATCTTGTGGAATGCCTCTAACATTAGATAGATATCTTACTGGTTTGAAATACAATTTCCCGAGAAAAGGTTATTCAGATACGCCCATTACTTCGGTTGAGGCCAGGCAATATCATTGAGTCGTATGTAGAAACTCGGTCAATCTATGATCTACAATAGACTGAAAAGCTCGATCACTGAATGCATTCTGATTCTATGACTTTCATGGATGCCATGTTCCTCGAGAGACCAGAACCCGCGGGTCATCTTTTTGGCCCACATGTAGCAGGATTTTAGGAGATTCCCTGCTTTCAACGCAATCAAATTGGACTTCGTACAAATAAATCGATCCCAAGATTTTCCACGTCCAGGTGGATATTCATTCCCGCCATCTCATTTCCCAAGAAACATCCCCTTATGCCATAGTCCATGCACAATGTCACATTCCGACAACCAGATACTTCAACAATCACGGTTCATCTGATTCAACCAACAGAGACCGCTTGAGGATTCAAATCACGAGGAGCTCTGTGGAAGCCTCAATAATTAGCATAGAAACCTATAATGAGAAAATGTCACTACATACTTCGACGCCATGCTCAAATAGACTCTGAAAAAATAGGTTGACTCAAAGAATGCCGTTCACTTTCTGGTGGCCTGCGGGCATGTCTTCTGCTATGCCCATCATAAGTAGATTGACCCAGGAGATGTTTTTGTGGCATGGAAAAGTACTGAGAAGTTGTTTGATGGTGTGGTCACCTTCTCATACAGAACAGATGGGTCTCTGGCTCCGTATCATGTTTCATGGGTTGGGACTGCCCTGTGTTTGTTTGGTTGTCCAGAGAGTTCTAGGAATGAGTAGCTGCTTGAAACATCTTGTCTGAGAACTCAAATGAAAAATCAGTGGTTGTCCATCTTCCAAATCGGGCTTTCTCTTCGCATGGGCCCTTGGAAGAAGGTAGATTCATATCATTGAATGAGACGCTAGATGAAAGTTGTAAAAGCCTCTCAGGTTATTGAGCAGGTCTATTTTCAAGGTCTGCAAAGTGGTTGTATCGGTTTTTGAATACCGAGGTCTGTTTGATGGCCTTGTAAGGTGACTCTTTTAAATTGGATTAACCGGTGGAAAGTAGATCACCGATTAGATAGTCAGGCAATCAAGTTCATATCTTGAACGAATAGTGGACGTTTGTTCAGCTTGGGAAGCTCCGTAAGATCGATCAGAAAGGATGAGATGTCATCCGATAGAATGAAATGAAGTGGTAATGGTGTCACCAACGTCGATCTGAATGCTGGTGGAAACTGGTATTCACATGAAGATCCCTTTAAAAGCAGCATTTGGGAGAAGCTTTAGAGACCAATGAACATGCTGTTCCAGATAGACTTTCCCCAAGAGTCCGCATTAAATAAATGCAACTGCTTGGGATGGTGGAGATGTTGAGATGGCGTTGATGGTATTGATGATGAGATGAGGCAGCTGAATTTAATCGCGCAGTTGTTGAGATGGTGTTGATGATGAAATGGTGCAGCTGGTTGAAATGGTGCAGCTGGTTGAGATTTGGCAACGAAAATGACGCGAGCCACAGGATATTGCAAGTGACATCCATATTACATGAGGATCGGCTCAGAGGCATCTCAAGCTTGAAGTTGTTGAAGTTGTGCAAACCATTCAAAATGTTGCATCAGGTAGTCTCTTCCCCCCCAGGAGGCTGTACTGGAAGAATTGAAATGGTTTCAAAGCTTGTTGGAATGATTGGTGAAGATGTTGGCTCAAGAGCTGCGCTGGAATGAATCCTTTTCTGAGTTGCTGCTCTCTTCGAGAGTCATGGTGAGAGCTCTTGGCACCACATCTGTTGAAATGGTGATTCAAATGATGGTGACAGCTTTGTGGAAAAAACAATGTCGTTGAGCTCGGTGCAATGGTTCAACGAATTGCCATTGAGACAATGGGATGGTATGTGAAGGATGATGTCAAATGTGACTGACATCCCAGGTATCAAGATCAACGGGGGAAAAAACAGTAAACGCATGGCGATAAAACTGATAAAAAAAGAGACATCCCTCATAGAACAGACAGAAATGAACAAACAGAAGCGGCGCAAAGCAGGCGAAAATCCGCAAACAAAATGTTTTTCAAGGTTTTTTTTCGTTTTTTGGTCTTTTTTTTGGGGGGGGGGGGGCTCTTGAGTAGTAGTTGTCTTTTTTTTTTTTTTTTTTTTTTCTTCTTGTCAAGGCGCCTTGGTAGTCCACCCTCTTCGAACACCACTCACGTATGGTTGGCTTGACCACGCCGGTCCGCATCTCCACAGAGAACATCGTACTGCGCAAACAATGTGGCGGGATCACTAAGAGGTGCCCCAACCTCCGAAGAGGGGGAACGCATTGAGTGATCCCAGGCTAGCACATTGTTCCGCTGATACATGCACACCGTCCTTCTCACCACGACGCCGACGACATGGAGGAAGAGGCACGTGCTGCCCATCTGTTGGATTAGCAGCCCTCGCTGAGATCTAGCCGGAATTCATCGGTTAAATAGTATCTGATTATTCAGACACGGTTGCGAAAAAAGGAGGACCTGAGTCTCCTAGGTGCGCTTCCTCCGTACCAGAGACGAGAACCGGAACAGCCACAAGTGGCATCGTTGTAGTTCGAGAAGAGGCGGGCTAGGACAGACCAGCAGAAGAAGTAACTGCTTCAGTACCCTCGGTTTGAGACTGAGCAAGTTCCTCCTCCAACATTTGGTCAGCCTGCCGTCTCTTGCGTCTTCTCGCTTTCGCCGACATCCGGTTTCTGCGTTTCGTATGCACAGGAGTAGAAACGTCGTCGTCATCTGTGTCTGAGTGACCCTTTTCCATCTCAGGCGCGGTATCTGAAGATCGAGGAACGTCAACAGGAGCATCAGAGATGCCCACAGCCTTGTTCCCTTCTTTCCAAGAGGTGAGAAGAACTCCCACCAAATGACTCACCATAAATGGTGACAGATGTTTCGGATGCCAAGGCACAAGTGCCCACAACCGAGCCGGCAAATGATCAGGATCAAGGCAAACAGTCTCTTGATTAACATCAGACGAGTTTCGAGCAACCAAAGAAACAACCAAGTTCTGGGGGGCGGTGAGGGAGGTCATCGACGCGTTTATCATGCAATCCAACTCCTGGGACCAAATGACTAGCGCCTCAACTTCCTTGCATCGGATATACTTCATCACCTCACGGTGAATCCATACATCCTCAGCCTGGGAGAGAACCGAAATCAGAAGGCCCATAGAGTCGGTACGGACAGGGTTCGGGTCGAGATTCGCTTCCTTTGGACCCGCGACCAGAAGATCTGTGAGTTCGTAAACAGACAGACTTCCGTCTGCCACAGACTGCACACGTGCAATCTGTGGCTGGTCAATGAGAAATTCCACGAAGAGCTCGGATCCTTCACGAAGATACCGCAGTGTGTAAGCAATGAATTCGATAGGCCGAAGTAGAAGCATAACGTGCCCGGAATCGTAACTGAGATAAAACAACAGCCAGAACAGCAACGTTAGCCATGGGAAAACCAAATCGAAGATAACAAACGGGAAGTAGATGAAGACCACTGTCATCCAATCAACCAGAGAAGTGTTCTCTAGCCCGAGCTGGGGGCAAGGTGTTCCACATGTTCCTCGGGGAGGGATGCGGTAAACCTGCCTTGGGCCCGGGGTGAGATGGGTACCGGCGACGGGAGAGGAGGTATCTGGAGGAACTCAACTCGACTGGGTCGTAGACTGATATCCGTACCAAAGACCTCCGTCCGAGTTGGGAACCCAGGGCCGTACACGGGTCCGGGGAACTTAGAGTCCACCAGGACGCAGACAGCCCCCACATCCAAGGTCAATTTTATGGAGCCAATGGACCGCCTCCAGAATGACTCCTGGGGATCAGTGACCCCCGGAATGGGAAACCACTGACTCCATAGAGTCAGGCCGACGAAGAAAATTCCCATAAAGGGAAACAACATGTTGGAGAAGGGGGGGAGGGGGTTCTTTTCTGGATTCGAGAGACACGTTAGCCACCTTCTCCAGATACTCAGTTACGACTGGAGTGGGGGGATGGGAGAGGAGAGAGTGATATATACAGACCAGGAAAAGAAAACAACAAAGTCGAGGGGGTGAGCCTCGAGCGAGAGCAAAGCTGCGCAGTTGGTGATGATGGGGGGGATGGGAGTGATTGTTGCGAAGCTTGGGGGAAAGAGAAGGAGAGATGAAAGTGGAGGGAGAAGAGTTTATAAATGGCGAGGGGACAGGCAGCTCAAAAAGGAAGGAACGATCGACCAAAATAGGAAGCAACGTCCTGTTTGAGTCCAACGTTGAGTGTTGCCTTGCAACACTCACTGCAAAGGCTTTTCAGTGACTGCTACAATGGTATTACTCTAGAGTGATTACACAAGTGAGGCTGAATGATCCAGGTAAACTGTTCTACAATGACTGCTTAAGAGAGGTCTAGTATCCTGAGAAAGTGACTGGAGAATGGCCATTTCGACCAATTAGTCTAAGGTCCCCCGGCTCACAGCATCTCGAGTCACGCATATCTCCCACTAGGGTAGTTATGTCTGATATACCAAGACTCTGAAGTGAAATTGGCTGCATAAGAGTCTCTCTGTATTATGGCTCTGGTTGGGAGGAGGAAACTCACGATCTCTGCTCCGTGTCTGCATTCAATGGCTCAAGACTCTCGGAGAGATCGGTATACGCCGTCAGGAATTTGGTTGCCACGCTTACTCTTGAGCTTGGCTCTGAAAGTAGACATCCGTAATGTGGTCGAGAATGGCATATTTTGTCATCTTTGGGATAGATCCATGGAGAAATGTAATACATTCAGTAGCGTGCAGATTCACTCACACTTTGGAGGCTACCAATATCACCAATATCCACATATCTAGCGATAACAGTGCCAGCCTCTGGGAAGGCTATCGGACAAGTTAAATTTGTGGCTTTGAATGGGACAGGGCAGCTCCACCGATTCAGGATAATGTTGAGTCTTTCTTGGTTTGGAGACGCTCCTATATGTGCTCTAATGAGATGAATGTACACAGCCCGGTATTTCCTCTCCGAGGTTAAAGCTAAGCTGCTTTCCCTACTGGCCGGACTTTGGTGAGAAAGCATAGCCAGCACCGAGAGGAAGAAGGGGAAATACGAAAGGCCACAATGAATTTATCTTGGCAACTGAGAAGAAACCGGACCTTGATTGTGTTAGCGGGATAGCCTTGATGAGAATGAAAAGAACACTCCAGTCCCCGAGACCACAAGTGAGAAAACTTAGGGAATATATACGCAGTGTCCTTATTATTGTTGTCCAGTATAAGATCTCGGTAGTCAAAACAGAATATCAAAAGCGACGTTGCATTAATTCCAAATACTCAAAACACTCAAACACCTCTACAGTCTCTAATAATACCGAGTATCAGCAGAGCCGGGGCTCTCGTCTAAAAACGAACCAAAGAATTATGACTACTTTTCAACTCCAGCTTGAACCCAAACAATCTAAGCCCTGAATCGACCACGGTGGAATCGAGGCAAGAAGACAGGTGCAGGCTCAGTAGCTTGCTCAGGCGGAGTTTCAGTGCCGTTCACAGGAATAGTCGTGTTCGACAGGGTCGAGTTACTGAATGTGGTTGTAGTGTTTCCAACTGCGGCTCGTCGAACAATATCAGGGACTACATGTGCCCGCGGGGTTGGCTTGACCTGGCCAGACTTGGTGCTAGACTTGGTCTCCGATTTGGTCTCTGGCTTGGACGTCGAGGTGGTCAAGGTTGGGGCAGTAGTTCTGCTCACAGGAGTCGAGGTTGTGGTTTTGCTGGTTCTCTCTCTGGTGCTGGTTGGGATGAAGGGGGTCGAGGTACGTGTGCTGGTGCTGGTGCTTGTTCTGGTTCTGGTGGATGACGAGACTTCGCCGCTGCTGCTGGGGGGGACTCTTGTTGAGCTGCTTCCGCCTGTGGTTGGACCACCGCCGCCTCCAGTTGTGGTTCCTCCTCCTCCACCACCACCACCACCACCCCCTGTCGGGTTACCACCTCCTCCTGTTGGATTTCCACCACCACCACCACCACCCCCACCTCCTCCTCCTCCTCCTCCTCCTCCTCCTCCTCCTCCTCCTCCTCCTCCTCCTGGGTTACCACCACTGCCGCCGCCTCCTGGGCTTCCTCCACCACCACTACCACCTGGGTTACCTCCGCCGCCGCCTGGATTTCCTCCACCACCACCACCTGGACTACCTCCACCTTCAGTGGTACAAGGACATCCACCACCAGAAGATGGAGTAGCAGTCACGGTGACAGTCACAGCAGGAGGACAAGTCACGGTAACAGGCTTGACGGGGACAACAACAGTCTGCTTGGGGCCGGATGGGCATGCACTACCACCTCCAGAACCACCTGGTGTCGGGGTACCACCACCGCCTCCTCCTTCAGTGGTGTGAGAAGGATGCTCAGTACCACCACCTCCACCGCCAGTAGGGGTAGAAGGATGACTAGTAGTACTGGGCTGTTCGGTAGTACCGCCGCCTCCACCACCAGTGGTAGATGGATGACTAGTAGTACTAGGCTGTTCGGTTGTACCGCCTCCACCACCGCCAGTGGTAGAAGGCGTAGAGCTGGGTTGTCCGGTAGTGCCTCCGCCGCCAGTGGGGGAAGTCTGGCCGCCACTGCTTGGGGTCTCACTTCCGCCACCGCTAGTAGGGGAGGTGGTAGAGGTTGCAGTGGTTGAAGGCTGGGTGGCAGTTGTTTCACTGGCTCCACTGGGAGAGGTAGATTCACCGGGCGAGGTTTCTGGGCCAGTGGTTGAAGGTCCAGTGCTGGGACTTGTTGAGGGGCTAGCAGTGGTAGAAGAGCCACCACCACCTGTGGAAGAAGTGGTTCCAGGGCCAGTAGATATCTCGGGGCCACTGGTCGAGGGGGTGGTGGATTTTTCGACAGTGCCAGTTGAGGGACCTGTAGATGGACCGGTTGGAGCGCTAGTTGAAGGACTAATAGTGCCAGTCCCGGTCTCGGTGCCACCGGTTGGTGAGGTTCCACTTCCTCCAGTAGGAGAAGTACCTCCACCTTCGGTGGTGGTTGTTTCACTACCACCAGTCGGGGAGGTCGTCTCACCACTACCAGTTGGCGATGTAGTTCCACCGCCACCACTGGGGTGTTCAGTCGAGGATGCCATCTCCTCGGTTATAACCGAAAGCAGTGAGCTCTCCAGGCCGGGATGGTTATGACGCTCTTCCAGGTCTCGTTCCTCCAAACGGCTGCGATCATCAAGACCTGGCTCCAGAGCGACATCTGGAGCAGCCGCGACGCTTTGGAGGAGCGTCCAGGAACAGGCCAGCAGCAACAGGCACTTTCTCGAAAGCATGACTTGGACGGTAATGTAACGAGGTATGTGCAGAGTGGTTCAGCAAGACAATGTTTACCTCACCGGATAGACACAAGAAGTAGAATAGCGACAGGGACAGAAAGATCAATTGATCGTGCAGACAGATCGCCTTTAAATTGAATATCGAGTTGGCTGACAGTGATATCAAAATGTCAAAATTCCGAAGCGAAATCAAGATATGAAGCGAAAGCAAGTAGCAAATTGGACACAGGAGAGAGCAGTCCAAGACGAAAGAGAGAAAGAACAAAGATTCCAGGTAGGTAGTAGACGAAAGACGTGGTCATCACGTCGTGTATTTATTGGAACTCAATAAATATATGATGGTCTAATGAACACTTGATGTCATCAGACAGAGTCAAAAAGACCAGGTCTAATACTCGGGGGTGATGTCGTTGTTTATTTGGCTCCTTTTGGACAAATTGTTGATTTCCGTGGTGAGAAAGGGACTTGGTTGACCTATTGGGACTCATTCCCAGAGGTCGATCCATGGGTTTGTGAGATATTTGTCGCCATCATTGTGACTCGATATTTAGATCAGGGGAGAAGTTGCGCTTGTTCCTGTGGATATCTGATGCGCCCTGGCCAGATTCAGCCCTAAGTCGATGCATGCCGAGACTATTGGGACGCATGTTCTGTTGGTTCAGTCGAGTGGTGCTTTGTGGTGATAAATAGTATTGTATATTCAGACTTCAATCTCCTCGTCTAATTGTTTTTAACGCTTAAGTTCGGGTAAACAACGTTCCTGGTAGGGATGCATAGAGCTCATCGGGTTGCTTCGGTGCGGAAACGTCATCCGCTTGAAGCCCTGGCCCTGGAGCGGGGTGCGATGTCCGCCTCCCCAAATTGCATGTTCCCATTTCATCATTTCTATGGAATCATTGCAGCGGTCTATGTTTATATCATATTACATGGTTGAGCATATTCGAATCACAGAATAATAGATATTAGAAGAAAGTATGTACAGCAGATAATTCAATGAAGGCTAGTGGGGAATTTGCTATGGTGTGTGCCGTTCGTGTCATCGCTGTATGAACCGAAAATGGGAGTGAAATAATGAAGCAATGGTCTTAGTCTTGTAAGGTTCCAACTTTTGTGTCTAGCTTTTTAGTTTGTGAATCATGAATCGTGTCAGTGTTTCCAGGTACCAAGAGGGCAACAGCGAGGTAGGATATTCTATCCGATTCCGAATACCGAGTTTGAGATTAGTAGATCGCGAGGGGGTGACGCCAGCCAACCTGAATAACCTTAACGGCGGTGCAACATGCCAGACCAGCCGCGTAGCAGATAATTGTGAATGTGATTAGGCCCCAGTATGAACCATTGCAGCGCGATAAGATTTCACCAGCGATGGGAATTCCGGTGAGAGTACTGTGGCAAACCAATGTTAGTTACGTGACATCACAGGCAGGAGAAAGATACAGAATAATCTCACCCGAAGCTGACAATAGTGTAGGCAGTTGCGTAATACCGGCCGTAATTCTCAGTCTTGCAAAGCTGACCGACACAGACGGGCGTCAAGCTGATATTGCTTCCGCTGGAAAACCCAAAGAGCGCGGCATATATAATGAGCAGAGCCTTAGTACTCCCAGCTGGAAGCCACAGGCAGGCATTGCAGAGTAGGCAGAGCGCTACTGTTGCAATGAGGGTGTTGAAGCGGCCCAGGAAATCGGCAAAGAAGCCCGGAAGCCATCGGCCAAAGAACGAACCGGCATTCAGTATGGCAATGATTTGGTAGGAAAATTGAGTTGAGAACCCGTGATCGAGACCGTAGGATGAGATATAACTGATCGGCACAAAGAGACCCCACTCAATGAAGAAGACACTGGCAGTCGTAAATGCGAACCGAGAATCGCGGAAGATGCGGAAATCCGGCATGATATTCTCCTTTGAGAATGGCTTTTGAGGCAGTCGAGACCTGATGAGAAGGTTTGCGAGTCCCAGTACAATCAAGCAGATTAAAGCAACAACTCGGGTCGCCCAGGCCCAGCCAATCTTGGGAAATAGGCTTTCCAAAATCAAAGGAAAGGCAATACCTCCGATGGAACCACCGGTAGCAGCCATTCCAGTTGCGACTCCACGCTTCTCGTAGAAGTAATGGCCGATCGCCGATATGGCCGGGGTGAAGATGAGAGAGGCTCCGACTCCACCCAGGACACCGATGACCAGCATAAAGTGCCAATATTCAGTACAGAAACCAACAAGGATGATCATGGCCATTTCGAAGACGGAGCCTGCAAATACGAGCAGGCGTGGACCCCGTGCATCGAAAATGGGGCCAATCTGCACTCCGCAGAAGAAAGTGAGGAAGGCGAACATTCCAAAAATCCATCCAATACTTCCAGCGCTGTATTCTTTCAGTTGGTGGGTTTGGATATAGGCTTGGAAGGTGGCTATGGTGTTAACCAGTCCTAGGGAGCCAAAAAGGCCGAGGAAGCTACCGAGCACGACCAACCATGCTTGGAGACCACCCTCGGGATAGGTGTTACCCTCTGCATCTGTCGTGACTCGGCTGACAGGATCTCTTTGGGCAGACCTGTGGGATGGGGCTACTGTAGAGGCCGTTCGGTGGAGTTCATCTTGGGTGGGCTCTTGCTCTGAAGCATGGCTGGTCAGACCAGGTTCAGTTCGCTTTTCGTAGTCTGTGCCTTCATCTCTTGCTTGATCTTGGTCCACGTTGGCAGTACTCTTCTCGGTGAATATCGTCTCGGTCGTGTGGGCAGTATTCATGATATCAGGTCCATGGTCGCCAATATTGATATTAGCGGGCCCGATACTGGTGGACATCCTACGGAAAAAGCCGTTGTTTAGTTCTCCACGTTTTCTCCACGTTGAGAGTGAGTTTTCTGAGAGTTATAAATCCGGGGGATCTGGGGTGAAGTTGAAATAAAGAGGGGGTGTTATTAGCAACCGAAACTTGGAGTCATATGCAAATTCAATGGAGAATTTTGCATGGAGTAGTTCCCATTGGTGTTAGGGCAGTTCCTGGGCCTCTCTAGTCCCCTTTGAGGGTGTCGGAAAATTCAGATCGCAACTTTATTGGCAGCCGAGGAGTGGAGTGGAGCTGACACCATCGGGCAGGTCCAGCACAGCCAAGACATTGTATACCCAAGCCAGTGGCCTGGTCCTTTCTTCGTGTTCGGGAAGAACGGACTCATATGAGTCATGAGGTTTGACTTGCGGTTGTATCTTCTTCTATGTGACCTTGTGTCAAGAAATCTGGGTACACTTAAAGTCAGGCTACAGATGACTTCTAGCACAGAAGAGACATTATGATACTACTGTATGTCATCATTGGCCTATTTTCTATTCTGTGTCGTTTATTTTCTATGGAATATGATCAATGCTAATATGTTGAGGGAGGGTTGTAAAGTTATAAGTCGTTTGCCGCATGCAAGTATTAAAGTATGCACTCATGCACGAGGATCTAGCACAGGTGCAAATATATATAGCGACTCCAGTGGTGGAAAGACCTTTCGCAATTAACGGGGAGAACAAAAACCAATGTGACTTAATGAGTGTAGTATCAATTGGAAACTCTTTGTCTGTAACAAAAACCACTAGAAAGAGACGTTTTGCGCGTTGATGATCCAATTCAACAACGAGAACCAATTGCCTAGCCTAGTATCTTTGTTTTTTTTAACATAAGGCATTTAATGCCAAACTCTTCCATCGAACTGGGCTTGTGGTTTAGTGGTATAATACTCCCTTAGCATGGGAGTGGTCCGGGGTTCGATTCCCCGCGAGTCCATTCTTTTTTGCTTTTTTGTTCCAGACCCCCTGGTCTTATAGCAATAAGTTGAGAAAGCCCATCATTACTGTATGCTATTACCCGCAGACTATTTTAATTCCATTCGGTGAACGCCGAGTCGTCAGATACACTTGAGCCCTTATCAGTCCCAGTCCCGTACCAAGCCTCACGAGCCGATCGTATGCGAACAAGCAATTCGCTGAAAGCTTGGCAACGTATTTAGTCCTGAAGCCACAGGCACAAGCGCAGGTACAGGCACAGGCACAATCATATTCAGGTACTATCTCCTCTGTGCTGGTTTTAGTGACTCGGCCGTCCCCCGCATTTCCATAGAGATAGTCAGGGGCGAGGTGATTCGGCTATCTTCAGTGTATCTGGATAAGGTACCCGGGTCTGACCACCAGAAGGCCATGTTATATACTCCAAGCGAATATAACATCCGTCGCGAGCCGGTTATTGCAATCTGGTTGTCTCAAGCCACCGCCAGGCAACCTCATGCAATTCGACCTGCATGATGAATGTGGAAGCCATGGTGCTTAACCGACTGTTAAGTGAGGGGATAGTAATCTCTAATCAAGCCAATCAAAAGCTGCACCTACTGTTTATAAACAAGCTTGACTATCCCGAATCAAAAGATAACCGTCGATCTAGCCGGAATCCGTCGCTACTCCGACCCTGGTCACATTTGTGCACAGTTCCCTCAATGCTGCAGATGAGGTCACAACGAGGCACGTACTTGCTAAGCTAACAGCAGTCATTCTAGAAACGAAGTTGGACGATCAGAAATGGGCATCAAGAACATAAAAGAATGGGCGAACTAGTAGATCAACAGACGATTTTTCCGTTTCCGGAGTGTGGCCTCAGACCCCGCCGAAACCAACATCAGTGGTTAATCACAAGCGGCAGGAGTGCGGAGGCGTAGAAGAAGCATCGCGTAGTCCGAAGCTAAGCAAGTTCTCCAATCTACCAATCATCTTCTCCTGGGTTGGGGTATATAGCCCTGTTTCCCCTCCCTCAAATGAACGAAAGAATAGTTCACCTCCATTTTGGATTATAACCTGGGTCATCTATACAGAGCCCAGCAGGATGTTGCTCAAATCTGTATTGACCTCTGCACTCCTGGCCGTGTCATTCGGCTCGGATATTGTGGATGCATCCAAGCATGGCAAATTTGGACAGAAGGCACGCGTGCCCCAAGAAAGGGCCAAAAGAGCCATTGAGGCTCGGACTGTGGAGACATCGAGTACCAAGAAGGACTTTCGCTTTTTGAGCAAAAAAACCAAGCGTGAGTGTTGACCTTGTTCGAGAGAAGTATCAGTCAAGTGGTACTAATGGATCGATAGCTTACTTGGTGGACTCTCTACCCGATGTTCCATTTGATCTTGGCGAGATGTACTCTGGTTTGGTGCCAATTGATACTCATAACGAGTCTCGAGCCCTGTTTTTCGTTTTTCAGCCTACTATCAATGAGCCGGTTGATGAAGTCACAATCTGGCTGAACGGTGGTCCTGGATGTAGTTCTATGGAAAGTTTCTTGCAAGAGACTGGTCGGTTCTTGTGGCAGCCGGGTACCTTTGCGCCGGTTGAAAATCCTTATGCTTGGGTTAACTTGACTAATGTACTGTGGTAAGTAATTCGTCTCGTATCTTGTTAAGAATGATTGTTAACGTTGTGAAGGGTTGATCAACCTGTCGGCACTGGATACTCAATTGGTACCCCAACAGCCGATTCCCAAGAAGAGACTGCACAAGACTTCATTAAGTTCTTCAAGAACTTCCAAAAGCTTTTCGGAATCAAAAACTTCAAGATCTATGTTACTGGAGAGAGTTATGCGGGAAGATATGTGCCCTATATCTCCGCTGCCATGCTGGACGAGAAAGACAAGGAGTACTTTGACCTTGATGGTAAGTAAAACGATGATATCAAAGAGTAAAGTTTCTCTGACAGTTTCTAGGTGCTTTGGCCTACGACCCATGTATCGGACAATTCGACTCTGTGCAAGAAGAGATCCCCGTCGTTCCTTTTGTCCAGCAAAATGCCAACCTATTCAATTTCAACGAATCATTCATGGCAGAACTCGAGAGGAAGCATAAGTCCTGCGGCTACGAGAAATTCATCGACGAATATCTGACCTTCCCCCCACCCGGAAACCAGCCCCAGATGTTTTTCAACTACACCTCAGAGGCAGACTGTGACCTCTTCGACCTAGTCTACGACGAAGTCTTCCACATCAACCCCTGCTTTGATCTTTACGAGATCAACTTAATGTGCCCCCTACTATGGGATGTTCTCGCCTTCCCCACCTCCCTAGTCTACGAAGCCGTAGGCTCAACAGTCTACTTTGACCGCGCAGATGTTAAAGAAGCTCTCCACGCACCAAACATCACCTGGGCTGAATGCTCGAACGAAGCCGTCTTCGTCGGCGGCGATTCCGGCCCCGAGCAAGAAGGAGATATCTCCGCAAACCCAATCGAGCACGTTCTACCACAAGTAATCGAAGCCACGAACCGTGTTCTGATCGGCAACGGTGACTTCGATATGGTTATCATCACGAACGGCACGCTCATGTCTATCCAGAACATGACCTGGAATGGTCACCTGGGTTTCCAAAAGAAGCCTTCTAAGCCTATTGATATTCAGATCGCCGATTTGCAGTACGCTGATGTCTTTGCTGAGAATGGGGCTTCATCGCTCGATGGGCCACAAGGTATTATGGGTATTCAGCACTATGAGCGTGGTCTTATGTGGGTTGAAACTTATCAGTCTGGTCATATGCAGCCACAGTACCAGCCACGTGCTGCTTACAGGCACTTGGAATGGTTGCTCAGACGAACTGAGGAGATTTAATGGATTTTATATAAGTTTGAGCGAGTGTGGGTCTGTATCTGTGAAGACGGGATTAAACATAGGATGTCGATATGTTATGTATACAAATGAGACATTAGAATCACAGACTTGTGAGCCAAAGACAGACCACAATCTATCAGTGCTTTACCCCGGATCTGATTATGATATCTCCCTGTGAGATCGACTTTGCGGTAGTGGCTAAATCTACATAAAGCGTCGATTATTTGATGCCTCTAGACCTGATGATTATTTCTCTACCTCCCTCTTACTATCACCCTGTGAAAGTGGTCAATTGAGATCTTTGTCTCTGAAACCACCCGGTCAATCATTACCGGTGGCAGTGGAGCAGTATTTTCAGGAATACGAGACGAGAAATTCACATGCATCGCACTTCATATCCCACCAGGGCGGATCAACGAAACTGTGAATCATGTCACCTAGATCGATCGCCTCCCGGGTTTGAAGTATGTAGTGTGTTGAAGAATAGGTCGCATGCACCTCACGTTGCATAGTAGTCGTTCCACTAGAGCTCACACGACCCCCTGCGCAATAGAAGATTCCAGGCTCAGAAGTTTTTCTTATTCCGAAACTAATGAGACATCCAATCAGAAGCCTAGAAGCCTCAGCAGGTAAAGTATACACCTTAGCGCATTATTTCCCAGTTTACGTGCTTCACATATCAGCCCATGTCCAGTCCAAATCCCAGTGGACGTACTGTCTGTACTGGGGGGTATTGCCGAGGACAACTCCACCTCCACAAGAGTCCTGATCTTACCAGTAATGTAATTTGAAAAGAGAATATTCAAATCTGATTGGACCAGTGCCAAACACAGTCCCGTCCGAAAGCGGCATAGATACGCCTCCGCCAAGCCTGAGGCGCTTTGGGCTTGAGGGATATTCAAAGCTTTCCATGCTTGATCTTCCTGTTAGGGCTTGGATTTTCAGCAGTTCATGCATGTGTATTTCATTCCCGTCACCTCTCAGTAGTCTACAAAGTTATAATTGAAGATCCGGAGACGGGGAAGCCAAATAGAGACTGAGATGACGTTGCAAGCGCGTGGAGCACATCGCATCCGGCCTTGATGTCCTACATGAGATGGTCTTGTTGTGCGCATTTCGCTGGTGGATCACTTATTTCCATTAGGAAATTGTTGTCGCAAATTCCATTGGCGCGACCATTCGGGCTCTTCCGTATGTTTATTACACCCGATTCACGGCCGAAACCTTTTGGAATCCAAATGAGTTTCCTCATGTGTTTCTTTGATTCCATGGAATTGCTGAGGCAAAGAGAGAGAGAGAGAGAAGTTGAGACTCAAGGAAATACTGTTGCCCTTGGTGGCGCTCAACCCGGGAAAGGCTCGTGCCACCAAAGGCTAATGAGCCCCTAAGACGCGCCGTCAGCCACTATAATCTAGGGCAGTGGTCTAGCTTGTTTTGATGCCAAAATTTTCTCACGATTTTTACCGCAAGTAGCCCGAGGACAAATACATGGAAGTTGATCATACTGAACTATGGAACGCTGAGTATCCCCAGTTCCGAGCCAGTCCTGTATTGCGGCGTATGTTACAGGTCCACCGAAATTTACACACTAGACCCCATCAGGCAATTCTGGTAATTTAAATGACTATATACAGAAGAAAGCAGATCCCACCTTCTTTTCTTTCTTTGTCCCTGAACTTCCCTCTCTCTCGTGGTGCAACTACTTCAAGCCTGCCTTGTCCTTTGATCCATCTTTTGATCGGTAGTTCAACAGATCATTTCATCACCGAGAGAAAAAAAAAAGAGAAATCTGTTTCCAACATCGAACCACTCCTCTCAAGTCGATTCCAGTAGCAAGCGATCTTGCATCACCCTGGCGGCAAAATATGAACAACGATCACGACAGTGTCAACAGAATCCATAGCAACTAGCCCATTTCCATCGGAACCAGTCCTCGCGCCAAATTCGTTCTCACGACAAATCAGCCCCAGCACTCACCCAAAAAACCCAATTGCAACATTTCATTCTGTAGACCAAGCCTTACCAGCCAGTTTCGAAAAACCCTGTGCAAATATTAAACGAAACGGACCACACGACCAATTCGGCAGATAGCAGCAACTCCCGCAGGCGATTTTATCCAATTTCTTCTCCAAAGCGCCATTGACTATAATCATGGGTCTCAAAAAATTTAACCCGTTCAAAAAGGACCGCCAGAACTTTCCGGGGGTCGTGATCCCGTTGGCTGGTGCCCCTGTGCATAGCTCTAACCTCACCCAGAAGGACGACAAGGAAACCAAGAGCTTGGACCTCACGTCTTCTATGGAGAATGGCAGTGCCAGCTCTCAAACTGGCTCGACATTGACGCTGGAAGCACTTCGCGCAGAAATCGAGTCTGAGGTTGCTACTGCGACTCATGACTCAGCCTATGACCGTATGTTCAATGTTCCTAGGGTTATTCTCTCTGATGGACCAACTCCATTTGTGCTATCACCCAAGTTTCACGGGGATTTTGTTTTAGAGTTTGTGCTAATTCAATACAGGCAAGGCGAAGGTGATTAATAGAGCTTTGCAGGATATTGGCATGGGCCGGTATCAGTGGCAGCTGTTCTTCCTTTGCGGTTTCGGTTGGACTGCGGACAAGTAAGCATTTATTTCTACCAGTTTGCTAGCATCAAATTACTAACCTCTGTTTGTTAGCCTATGGCTCCAGGTGAGAATAATGACTGAATATCACCTTGACTTTACTAATAATGTATAGGGAGTCGCCCTTACTCTGACACCCATTTCTTACGAATTTGGGCTCTCAAGTACATGGGTGCGTTTTACGACCTGTGCTTTGTTCTTGGGTCTCTGCATCGGTGCCTCGTTTTGGGGTATTGCCTCTGATATTATTGGCCGTCGTCTTGCTTTCAACACTACCCTCTTCCTGGCTGGTGCTTTTGGCCTAGCTGCGGGTGGAGGTCCTAATTGGATCGGGTACGGTTTCCTAAGGTACAACAATATGACTCGACTCCATGCTAATTCAATTCTCCAGAACATCTGCTCTTTTCGCTTGTCTTGGTCTTGGTGTGGGTGGAAACCTGCCTGTCGACGGTGCTCTCTTCCTAGAGTTCTTGCCCTCCGTCTCCGGTAACATGTTGACCATGTTGAGTGTCTGGTGGCCTGTCGGCCAGCTGATCGGCAGTCTGCTTGCCTGGGCATATATCCCAAACTTCAGCTGCACAGGCTATGAGGGCTGCACCAAGGAGAAGAATATGGGATGGCGCTACCTAGTGCTCACTCTGGGTGCCATCACCTTTGTCATGTTCATTCTACGGTTCTTCTTCTTCCATCTGTACGAGTCACCCAAGTTCCTGCTCTCCCGCGGTCGTCAGGAAGAAGCCGTCGCCTCCGTCCACGGTATTGCCTATAAAAACGGCACCCAAACCTGGTTGACCAACGAGATCCTCAACGAGATTGGTGGCTACGCCGAGACCCAGGAAGAGAAGACCAAGTTAAGCTATGGCCAAATTATTCGCCGGTTCTTCTCCAAGTTCTCAATGGAGCGCATTGGACCCCTCTTCGCCAACAAGCGTATGGGCTTCAACACCGCCCTTCTCTGGTTCTGCTGGGCCACCATTGGCATGGGATACCCCCTCTTCAACGCCTTCCTGCCCCAGTATCTCGCCACATCTGGCGGCGAAGTCAACTCCAACTACATCACCTACCGCAACTATGCTATCACCTCCATTGTCGGTCTTCCCGGCTCAATCCTGGCCTGCTGGACTGTCGATATCAAGTATATTGGTCGCAAGGGTACAATGGCAATTGCCACTCTTATCACTGGCGTCCTACTATTCTGCTTCACTGCCTCCACCAGCTCCAATATCCAACTCCTGTGCACTTGTCTCGAGGCGTTCTTCCAGAACATCATGTACGGCGTCCTGTATGCTTACACACCGGAGACTTTCCCTGCTCCCAACCGTGGTACCGGCACTGGTATTTCCAGCTGCCTAAACCGTATTGCTGGTCTCTGTGCTCCACTTGTGGCTATCTACGCCGGCAGCTCGAACCCAAACGCGCCCATCTATGCTTCTGGTGCTTTGATCTTGGCTTCTTTCGTTGCTATGTGCCTCCTTCCCATCGAGACTCGGGGCAAGCAGACACTATGAGAATCAGCAACAGACCGCTCTTTCAATTCTGTTCCGAGGTGATTGACACACCGATATCAGATAAACATCGAAATATACAGGAGAAAGCAGATCCCGCCAGTCTATATCCTGGTTTCGATCTTAAAGAGACCAGTGAATTGACAGAGGCGCATGTCCTTATCTCACAGGAATGAGCCGCTACAGGCGGAATTCTGACAACAACACATCCCTCTTTCCTATTCAATTGGATTGAAAAAAGGGATCTTCATCCAGTTGACCATTTTCCCATATAAGATACCATATTTAACATTTTCTGCCCTACTACCCCCATCATGATCCATGATTATGCCATATTATCTGATTTACTACTTACTTTTATCACGATTTACGCATTTACCAAATAAGCAATCCATATGACCAAACAAATTCAAAATTCGTCCTTGTCTCAAGCTTGTCTCAAATACACTTGGGGCTTGCCCTATTCACATGACTATCTTATTCAACGAGCATCTACACGAGATGTTTTAGAAGCCACAAGGGTAACAAGTGTACTGTACAGTTCAAAGTGGAATCATCCCAGCTGACATGTTTAGCTCAAAGCGGGGGACGAGCCAATCTACGTTGGCCCTTTAGCTACTCACACCGGATGACATATAACTCGGATATCACAATCCTTGTCAGACCGCCGCATTCCAAGTTTTCCAGAGTTGTCGTGATATCCAATGACGTAAGAACCATTAGAGCCATTAGAACTATTAGAAGCATCCCCCAGACAAAGAAACCTGGAACTTGCAGGAGTGGAGAGGATCGAGTAAGTGAGACCCCAAAAGAAAACCTAGCGACAACAGTAAGGCCGGCGATGAAAAGTAAAAACACAACTTAAGAAAGTCACAGTAAGACAAGCCAGATATAATCCTGCTAAAAGCAAGGAAAGTGAACTACGAGAAAGAAAAAGCTTTGAGGGGGAAAAATAAAGACAATCCTTGACAAGTATGTAGTTCCTATGAAATAGATAGCAAAGAGACAAAGATAAACTCCATTAAAACCCAGGCAAGCACCACGATTCATAGAAATTGAAGAAAACCGCACATCCCCTATTTTCCAATCGAGAGCCACAGAAGCATGCAGATATTCTTCGCCGGGTAAGATCCTTGATGCGCAGATGAACCCAAAGAGGGGGAAAAAATAACAAAGAGATAAAAATCAAGATAAAAGATAAAAGATAAAAGAGACAGTGCCATGAGAACATAGGGGTCAACCCAGAATGAGAAGCGAAGAAGAAAATATGAGAGAGAAAAAAAGGAGATCCGTAGAGAACATGAACATCGCTCATAAGTAAGCGCTGAAAAAGGTATAAAAACATCAAGAGCTTAACCCTGGACATCTGTATGTTCTTGTCTATACCACTGGCTGATTGCGGCGACCACGTTTTTCAAGGAGGGTGGCGCCGTCGAGAGTAAGCTCGAAGGGTTGATGGGGCTTGCGCATTGCGCTCTTGGCCGCCGATGCGACGTTAGCATCGTGCATGCCGTAACCCTGGCGGGCTTTCTGCTGATGAGGGGCGGCTCGTGCTTGGGCGGCGCTGCTCTGGTTACCGAGGTTTGTAGAGCGGAGCTTGGCTTCCATGCCGGCCATCTCGCCGGTGCCCTGGGCCTTGGGTACCTTTTGCGGGGGCTGGCCGCCGACACGGTGGCTGTATTCTTGTTCATCGTCGTCATAGTCCTCGTTGAGGGAGCCGAGGGCCGACTGGAATCCAGCTGGGCCGTTGCGGTTGGCATTGCGGACTTTGGCGCGGCGTTTGCCCTCCTCTTCTTGTCTGTGGACTGCGTAGCCAACATCGAAGACCTCGCGGAGGTTGAATGCGCCGGGAGATCGGAAGTCCATACGGCGGTCGGCTGTTACGGAGGGCTGCTCGAGGAAACGGGCGCTGGCGGGTTGGTAAGGGCCGTGCTCGGCGCTGACTGAGTCGAATTGTTGGCCCTGCTCGGTCGTTTGAAGGGGTGTGGCCAAAGGAGGAGCATCTGCGGCGGCGGTAGTCGCCTCATCTGTGCCGCGGATCCAGGGGTGCTCAAGGAATTCCTTGATGCTGTAACGCTTCTCAGGGTCCACGGTGAGAAGGTGAGAAATCAAGTCCTGCGCGGACTTGGAGATGTCGTCCCACCAGGGTGACAAGAATGTGTATTGGCCGCGTGCGACCTTTTCAGTGAGAACTTGGATGCTCTCGTCGTAGAATGGAGGGAAACCGCAGAGCAAAGTGTAAAGCACACAACCCATGGCCCACATATCCACACTCTTGGAATAGCGCTCATCTTTGACAATCTCTGGGGCAGTATATCCAACTGTACCACAAGGGGTCATAGTTTGGCTATCCCAGATCACCTTGGAAAGACCGAAGTCTGCGAGTTTGATCTTTCCAATGCCACCTGAGCCATGACCAGGAATAAATTCTCCTTCATCTTCCTTATCTTCATCGCCGGGTTGCTTGGGCTTGGGGTTTTTGGTGGGGGTCTGGGGGATTGGGTAGAACAGAAGATTTTCGGGTTTGATATCACTTTAGAAGGTGTTAGCACATAATTCATGCTTTGGACCGACGGGCAACAAACCGATGAACGACACCTGATGTCTCATGCAGATATTCAATTGCCTCTGCGACTTGAGTGATAACATGGCGACTGAGATCCTCGCTGAAGTAGGTCAATCGCACAATCTGATGGAACAGTTCGCCTCCGGGGCAAAGCTCCAGGATGATGTAGTAGTATTGTCGTGATTCGGAGAAGTCGATCAATTTGGTAATGTTGGGGTGGTCAAGGTTGCGCATAATCTGAACCTCCTTGAGGATATTTGCTCGCTGAAAACATGAGTATTAGCGATGAAAGAGCCGATGGAGGGACATTTGAGGAACGTGAACAGGGCATTTGGTCAGGCCGAGGCGAGTTACAATTGCCACCGAACAGGTAGAGCTCGAGAATTCAAAAAATGCGCACCTCGGCCGCCTTTGGGACCTTTTTGACCGTGGGGTAGTGAGGATCGTTCTACAAGACATATTGGCGGTGTTTTTTTTTTTTCCCCACATGGACGAATTGCGCGCCATGTAGTTCAGAAAGAGAGCGAGAACACGAAAAGAAGAAAAAACACGGTTGCCTTACCTGGTTGCTGTTCATTTCGAACTTCCGGACGACCTTGATGGCCACCTCACCATATTCCGTTGTGCTATCTTTGGCGCGGTAGACGTTGCTAAAAGCGCCATCGCCCATCTTTTCCACCAGGATCCAGCGATCTAAACCCGGGTATTTGGGCATTGTGGATCGAGTCACATTTTCTTCTGCGACCAAGCGTTCAATTTCAGCAGAGCGATCTTGGCTGACCTGTGAATCCGGCTTGTGTTGCGCATTCACCCGGCCTTCGGGCCCAAAGGCTTCCAAGGCGGGCGAGAATTGACCTAGTGGCTGTCGCTGTTGCTCGGCATGCACGGTCGACACGTCGGTGGTCGGTTCGGAATGAGTGACTAGGCGGGCCTGCTTGCCATGCCTAATGAAGTTCTTAATATTCTGTATCGTACTCATGATGCCGGGAGTTGAGGGAGTCAAGGATTCGCAGAGACGGAAGTGCGACACAGTATCACAATGTGGAAACGAGGAGGGGGGACAGTAGAAAAACAAGTCTAGGTCAAACCAGAAAGAGGAAGCAATTAAGGAGTCTCCACTCCAGAAAAGTCAACAGTGTCAAAAGCAAGAAAAAAAAAGGGGGGGGGGGGGAGAAGAGAAATGAGGTCAGATATCTAGCGGGGGGGGGAAAGAAGTCAACGCCTATGACGACGTCCACGGGGATCTTCGTGCGATGTCATCGTTGTTGCGGCTTGGCCACCCAAACTGGTTCTCTTTTTTTTCGCTTCTTTTTTTTCATGTTTTATATTTTTTTATATATTTTATATTACTGGCTTCCCCTGTGTTTGTGATATATCGTCTTTGATTTGCCTATGACGGGTGCTAATATAACACAATAAATGAAAAAGTGAACCTTGGCTGGTCTGATCCTATCATCTGGGGTAAACTGGCCTGACCATGGCCTCGACATCATAACCTCAAACCCCAGGTCTCACAACCAAGCTGGTTTCCGTGACCGAATGATGAAAAGCAGACCTGGCCGATGTGGAGAAAATACCGTCATCACCCGTTGCCACATGCTTGGATCCGGATTCACATTGTTTGTTCGAGATTGGATTGCGCTGCACCGTTCCTATTCGTGCGGAGGGATCCGATATTGGCAAATGGGCAGAGGGAGTGGAATGTGGAAGTTGATGCGCAAACATGTGCATTCAAACATTGCGCAAGGAGGATGTAAGAGATGTAAGAGATGCCAAAGCCACTGTCTCAGGAACAGAGACTAATCATGCTCCACATGGCCTGTAGATCGAAGTGCTCCGTAACGATGTTCAACAGCTGTACATGTAGTGGGGTGGAGAGGAATCTGTTTGATATCTCCTCCCCTTGGGACACTGCATCTTCTTTATTGGCGTGTTGGTCTCCAGTTGAATCAGTTGGATCAGTAGGATCAGAGCTGGACAACAAACGTAGCCCAGCCACACGCGAATATCGCCAAAATCGCCAAAATCGCCAAATCTTCACTTCCCCTCCCCTTCCCCCCCAACTCTCTGTCTGACAAAGCAGACTGATCGCCCTTATCGGACTCGAACCTCGATCGACTCCCTTGCATCCTGCAGATACAAAGCCGCGGTTTGAGATCCATCAACTTCCATCATTGGTCGCATTATTGGTCGCAACGTGCTTCGCGCAATGCGACCCTTGCGGACGGATTGAAACATTCCAGGTCATGATTCATATCTAAAGGTTGATCACCGCCCGACGCGACCGGGGTTTCGCATCTGTCAAAATGCCAGCCGTGGAAGTGATGGGACCGGAGGATGCGCAAGCACTTGAACGGCCACTCCTGAGGTCTCACAAGGCGCTTCCTCGGCGGGGCATAACCATTCCCAGTATCGAAGTTATCCAACCGGTCTCACCGGATCAAAATGGGACACTGAACGCGACACCTGCGCCACCCTTGACTCCTCCCAGAGGCCACGACGTGGACCGAACGGTCCGGAGGATGGATTCGTCCCTGTCCGACCTCACTGCTGGGATGTTGACTCCTCGCCGCGCCTCGAAGCCCCCGACCCCCGATGTGACTCCGCCTCGAACGCACGCAAACAAGCGGCCTTTGTTAAGCCAATTTGTGCATGTGTCCTCATCATCCCGAGCGGAATCATTCCAGACGGCAAATGAGAGCATCTCGTCGTCTGATATGGACAGCCCAGGGCGCTCATCTCAGACCACGAGTCAAACCCCGAGACAAAGGAAGCCGTCAAAGCCACCTGCCGCAAATGGGTCTCATTCATATTTCACCAGCGCCAGAGAATCCCCGCTGGTTTCCCAGCAGCCTAGTGATACCGAAAACGAAACTGGATTCGAGACTTTTGATGGAGATTGGACTGTGAACACGATGGACGGCTCTCCCATACCCGTTGGGAAGCGAAAGTCCGCACGGAAATATCCACAACTGAACGACCAGCCAAATCTCGTCCAGAATGGATTGGACGTGAAACACTTGGATGCCTCTTTGATGCGGGAGAAGAAGCTGCGTGATCGAGTTCATGATGCTCATGAACTGACGACTAGCTCATCCATGGAGCGATTCCGTGAACAAATCGGCTGGCCATCACCAGAGGGCGCAACTAAGAACGGTGACTCTGTACCTCGTCCTTTGTCCGTTATCTCGTCAACATCGACTGTCTCGGCAATGATCATTGACTCGCCCAAACGAGCTCAGCGAATGCTTCGCCATACCGAAAAACGAAGCTCGTTGCGATCTGCCAGCTCCCCGATCACCCACTCCGAGCGTACCTCGTATGGATCCCTTCCAGAATCGCAACATCGTCTGGTCCATAAGCCCACTCGCATCTCTGAGCAGGGCCGTCGAAGCGCATCGTCATTCTCGGCCAAGACTAATAATAGCGCAACAACACCCGCCATCGAAACCATCAAGGTGGTTGTTATACCGGAGCGTAGTTCGTCCCTCAACTCAGGTCGCAACAGCTTTGTGTCTTCCAAGCCGGGCTCTCAACGATCGAGCCGTCGTCCCCCAACTACCTCAACCGGTCATGTAGATGCCCCGAGACAGAAGAAACGTACCATGTCAGACTCGGTGTCTACACACTCTCGCGCGACTGATTCCAGAAGTCGTTCTATCGGGCGACCTGTCATTCCACCTCGGAGCTCATCGCTTTCTGCGCCAACGAGTCGGAACAATTCTCGCGCCACATCTCTTACATCGGCCAGTCTGCAAAGTCACAATCTAGCCATGGATCTTGAAATCAAAAAGCGTCGCGATCAGCAGCCAGTGTCTCCGCCTCGCCATAATGTCCTGTCCTATGACCCTAGCGATTTTCTCGAGGTTCCCAACATGCATGCATTTGCAACCGCTGACGATATGACCCTGCATCCCCCCTCGCTGCCGTTCACCGGAGGATCAATCCCGTCGTCTTCGCCAGGGCCAATAGAAATACAGGAGGCTACAGCTGTCAGCTTGTTCGCACACAACAACCATTCTCTGCTACTGGTTGATCCCAGAATGCTGTCGACCAGATCCCACCTCCATGGGTTTGGGATCTCGAGCGGTCCAGTTAATCCTCGCACACCAGACAATCCAATTCAGCCAGGAATGATGACAGTCGATTCCCCGTTGAAGAACCCTCGTCCTCCACCCAAGCCACCAGTCGCGAAGCCACTTCCTCCGATTCCCTTGCAAGAGGGTCTCAATGGCGCAGATGAAAACAAAGGCCTCAACCGACGATGGAGCTCAGTACGTCGCACCTGGAACTCTCGCCCACGGTCCGAATCTTTCAACACCCTAGCCCGATCATTCTCCATGAAATCAGCAAAGAACCGAACAACCGGGGTAGAAATGGACAGCCGCCTATACCCCTTCTGGCGACCTCGCCCATTCTGGGAAGGCGTATCTGATTCCCCCAAGAAAAGCGGCTCGCCAACCCGCCAACTTCCCCAGACTCCAGCCGACTCCTTGGTAGTAAACAACACCCTCGGCCTACCCCAACAGCGAATCATCTTCGACGGCCCTCCCGCGTACGCGCGCCGCAGCCCAGAAATGAAGCGCCTGTTCAACGGAATGACCAGCAACGGCAGTCTAGTCGATCCAGGCATGTTCCGCACCGGGTCACCTCTGCACCCATCTCGCTTCCAAGCCCTTTCCCGCTGGGGCCTGCGCGTCCAGTCGATGTCCTGGCGTAACATGCGCAATAGACTCCGACGCCTGCGCCAACGCCGCGAGGAGCGCAAACGCGCCGCGAGGAGAGAAACCCTCAAGCAGAGTATCGGTGTCCCTGTCTATGTAGCATCCAGTGCTACTACCGGTATTGCTGGGAGGTAATGAATGACGGTCCTCTTCTCTTCCTTTTCAGTCCTGCCCGTTCTATGTACGGCTGTGTTCTGCGCCCAGCCTGACGATATCACGATGCATCTGGGAGTCATTTGTCTTTTTTTTTTTCTTTCTTTCTGCCGTTGAAACTTTGATGCTTTGAAATTTCCCTTTTGCCCATGACCCGGAGATCTATGGTTTGACCTGAGATCTATGATGATTATGAAACACGAAACACGACTCTTGTGATGATAACGAACTTACTGCTGCTTGTTACCCCCTACTGCTTTTTTAAACTGCGTTGATTCTCCTTGGTTCCTTTGTTGGGCATGAATGTACTATTAGTCTATTTCTACGCTTAGCATACGTATTTATCTGTTCCTCTTACTTGGTCTGTTCGTAAATTGTGTCCGAAGTACTCTGCAGCCGGAACTGTGTGACGCTGGGCGATTAACTTGGGAATAAATAATGTCTCTCGTATGTCTTTAGTTTATGTGCAGTATTGTTTGTTGGGACGAAGTAACTGGATTATAATGGTACTGGGCTCTTTAACATTCTGATCACGAGCATGCTAGACTGTTGATCGATATCCCCAAGACTAGAGAGCATAGCCAAGAGAGATTGAGCCCTCACTGTCTTCATCTAAAACACCACAACCACGAGGATAACCAGCCAACTTTCGAATCAGACGGGGGTTTCAAGATCTACACGTCCCGAATGGCAGGGTATGCCATCTTAGAGCCTAGGCACATATCCAGGGATAGAACCCTGGTCCCACCAAGCGAGAGGAACGCCTGCATAGTCCGAATAAGATTCCCGCACCGCTCAGACATCTAGAAAGAATTCTGCCGCACAGATCTGGCTATATCTCCCATCGTTGGTGTCGAGAAGGGGTCGAATAACACGCCCCATTCGTGGAGATGAATGCTTGTATCCATTCTACCGGGACCGTTCGATCTGCAAAGTATATATATTATAGCTTCTGTTGAATATTATTGCGCCACATAGGTCTAGCCTTGAGGGGGTGGTATGTTGCATCACACTGTAATTGTGCCTGCTAGGGTCCAGATGAGTGACGTGAAGGCAGTGTCTGGATAACCGATGTTAGCTTTGTGCTCCTCCACCTACAACGCATACTGGTATTGGAATCCTCCCTGGGGTATCGTGTCCAGCACCCAATTCAAGGACACTCTCCCTGGGAGCCCCCATATCTCCCTTGTCTCCTTCCAAGCCTCGCTCTCTCTTTCTCTCTCCCTCGACAATGGCATGTGGGCCTCGTAAACACATCCTCGGCAACAACTATGGCAGCATTCCACGGGAAATGCGCAAATAGCTTCGCGCTCTCGTTGATCTTGCTCGGGTTTCTGTGTTGTTTCTTCTGACCGGTGGCTTGTTTGTTGTTGTGGTTATTGCGAGAGCTTTGGTAGAAGGGTCCCTGATGTCTACTGTAGGTTGGCACAGCGGAGGGAGGAGCAGAGGTGGAGGCCTAGCAGACTGGGGTGTCATCTGAAAAAAAGTGGTCTAGGAAGAGCTGAAGACATTTTCTTGGTGTTCTTCGTTGGTTTCATTTTCGGGGTGGACGTTTGGGGTTGGGCCAGTGCTCTGGTGGTTATGGTGAGTTGGGGACTTGTAGATTGGAAAATTAGTCTTTAGTGGTGTTAGTGGTCATAATCTGGGTCCGTCTGCATTGAGTCAATTGACTGGACTGGAGGACTTGACTGTGTTGGGCTTTGCAGAAAGTGAAACTCAGTATATTGTTTTGTTTGCATTGGTTGCATTGATTGCACTGTATGCACTTGGTTCTGGATATTACATAATATCTCCAGGTTTCAGCCGGGTGAGTCACGTCATTTTTATGGATACTGGAGTACAATGAGGAGCACCATTTTTGTTGGGGGAGCTGATTTTGATTTATTTATAGTAATAGATTGGCAAGAAGAAGAATTAGAAAAAAAAAAAAAAAAGTAAGCTTGCAATATAGTGAAATAAAATTATTGCGAGATCTACATTGACCAATGTCAGCTCAGGTACAAGAATGTACCAGAACCATACCAGGGGGGCCAAAAAGCATTAGGTGACTATGACTGTCGGAGTAATGATCCCCTCCCGTTAGCGTGAGGGCCCGGGGGCCTGTTCGTTGGGCTTTGACACCTGAACACCGTGAGATATTACCTAAGGAAGACAATCAGTTTGTCTAATGCTCCGGCCAGTCAGTGTACAGTACAGTGACGGTCAGGCCCACGGGTCGAATCAGAGTAGAATGTCTGATACGGAGGATGTGTTAGCCGTCACGGGTTATCGTATGAATCATCGCATCACCTGATAACAAATGACCAGTGACATCACCCGATCCACCTTGTGCTCAGCTAGACCGGTCGATGCGCTGCAGGTGATCTGGTTAAACCGGTAATCAGTACTGGCGAGGTACCTGTGTCGCTTGTGTGCGGACAATTCCTGATACACGACCATTTAGTGACTTGATGGGTACATAGGCTGATCGACAGGCAACGGAGTATTCACACACACCATCAGGGTATCACTTACTGTAAGTAGTTCTAAGTGGATTGAGAGCCCTATGGTTCAGGAATCAGAAGATGACTAACGAGGGAGCCTCGGTGGTTCCGTGGAAAGCATGGCCGAACCAGGGCGCAATTCCCCTGTACGGAACGCCAGGAAAGTTGGCGAGTGCCAGGCCACACAGTGTCAGGGTGGGCACTGCCACTGGGACAAAGATTCGCAATTGTGCCCTGCGACGGGCTCCACTGTTATCGCACCACGGTATACTGGACTCTGTGCAGTGGACAGTATAGCTGGCAATGATCATAGTCACTACAATATTAGAATGAGGGAGAAGAAAAAAGACTATAGAGAATAAATAAAAAATAGAATCCTAGTAATATACACAGTGTCACCGGTGATCCTCCTCTTCCCCCCCCCGCATGCTCAAAGGGAAAGGCCCCCGCAAACCTGAGCGATTTTGGTTCGTCTCTTCTCCTTTCTCCTCTTTTTTTCCCCTTCCACCTTTCTTTTTTTTTTGGCCCTTACTTCTCTTTCACCTCTCCTCTCTCTATCTCTATTACTCCCTTCTCGCACTCGTTGCTACTCAACTTCTCTTAGCTACTTCAGACTAATCCCTCCGCGTCATTCCACTCCTCTTTTGAACGCCTCTTCGTGTTTCTGGGGCCTTCAATTCCATTGAACGTTTCCTCAACTCCCACCATGGCATCTTTCAAGGTATGACCCCCCCATTGTTAGCAGCTCATGACGGAAACTAAGATCTTCCCTCGGGTAGGAATTGTCCATGTCGCGTCCTCTCCCCAACCCCAGCCAGCGATCCTCCCACGCGCACTCCATCTCGCTTAGTGCGGTCAATTCACACCACCGTGTCACACGCCGCAAGAGTGTCACCACAGCCGCCGCCAATGCAGCCGCCGTGGTTGCCGCCTCGATGGAAGGCAGCGAGTCCACTTCGCTACCCATGGCGCACCGCCGCAGCCTAGGAGGCCGCAAGGGACTGGAATCCGGCTCTGTCGGCAACGTGTCAGGTTTCAGCTCATATCTCTCCCGCAGTATCAACAGCCCTAGCCAGGAATCACCGGTCGCCCGCAAGGACTCCCCGGGGTCGGAAATCGATGCCAAACTGAAGAACCGGAACCGCCGCGCCAGTGAGGGTGCCATATTGAAGACCGAGGGGAAGCGTGTACCGGCAGATTTGCGTTGCGATCGCTGCGGAAAAGGGTATAAGCATGGCAGCTGCTTGTCCAAGCATATGTGTGTATCCCCCCTGCCGCTCGGCCGTCTTCTTCTTGCTCGGGATTATGCACCATGTCGGCTCTGTGCAGGTCGCCCTCGTGGTCATTCTATTCCCCCTTCGTCACAGTTCCCTTTCCTCCCCCTTGTCTCGACATTTGGTTGACCTGTGATTTTTTTTTTCTCGTGGTAGGTGGGAGCACGATCCAGCATGGGCCGTTACTTCGAAGCTTCTCATCTCCAAGCACCAACAGGTTCAACTGCTGGAAGCCGCCTCGGTTTTGGTCACCATGAACCACGACGATATTCCCGAAGAGGCCGCGGAGTTGGCCGCGGAGTTGGCCGAGCTGGAGTCCGAACTGTCGTCAGGATCTCCGGACGCTTCGTCCGAAGTGCGGGACGGAATCAGCTCGGCTGAAACCACACCACCCCCGATGGACGAGGAGGAAGACGATGACTTTGAGATGTCCGGCGTGCCGGCCCACTGGGCCAAGCGACCCAGCGTCAGCAATGCCTCGGGTTTCTCGCGTTCCTACCAGTCGGTTCACTCTAGCTCGTACAACGAAAGCGCGCCACTGCACTCCCCGGCCTTCTCCCACTTCCGTCGCTCGAGCATCGACACCCGCCCCTCCACCGCCGACACGAGGTTACACGACGATGATGAGGCGGATCTTGCGGCGGCCATCGGACTCTGCAATTTCGGCACTCCCCGTACCGGACCCGTCTCCATGACTCCCGACGTGCCGCCCGTGCCTCCCCTGCCGGCGCGCTATCTCGACGCGAGCAGCCACCCGAGCAACCAAAGCCCCCACTCGATGCAGCCGCGCCCCGCCGAGCAAGCCCGTCGAGATTCCGAGGCCAACATCTTCATTTCTCGATCGCTCAACCCGTCTCTGTCATACAAGGTTTCCGATGAGCGAGAGGTTCGCACCAGCGGCAAGGAGGCTCAAGAATCCCGCCAGCGCCGCAACGCCGACGTGGACTTTAGCAACCGCTCCGCACCAACCGATGACGATGACGATGGAGTCTTTGGCCGCATGGAAGAGTGAAGACTTACTCCATCCCATGTGTTCCAGTCACCGGGTCCTCGCGACCTATTTCACGATCTCATGTACGAGCTTGAGCGAATTTTTGAATCTTCTTGTTTACATGTTTCCGACTACCCAGAGAGAATAGAGCAGTGGTCCTGTTTCATCGTTCTTTGCTCTTTTCTCAACGGCGTGAGCCATTCTCGGGACCTTTCTTCACCTTTCGAGATCCCATGTATCAACCATGTCTCCTTGGCCCGTTTTGCGTTGTACGCTCTGTTTTGTTTTGTTCTTGGAAACCCCCTTAAACAGTCATCTGTGTATGACTGGCGCATATTCATCCTTATCAATACTTATACTCATACTCATACTCATTTGGACTAGTGTGTGTTTCTCACGTCCTCATGTTTCGTTCGTCCTTTTTTTTTCCCTTGATCTTTTCTTTTGTCCTTTTGCCTCGCACATATATACCAAACCAAATCCTACGATTCCGCCCCTTGATTGTCCATCCCTCTATATATCTCGTCCATTCTCTCCATCTTCGTCTCCGTTCTCTTTGATTTCTCACCCACATTCTCTCTCCCGTCTCTTTATCTCGATTCCTCTCAGATCTCTCGCCTCGGTTTCTCACTCTCGTGTATCCAATGATCCTCGGACGGGCTCACAATGAATATAACTCATGAAACTATATGATACTACCATGGTAAATGTAAATCGAAGAGCTTTGGATATACAACGCGAGGACAGTTGCCGCCGGGTGTCCCCACGTCGTGTCCTTGGGAGCTCACCGCAAAGAAACTTAGATCATGCTACTCTAGATCATAATCCCAAGACGCTCATACAAATTAACAATAGTGCCAAATCAGAAGATGGTCAATTCTCGTTCGAAATGAAACAGTTGCATATCGAATCATCAAGACATAAGGATGATACTTAGGTACCAAACTATCAAGCAAGCAAAGCAAATTAAAGCTACATTATATACCAGATAACATGCCAAATCAACAAAGCGAAGATAGTATCAAAATCGACATTGCAATACTCAACATCCACCACCACCACCACAGCCTCCACCACCTCCACCTCCACCGCATCCACCACCACCACCTCCGCAACCGCCTCCGCCGGCTATTGGACATGTTAGTTTCATGTTCGATTTTGTGGGGTTGAAGTGGGAACTCACCACATCCGCCTCCACCGCTGCCGCATCCACCTGCTCCGCCTAAAGAGAAAGACAAGTTAGTACCTAGACATGACAGATGATCAAGGGCAGTAGTGAGAGCAAAGGACATACCACATCCACCTCCACTACCAAGTCCACCGCAGGCACCTGCAGCTACAGAACCACCTACAACCAACCAGTCAGTACGATATCAAAACAGAAAAGAAGGGAGAAAAAAACAACTTACCACAAGTGCCCGAACAACAATTCCCAACAGCCCCAGAAGCAGTACTCATACAGCCAGGATTATTGGCATAAACATCAGAATTGATACACGGATCCGCCATGTAAGGCGCATAAATGGGCACGAAAATCGGGAACCCATAAGCATAGGGCATATAATAAGGATCAGTGGCAGCGTTCCTCTCCCGCTCGCTGCCCTTCTCCTTCTTCTTCTCAGCGGAAGAAAAAACAGAAGACTTCGAGCCAGACCTCAACCTCCCCCTCTTCTCAGCGCGCCTCGCAGCCTTCTGATAATTCGACCTGAGCTGCAAATAGTTCACCGAGCCGCGGTGGTCAGGGGCGTACAGCGAATCAGGCCGCACGGCATTATGCGCCGAGATGTGCGGGTTCTTGTTTGGGTCTGAGGATATGTCGGGTCGGTCGTGCAGCGAGTCTGCGGCGTCGCGTGCACGCGATGCCGATCCAACGGTTATGAGTCTGTCGTAGAGATCGGGCGTTCGGGTCGCTTCGCAGTACCAGCATGTACACTCGGAGTAGATGGCGCCGTTCGTGACGCGGCGGTAGGTCTTGCTGGTCCAGGCGAAGCCGTCGGAGAGTTTATCCTCGTCGACTTTGTCGTCGTGGTCGATGAAAACGCGGATGCCTGCTTTTGTGGGGGATTTCGTGCTGTAGGCGTAGTAGCGGCTTGGGGAGAGTTGGTGTGTGTGCCAGGCTAGGTCGACGTCGAGGGTTGGGACGGCCATGTTTCTGGGGTGGTCCATCATTATTTGGAAGAAGACTTCGTATTTTTTGATCAGACGGGTCATTGTGTCGTGGACGGTTGGCGAGTGTAGCCAGTCGATTTGGTCCATTTTGGAGATGAATGTTCCTTGCCGGATTACGGCGCCGACTAGGTCCAAGGCGAATGGGCCTAGGTTGTCCCAGTATCTGGACATGAGGCGACGGAAATGGATTCGTTCATCTGGGCGTAGGCGCTTGACGTATATGTTGCCGTGGGCTTCCATTAGGGCCTTTCGATCGCGGAGTTTGGGCTCTAGTTCTTTGCGAAGGTCGTGAATGTCTTTGCACCAGTCGACTCGGGGATCGGTGAAGTTGAGTAGCTCTGGTCCGACGGCTTGTAGGAGGCGCGTGGGGAAAAGAATGTGGTTGAGGCTTGGGTGGCCGCTGACCTTGTCGTTTGGGCCTTCGGGGATTCCGTGGAGGTTAGTGAATGAGCCGGGCATGGGGATGTCGGCGTGCATTGTAGCTTCGAGGTCCTTTCGGAATTTGGCGACCTTGAGTCGGCCGTGGTCGATTGTGTGACGGCAGTGAGAGCATGATGTTTGGAATGAGTTGTCTGCGTACCCATCGCCGAATCTAAAAGCGTTCTCGACGGTATTTCCGAAAAGAGCTTCTGTCCACTGGACAGTAACCATCTTTATACAGCTAGGGCATTGAATTGTCTTGGTCGGCGGGTCGTGCAGATTGTTCCATTTGATGTTCAACTTCTGCTCGAAGATCTTCTGGGCCTCGTCCGAGACGTTGAATTCCAGCTTGCGGTTGTCAATGCAACTGTCAATTATCTCCCAGGGGAAGCCTGTCTTCCAAGTGCTCATTTTGCCATATCGGATACAATCCTCGAGATAGTTGCGGGGATTCAAGCAATGAGCATGCCAGACCATCAAGATATCTGACAAAGAAGTTAGCTTGAGCCTTTCTGTGATTAATATAGTTCACTTACCGATCGGAGGCAGATTGTCGGGGCTCCATGCCACTAGAGTTGCTGGATTGATGATGTCCTCATAGTCCGAACGTTCCACATCACTCAAGCATGCATTCTGTCTTGATCGCGGAAGACCAGTCGCCCACCATGTAGTATATCGATCAACTGCACGAGCTGTGTACACAGCCCAGCGCTTCTCGCGGATTCGAGCCCTCGCTTCATTCATCGCTTCGGGGAATCTGTCGGCATCGATGTCTTTGATACCAAAGAGCCCGTCATCACCTGAGACGTTCTCGCGTAGGTCTGCCAGTACAGCCAAGAACTTGAGATGTGCGATGCATTCATCCCGGCTGATAGACTTGATGTCAGAGGATACTTTGAGGTTTAACTTCAACTCCGCCGATAGTTGCGCTACTGGGTCATCAGAATATGACGGCGGTCGCTCACTGGAGCTGGCCTCGCTTTGAGTGTCCTTGGACATATTAACTTTATCTGTTGATACGCCCATCGTTGATTATAGAATGAGATTGAATTCAGGCGGGGAAGGAGGTGATTTATAACCCCCGGATCCCCCCAGGGCGTTCATTTACGGGCGTAAGCGGTAAATCCAAGGAACCAAAGAACATGTTCAACGTGGAACCAAAGGAATGAGCCCTGCGAGGCTAAGCTTCTTGCAACTCGTTCGTATTTACCCTCCGACATCTACAGACATCTTCTGATTGGACACCAGTATGGAGGCGAAGCTGGGCGCTGGGCAATGAATGTCTTGCACTGCCTCGGGTACTTACATGTACAGTATGGAGAACGGCCCCCAAGGCATACTGACGATCATGATCTCATGGCCCCATGATTGGGTTTCTAGTGTACTTCGATGCATGGGCATCTGTTCAGACTATTTTCTGTTCCTCGTCGGATTCTAAATTAAACCATCACGCATCACGTGTACTGTACTTGATCCCGTTCACCACCGTCACGTGTACTGATCATACCACGTGACCTTGCTGTACAACCCCGAGTCAGCTGACCCTTGCCCCTCGCTGACTCATCGCAGAGTCCCAGACGGCCTTCACCGAGAACATCATTGTATGTCGTCAGTTGAAGCAAAGAAAAAGAAGAAAAAAAAAAGTACATGTACAATTGCCCAACTTTGGCTATCTTTGGTACATATACAGTACTACGATCGGCCAAATAACCGATCATACCGGAATCCCGATCTCGACCAGATCAAACGTCATTCAGCCTGGCTTCTCTCGCGCGATCGAACGGCATCGGAGGAGGCCAGGCAGCTCTGGAATCTACTTTGAGCGCTGATAATGCTTCAGTCGACAGTCCCGTAATGGCGGGTCTCAACCAGTTACCTGTCGTGGCCGATGGCATGCCTGGTCGCAAACGCAACAGCACCATAGCGGGGATCGACAGCTCGCCGGGAAGTATGGAGGATGTGGATGATCAAGAAGCGCGTGAGGATAAGAGACGTCAACCCGTGAAGCGCGCTTGCAATGAGTGTCGCCAGCAAAAGGTTTGGGATGTGCGCGATCATGAAATTTTAGACTGGTGCTAACCTTTTTTGGATTGCGATAGCTTCGATGCGATGTTGTTCAAGATCCATGGACCGACTGTTCCCGGTGTCGCCGGTTAAAGCTCGACTGTAAAATCGAATCGAACTTCAAGCGTGTTGGGAAGCGCAGTCGCAATGCCGAAATGGAGAGGGAAATCCTCCAGCTGAGGAAGCAGATCGCTACCGGTCAGCCGATTCCGCCTCTCCCCCAACAACCGCTGGCTGCTGGCCAGCTTACTCCGAAGCAGGAGTCGAATCAAGTCAGTCCTGCGGTGTATCAAACCCCGTCCGCCATGTCCGCGGATCAGTACATGGGTTCCCAGGAAGCGGTTGCATCCTTGCTGGACTTGCGCTCCGGTTTCGATGGTGCCAGCTATTTGCGAAACGGAGGGCAAGTCAAGCGGATCGAGGATGTTATGGTTGTTCCAGAGAAAGTCGTGGAATTGTTCAATCTGTAAGCTCCCAACTGCCAATTCGCGATCAACCCTAACACTCTCAGTTTCTTCACATACTACCACCCGTTCCTTCCATTCCTTGACCAGAAGCAGTCTCCCGATGAATATTATAACTCCTCATCGCTGCTCTTCTGGACGATCATCAGTGTTGGTGCACGACGATACCAAGGCGACTCGAACCTATTGAATTCTCTCGCTGGTCCAGTTACTCGACTAGTATGGAGTACCTTGGCCGATATTCCTCAGAACTACCATGTTGTAAAGGCTCTATCTTTGCTTTGTTCATGGCCATTCCCCGTGAGCAGTACCTCAACAGACCCGACATTCATGCTATGTGGAATGATGGTACAGGTTGCTATGCAGCTGGGTCTCCATAGGCCTTCCCATACTCAGGACTTCAGTAAATTCAGAGTGGAGCTGATTGAGGAAGAGCTGAGAGATAAGGTTCGGACATGGGCTATCTGCAACGTTGTTGCTCAGAGGTATGTAACTCCGACTCTATAACTACGGCCTTGGCTCATCTCTTCAGGGTATCAACTGGCTACGGACAGCCATCGTCCACTCTTTACGATTGGACGTTGTCTTCAAGCGATTCGCTGGACCCGAACTTCAAACTCCCCGAGGACATGAGACCACGACTGGAGATTGAAAAGTTCTGTGACAGGATCACTCGATCGCTTTACACAAATCGCCGAGACCCTGTCGGATTAACCAATGATCATGAAAGATCAACCATGATCTCATTCCTATCTCGAGATTTCGAGGAGCTGGAAGAACAGCTCAGGACGCAGAATGATTGTAAGCTTCCTGGTTCTGTAGTTTACATCTGATGCTAACCAATCAGGTATTACTGATTTGTATCTTCGTGCTGCCAACCTTCATCTGCACTTGTCGGCTTTCTTCGATGAGCCTACTGCAAAGGACTATCGCGAGCGTGTCTTGTCTTTGTATGTTGCGACGACATCATTCCTCGAAGCCGTTCTAAACCTTGAGACCGGTGTCGGTCCGGTTATCTCCTACACACCATACTATATCTATCAGATGATGGTTGCTGCTGGATGCACGCTCCTGAAGCTGTGTAAGAGCTTTTTTGCCTCTCATATTGACATGGATTACACCAAGCACCTGTTCAACCGCACGATCTGGGCCATTCGCGGAGTATCAGCGTCCAGTAACGATCTGCCTGAACGCCTTGCGGAGGTGTTGGCCCAGATGTGGAGATTAGGAGGAGCAACTCAACGATCCAACAATAGCACCGATCTCGACGACTCCCTGCGACTCAAAGTGCGTTGTCGAATGAGCATGTCCCTGCTCTTCGACTCCGTATGGCGATGGCGGGAGGATGCACGAACAAAGGGCCGAAATATTGAAGGTTAGTATCAGTCCCGCCGGTGAAACCTAATATACTGACCTTGTCTAGCTTATTTGAAAAACCCAACAAACCCCGACTCCGCGGCCGATTCGTCGGCCACCTCATCAGTTGGGCCTGTACACACATCAACATCCACCCCTGGAATTTCCGGTGGAGATCCGAGCCTTGCCCCAGCACCCTTGCTATCACAGGCCAGTCTTGGAGTTCAACCACCCTCGCAAGTGAGTGGACTACCAAGCGGCTTCATGGAGCCTAATTACGAAGTTTTCGATCCTTTGAACTGGCTCCTTGACGGATTGGTAGACTTGCCTTATTCCTACTCAACTATGAACGGAATGGAAACCTCGGGCATCGCATAGAATGAAGTAATTTCTTGGCGTTATGGATATTTGTTTGCGGGCTTGGTTTGCGTGTTTGTATCATTATACCACATATTCGATCGCTGATACACCTCAGGGAGTTTGCTTTTCTTGGACAACTGTTTATATTTTCTTACGATGAGTCTTGTGTATGAATCTGTATCTCTTCCTGACATTCAAAGCTTTTATTGGATCGATCCCCTAGTCACATTCAAGTAGCCCTATGCAATCATAATCTCGTACAATACGCCATGCGCATCACAGTTTGCTATTTCCGTCTGTCGAGCACGGACTAGCTCGGAGCCGCTGCGTTGTGGTATTCTCGAGAAGTAACTCTCCGATGCAATAGCTGTGTCTCATTACTAGTCTGCTTCCCTTTTTGTTTTCGCTTGATTTTCAATCCCGCACCTTCTTCCACTTGAAGGCCATTCTTTTCTCTGATAATCCCTTTTAATCTTCACATTTATTTCCTTTGCAGTACCAAAACATAATGTATTCGGAGCAGTTGTTCTGTTGGTTCGATAAACACCGCCATGGACCCGAGATGTCTACGTTCCACCCAACAGACTCCGACTTCATATCCCTTCAGCCTATTCTGTTTTATCTTATCTAGCTATAATCTCTTCTTGCCGAATTCGTCTATGGGACCATTGACAGGATGGCTTTCATTTGAGGAATTTTATGTTCCGGACTTTAGATTGATAGTCGGATTGCGGTTGCATCGGTAAGGTCATCTTAACATGGAGGGATGAAAGGGAAGGGGGAGTTGGGGTTTGCATTCTAGGTGGGAGGCAGAGGCTATTTGGAATACACACAGTGATTTATTAGTATGCTTCATACTTGTATATGTTAGTGCATTCAATATCACTTGAAGACTGTGGCTGTTTTGAGCCGATCAGTATCAATCTTGACGTACGGCTCAGTTCTAGTGCAGTCAGTATACTTTACTTGCTGTAAAGAAAGCCTTCATACTCACCCAATCCTGCGTGGAAAAATAATTAAGTTAAATGACAGCCTCTTGCCTTTTTGTACGACGAGAGGAACTCGATAAAAGTAAGTGGTTGTATTCTCAGCAGTCAACGGACAAGGTTATACTAGGAAACAAAGACAACATACACCGACATAACACAGGCGAAGAATCTACTTTCTACGTGCAGCAAGTAGACTGGTAGTAAGAGACGAGATGTGTCCTCGGCCGTCATCTTCGCCACTATCATCTTTCCCAGGCTGGCTGTCGCCAAGACTCATGACGCTAATTCGTTCACCAATGAAATTGATATCAGACCTTGCAGGGCCAGGCTTAGAAGGCGAACTCTGTGACGAGCCTCCAGTTGATCGACGACTCTTCTTCAAGGAGGTTGATAACAAAAACTTGTAGTTTCCAGCAGGTGGGGGTAGCACCACATATTTGGAGTTGAAATTGCCATCTTTGTCGTAAGCCTCAGTTTCTCGAAGAGCAGGTTCATTCTCTCCGCGGGCAAATTCAACCCATTTGTCAAAGACAGTCTCCATGTCGGCTCTGCCAATTTGGATCCATTCCCTGTGAGCCGTGTCACAGTTTTTGCATTTCGCTGAGAGCTCGCAATGCTTCTGGGAGAGCTCGGTGAGGATCAGTTGTTCGATTCGGCGAACAAAGGGAAGAAATGCGTGTCTCAAGATAGTGATGTCTCCATAGCACCGCCGGTGACAGGAAAATCGATTCTTCATATCGATTGTCTTTCCAACCTTGAACATATCCTCTTGTCCAGAGAGAGAGAAAAGATAGAGACGGCCAGATTCTGAATCTTGTTCTGTCAGGGTCTCGTATGCCTTTTCTGCCACTTTGAGTGCCACGTCCTCTTCGGGGCTCGCTGGTGTGCCAGACACGCGGAGCTTGAACTTTGACGATAGTGGAGTGGAATGGATGGGCTCTTCCAGAGATTTTGAAAGGATAGTTTCCAGCTCTTGCCGCAGTCGGCTTCTCTTTTCTTGATCGTAAAGTTCCTTTCTCCATTGGCTTCTGGCGTGCTCCCTTTTGTGTTCGTGTCGATTCTGACAGACGCAACTCTCGACAAATTGGGTGAGGAGCGTGTTGAATGTATCATCATCCTCGTCAAATACACGATGGGTGTCTTTAATGATAGCAAATAGTTGTTTGAAGGCTTCTTTGGCAAGGCCCAGACTGCCTTTTATTTTATGGCCACAGGGTTGATCGTTTGATTTGAACAGCGCGCAGCCGAAAGTGGATGCCGGTTGATATATGACCTCTAGTAAGGCCGAGAGAAGAAGGAACTTGCTGACTGAAGTCTCCATTGAGGAACTGATGATTCGAACTGTATAGGAAAGAGAGCTATAGCGGGCTAGATGGCGGGTAATAAGTACTTTCGAGAGCGCGAAGTAAAATATTGGGGGCCCAAAGCATTGTCACTATACCCCCTCTTTTCAGCTCTTCTGAAATGAGCTAATTCATTGCCTAGGCGTACTCTTGCCCGGATATGAGAAAATCGGTAAGCCCCGTTGGCGTTTCCCGACCTTCCTATCTTAGTAGTGGCCGACAGGGGGATCACAGGCTGTGCTTGAGATAGCTTCAAACTAGTCAAGCATGAATGGAGCATTGGTCACAAGATTCAGGGCTTGGAATGGTACTTTGGAGAGATGGCGTGCATTGGTGTCGTTCATTGACAGGGATTATGAGCCGTTCCAACAAGCTCCATTTCAAGACTTGGAAGTGAACGACGAACCATGAACAAGAAGGCTCCAAGTTACAGCTCTCAATTAGAGCACACCATTGTTTTTTCAAGGCAAATGGAGGTTGGGTGCTATATCTACCTGGCATTGAGTTTGAAAGTCTCGGGGGGCTTCACGCCGCAAGGCACTAACAGGCCCAGCCCCAATTTCAGGGATCTTGTAGAGCCGGAAAACGAACCATTTATTCCTTTTCCGTTTTAGTGGTCGCACTTTGCCGCTCTTGTGCAGCTTCAACGCGCCTTGTCGAGATCATATGAGCTAGCGTGAATTCTTCGGGTAAACCTATTTGTTTCTTCTATGTACCTTCGTGCTTTCTCAATTCTGTTTTAGTGTTTGCTCATCTGCTTCAAAGTCCCTAGATAAGGTCTCCAAGATACTGAGAACGACAACATTATTGCGTATCCTTACCAGCAATAATTCTTGAGATATACCTAGCTCATGATTGAGTACCGGATTCCTCGGAGTCAATGAGACATTCAATACATGCGTAGACTTCGTTCAATCCTTTTTTTATTCAATATAGGAACAACACTTGAACTATACGTGAGCTGAGCCAAGGATTAGGGCCTTATCATTTAGTATAAACTTATAATGAGTCCCATCTTTCGAAAATAACTGTTGGCATGCGAAAGTATCTACCTTATATGTACATCAATCAATAAATACTCACGTACGTCTCTTCTTCTTGCTTCAGCAAGTAAAATATCTTTTGCAAATCATGTGTGCAATCCTCCGGTGAGAAATTCTGCTAATTCCACAGTGGTTGGAGATACTCCGGCTCCTGTCGGGTTCGCATATAACCTCGGTAGAGCTCCAACGGAAAATCAGAGTCAATCTGGTAGTATGAATCAAGTCTCCGTTCTAGCAAAAACCAATTGACAAGATTAACGTTGTCAAAGGCTCATGCAACCCATTGTTTATGTTGGATGCAAGTGTTGTCAAGGACTCGGAAGAGGCTCACGGGTCGAATTCCGCGATGCTGAGTCATCCCTGCGATAAGGAACCCGATGTCGACATGCCCCTCGATTCTCACTTGAAGTTGGTCTTCTTTCTCCAGATATCCTTGTGGCTGAATTTATCGCGGCATAATCCCATAACACTATTATCCTCACCAGTCAAAACAAAGCTCAAAAAGTGAAGGCATTGCGACCCATCAACACTATGGCCGACAACGTGCAGGAAGGTGGTCGCAAAGGTATGCAGCTCCGATCTAGGAGCTTTGGAAGATCAATGCTAAAAGAAGAACACTCTACAGTTTGGACTACTCTCATAACAAATACTGCGTATCTGTCTGGTCTTCTGACCCTCGATTATTCTCTCAAGAAAGTGGGATCAAAGTACCCACTGGTTGTTCTCTACACGGACTCATTTCCTGCCGATGGACACAAAGCCCTCGATTCAAGAGGGATACTGAAGCAGCATGTGCCGTTCCTGCTTCCATCGGTATCTAAAGATTTTACCAACGACACCCGTTTCTATGACTGCTGGAGCAAGCTCACGCCTTTCTCACTTGTTGAATATGACCGCGTCGTGCAACTCGATAGTGACATGTTGGTACTTCAAAACATGGATGAACTAATGGAGATCCAGCTGGATTCACCAGAATTGGAGGGAGAGGGACAACGGGTGTTTGCTGCCAGCCATGCTTGTGTCTGCAATCCGCTCCAGAAGCCACATTATCCGAAAGATTGGTAGGGCAATCTACCACTGTGATATGCAGAGAAAACCCAAGAAGCATACTCGGTTGTTATTTGTGGCATAGCTAATTGGCCTCTGAACAGGATTTCGGCGAATTGTGCCTATACTACACAGCATGACAACGCAGATATCGCACAAACAGCTGGGGCTCCGGCCAATGCAGGATTGGGAATACCAAATGGAGGCCTTCAGGTCGTGAACCCGACCAAAGCCGTATATGACAAAATCACTAAACAGCTCGGCTCGTCTGCAACATCGCAATATGATTTTGCCGATCAGTCCCTCCTCGGAGATATCTTCCAGGGCCGATGGGTTGCACTCCCATACATTTACAATGCTCTCAAGACGCTACGGTGGTCCGGCGTCCATGATGCCATATGGCGCGATGAGAGTGTGAAGAACGTACACTACATACTCAGCCCGAAACCGTGGGACGAACTTGAAGACAGCCAGAGACAATCTGAACAGAATCAGGATCCGACCCATGCGTGGTGGAAATCATTGAATGCGGAACGGTTAGAAGTGGAGCAAGGGAATGGTCTTGCGGATGGTTTCTGAATAAGTTCTAGAAATTCCCAATCATCCACTTTGGTATGTTGTGCATAGCGCCTAATCATGCATTAGCCAATAGCCCTCAAAATGTCATTCTAGAAGCCTAACAGCTCCATCGTGCTCTTTCGTGCTGCCAAAAAACCGGCGTCTCTCCGTAATTACGACTACTCAAGTTTAATAGTACAAAATGTTTCGTGGGAGAAACTGGCTTTCTTTTCCTGTCTCCATGAATATTTCATCCAGTTCATAGTTCTGAAATGACGACGTCCCGATAAGCGATAAGAGACTCCAACTCCAACTGCAACTGTTTCCTCTACACACCCCTTCCACAGCCTCACAAGTATAAAGGACAAAGATGTCTCCCTCAACTGCCCCAAAAATAGAACGAGCTCGTCTCATCCCAGGAAAACGCCCACTCAAACCAACATCAAATAGCTCGTGTCCACGAGCCCTCAACCCCAGCGCAATCCCCGCAGAAACACGCCTGAAACAATCGTATCAAGAATATCTTCAAACAAAACAGGACAATCCAATTTCAAATTCTACCACAGCTACGGAAGAAGAAGAAGATCAGTCTCAGATTCCCCGCATGGAAGTCTCTTTCTCAGCACCGCAGCCCTTTCTCGATCCACCGACTTGGGATGCCATGCTCAGACTTCACCAGGAGAAGATCGCAACCCAGTCAATAGACGAATCCAGTGTGGCAGCAGCGCGAGGCTCGGGATCCGGATCCGGGGAGGAGTCATCTGAACGGCAAAGGCAACGCGCCGAACAAGAGATGGAGTATGGGTCTATGGCTATTCGGGGTCGGTCTAGTGTGAGAGGAAGGGGGAAGAGGGCCCGCGGAAGAGGGAATGTCTACTGGGGTGGGAGGTCTTGATTGCCAGGTCCTTTTTGGAGATTATTGGGATTTATTAATGTCCTGATTGGTGCTTGATGCTTCTTACAATTGGTCTTCTGTATATGGAGTACAACGGGACTGGTGATTGAGGTAAACCCAATTTCACGCAAGCAGTACGTGAACTGGGGATATTGCCGTGAATATCAATGCTGACCAAGATGCCCACTATCAGAAGAGCTACAAACTGAGCTTGTGTGGGCGGTTTCTGGTCGGAGAAATTCACACCAAAGATGGATTTCCTTGTGAGAACCTTGAACATATCATCTATGTTATATCGCGGTTGATGAAATCAGAAACAGGGCAAAAAGAATTCGGATCATTCTCTGACCTCGAAGCCATACCTCATTCCTCACATGCTTTCAACCGTGATGCTTCACAATGCGCTGACTGCGACTGCTCGTGGCCTAGTATTGTTGGTTCTCAAACTGAGCATAATCGGGAAGGAGATACAAACTTTGGATCGACTGCCGTGTGTCTGCCACATGTCCCAGTGGTATTGACGTTGCGAGGTAACAGTCGACAATGAATGTCTTATGGGTCATCTCTCTGCATTGCAATGCACGGAGAGCGATTCGTTCGAGTCCAAGGCGAGGAATATGACTCAAGTCGCAACCCGCAACGTTGCTGAGATCATGCACCAGGCCGGCCTCCTCGTCTAGTCTCAATACACTGAGATGAGAAGAGGTGACGATGAAAATGAAGACTCTGGGCAGTCTCAGATGCTTGCTGCGACAGTAAGAACGTGGGCTTGCTATTCCAATATGCGCTGCCTGACTGGGCAGTGAACAAACAATGAATAGTGTCCGAGGCTTCAGCGGCAGAACGGGACCAAGATTTTGCTTCAACTGAAAGAAGCGCATAGCACTCCCGATGCTAATTAAGCTCTGATGGGTTAATAGAACTCGATTTGGTGAAATAGGACCAAGGGCGACAGTCCAAATGCATAGTCATTATTTCATTTGCTCTATAAACAAAAGGCCTGTACCCTTCACTCACATAGAACACAGTCAATCCCAACCACATCAACTTCCAACCAACTAAGCATCACCCCCAACCCTAGTGAAGCAGACCGTACAAACACCCTGACCCTCATGTCCCCCAAACCGGAAACGAGGATACTCAACCCGTCCCCAAACAACCAGCCTATCCTCCCCAACCCCCTTCTCCGTACCACCAGTAAACCAATGAACAAGCTCTTCCTCCGTCCAATTACAAGTAGTGACGACCAAAAACCCACCGCGTCGCACCAACCGGCGCGCAATCTCAGGATACCGCTCACAAACACGAGTCGTCTTTGCATCATCAGACAACGAGACGGCATCGAAAGTCCCCTTGTCCAGAACTACATCAAAGCCCCCAGCCGAATAGGGAAACCAATCCAACCGGCCCCCGTCTCCAGCAGCTACTGCCATTTCAACAGGCACCCCCGTTTCCGAGAGCGCAGCCGTAGAGCCCAGAATATCCCATTCCTCAAATTGGATAGGCGGTGCACCGATATCCATCCGAGATTCGGACTCGACGTCCTCTCCATCCTCATCTTCAGACTCATCCTCATCCTCAGAATCACTCCGGTAAGCCGAATGACCCCTACTCTTTTGCAATTCCCTCGCAAGCTCGACACTGCCGCGCGAGTAATCAACTCCAACCATGTGTCCGCGGAACCCGCCCTTCTTCTGCAGTAATGCCAGCATGCTTCCATTTCCAGTTCCGAGATCGAGGACGGTAGGCTGCGGTCGGGACAGCGCGTTCGGCGTGGATTTGAGAGTGTTGCGCGGTGAGAGCGGGAATGACTTGCGCGTTAGGAAGTGCAGGACCTTTTCCGGTGCGTTGTGTTCTGAGAACCAGGATGTTCCCGGGTCGTCTTCTTCGTTGAGGTCTGAGTCGGCGTCTGAGTCGGCATCTTCGTCTTCGTCTTCGTTTTCATTTCCATTTTCTTTTTCTTTGGGGGTTGCGCCGTCGTGCGAGATGTGGGCTAGGGTGCGCGCGTAGTAGGTTTCCCAGCTGGATGGTGTTAGTTTTTGGGGTGGTTTGGGTTGGGGTGGTGTTGTTGCTTGGGGGGATGTGATATGATTGTATGCGATATCGAGTAGATCGGAATGTCCAGTTTATGGGAGTGCTCGATCAATATCGCAATATCGCAATATCGCATGCGGGCTCGTCTTGGAGGGGTAAACGTGGGGTTGGGGTATGTCATTGTTTTGCGCGGGCAATCGCTGGGATCATGAAAAGAGGCAGAGTGATACATACTAATCTTTGGTGCCTAGCTCGCTAGGCGAGAGGTAGGCAGGTTGAGAATCTTCAGCCATTGTCTGGAGTGGTTGCGGAGGAAAAATTGGGTTGAAGCGGATGACGTTCCGCACTTATCGTTATCGAGTAAACATCATGATACTTGGATCTATAGACATGACTTGACTTCACGTTACAATTGAACATCTACCGATATACAGTTACAATTGAGAAATCGAGGTTGTGAGGAATGAATGTTTATCCATGTCTATTGAGACTGCGCAAAGGGGGTATTATCATGCCTCTTTTCATTCACTGAACCACGACTACCATATCCGCAGACAGATAGCGGACTCAGTGATTGAACACAGAAGGGCCGAGAAGCTAAAGCTAAAGCCTTGCCATGACAAAGATGTCAAGATGTAAGAGGGAAAAAAAAGGGAAGGACAAAAACAACATAAAGAAATAAAAGCGAAAGTTGTTGGACGAATAGCCAAGCAATGCAAGAGAACCGAGTAAGCCTCCGCGATAAAGTACAGAAGCCGACACAAAGAAAGAGTCAATTGACCCTTTCAAGGCCGGCTGTTGGTATCAAATTTCGTCCGTTTTGGACACCCATGACGCCAGTGATGTGATGAAGCGAGGAAATGTAATAAAGCGATGGTGACACGAACGGGGGTGTTGAGAAAACCCGCGAGTTTAAAGAGGAAGAGAAAACATGCAACAGACATGCAATGGGGAAAATAGTGATGAGCGACAGCAAAGCCCGCTTTGGTCATGAATGTCATCAAGCCAGTCATCTGAGATGAGTGTGAAGAAATTAAGAGAGAATAGTTAAAGTCGCCGCTGACAAGCCAGGGGAGAGTTGATTTTCAAATCAAAGACATGAAAATAAAGCAGGTCGTGGAATCGTGAGCCTGGTGAATGACTCAGGCTGGGATCAGAGGAATTCATCAATCGATCTCATGATCAGGGGCTCGCCAGCTGTTGGAGGCGAGCGAGGATCAGCTGTTTCAGCGGCGAACTGGACGGAGCTGGGCATAGGAGGGGGTGAGAGGGCTGCCGACCGATCGATTCGGTGGAAGGAGGGTGCTGCCACTGGCTGGGGTGATAGGAACTCGTTTGTTCGAGGTGAGAAGAGACCGCCGCCTTGGCCGGGCGCGTCGCGCACAAATACGTGCGTTTGAACGAGAGGATCACAGCTGCTGACGCTGCGTGGGAGGCCTCGCGGTCGACCTGATGCAGGTTCCACCGATTGGAACTTCTGGCGGAATGGAAGGGGACGAGGGGATAGACTTCTCTTGGGCGAGTAAGACTTGAATTTGGTATAACTGTTGTCACTGGTAGTGGGACGCATTGAAGGAGTTTCTGGAATGGAAAGGCAGCTCATGGACGGTGCCTGAGAAAGTCCACGGAAAATCGGTCGGTTGTCATTGGCAGGACGTTCAGATCGAGCAACCTGAGGCTCGGAGCTTCGTCTGCCAGTTTGAACAAACCACTCCTGGGGAGGGGGCTTCGAGGTCGAGCCACGCATCAAATGCGAGCGGAAATCGGTAAGCTGGTAAATAAGACTCATATTAGGTCCAACCCACTGACTCCGGCCCTTGACCACTTCGTACATGGAGTTGAAATCCATGTGTCGATTCTTGTACAGTCCATAGGCAATCACTAGAGAGGCGGAACGACTGGCACCGAGCTGACAGTGAATAAGGACCTTCTTTCCACTGGCGATGCGGTCATCGATGATCTCACAAAGAGGGAGTAGGTCATCGAGGATTTCGGAGTTGTGGTCCCAGCTAACATGGAGATACTCAGGTTGTGGTGTAGGAGTTGATGTTGTGGGGGTGGCCGCTCGAGAGTCCGAGGGTTGGAATTCAAAGGCAGACTTGAAGGAGATCTCCGAGGCCGCAGTTTGAGGCTCACCAGACCAGCGCTTCGACGCCATGGAGGCATTACGCCAGGTGCTCATCACTGTGTCATTTCGCTCCTCCTCGGCGGTGTTGAAGGGATTCTTGACTTCCTTGGCGACGTTGATCACCACATCAAACTGGGATGCTTCCTCGGCTGTTGGCTCCAGGTACAGGTAAACGCCAGTGTCATGGATCCGGATCGGTCCATCGGGGTATCCACGGTCCTTCTTGCGTGTCGACTCGCGCGAGTCGAGGTGGTCATCTTCTTCTTCTAGCCCCGGCAGCACACGGCGAGAGAAACCAGATCCATCCATTCCACTTTCTTCATTTGGTGTAGAGAAGCTCCGTACGCCATGGTGCGACATGGGTCGTGGGAGCTGCATGCCCCCCTTGGGAGCGAAGGATGGGGATGTGATAGCCGCGAGAGCTGGGGAGGATTCTGCATGGCGCAAGGATGGAGTTGGAGGCACATCATCGCTCGGGAATGTCTTATCAAATGTAGGTGTCCGGATGGTCAAGTTCGCTGGACGGCGCCTCGAACTCTTCTGGGGAATCTGGAGGGGTGATGGTGGGGCGAGGCTGTTGGATGAGGTTTCCACCAGCGACGCCGTGGCAATGGGAGGCCGAGACATGGAGGGAGGCGGCATCCGCAATGAGAGGTTCTTCAGGTTGCGCGCCCGCCGACCCGGAGAGTCAGGACGCGGAGGGGTCGGTCGCGACCACTCGGGCACCATGGTTTGGGGCGGAATCTCCATCGGCCGGGGGTCGGCATGTATTTCGGATACGAGACCGACATGGCCGAAGGGGATTCGGGCGATGAGCTCGGGGAGACGTCACCCCCACCGGGCGAGTCAAAGGGCGAAATGGTCGTGGTCGGGGAGGACTCGGTCGAGGCGGACGTCATGGACGAGACACTTTCACGATGTGGGGACGAGAGAAAGCGCGTGTTGACAGGCACATGGGTTGGATATTGTAGCGGGTGAATGGTGTTTTCCTCGTCCTTGTATCGCGGTAGAGGGCCGCCAAAGACGGACATGAATGAAGGGAATGAGTCCGGGACGGACGGTGGACTCGTTTGCACGGGCATTGTTTGAGGGATTGAAAGAAGCCCCGACTTCACGAGACTATTGCATTCGAGAGCACTTGCAGCCGGCGCAAATGAGTGGTCTGCACCGGTCAGAGCTGTAAGGGAGAAGGCAGGGAGCGGGCACACATACCAAGCAGGTGAGGTGTCAAAGTGTATTCAAGATCAGTCCAGATAGTTCAGAGAGTCCAGATGGTCCAGAGGGAAGAGAAAGAAAGAGTCGTTTCCTCCGGGGAATGACGGGAAGGGGAGAAAAAAAAGGTCAGTTTCCTGTAGGGCCTTTTGGACCCTTTGTTTTTAGATGTAATCGATCGCTGGTAATTCAATACGGGCAACCGCAGATCGAGGTTTGAGAAGTGAAACCAATCAGAAGCCACTCTAATTTTAGGCGCCGGGGGCGTAGGAATGGGCGTCAAATGCACGTACATCAGAGGCTATGTAGGTGATGGTCGACCATCGTTGCTCGTCTACTGTTTGGTATCGTCTATAGTCTACAGTATACTGTCGTCTACTCTCGACTGTACAGTACTGTCTACAGTCGACTACCAGTACAGACTACGGGGACCATACGGGGATTATGCTCCTCCGAACAGGGGGCGGCACATAGTGGAGTATGCGCGTAACCCGTTCGCTATTCCAAATTGTTGTCTGTGCTGCTCTTCGACGGGACAGTATACTCGAGTTATCACGTTTCCTATATTATGTATACTGGATATCCTATCCGATTTCCTCTCCTCCATTCTCGACTCTCTTCACGCCCTCAACCGGTGAGAAACCTCACGGTAACCACACGGGTGAACGGTGGAGACTGTATACTTCCTCATTCGCTGCCGCCAAACTGAAACGCGAGCCTTTTGAAACACGCCAATTCACTAGCGTGCCTTAGCCCTGGCCTACACACATCATTCTCTCCTCCTCTGGGATCCACCCTCTTGAGCAAGGATCCAAATGGGTTCAATGATCCTCGATTTCCACGTGGACTATATGAAACTGGGACATTCGATGGAGAATGGGGAAATACAGCATTGCCCCCAAGTACAGTGCACTGTACAAGATGTACATACACGGGACTGGCGAACCTAACAAAAGCTGTGAAAAAAACAGATCGACAATGCAAGCCAGCCAATAATCCCTGCCACTGGCAACCCCCTCCCGTACCCAATGTTCCAAGAATGTTCCAGATAAATGAATTTCACCCTCCCTTCGCCTCCCCTGCAAGAAACTACCGTTTCACATCGCATCTAAAAATACCATCCCTCGTACTCTGACGACTCTATACGTTCCACATGCTCGCAGCTTACGTTGAATGGTTTCGAGCCCGGGCTGTCATTGGCTCGGTCCCGGGAACAGCAATTAAACTGGTGCTGTTCCATCAAAGCGATGCTCTTTGTTGATAGACTGGAGGGATGGTGCCATGGTTCACCGGTTGGTCGGTTGCAATTATATAGAGATCTCCTGGTTTTTCCACCAATACATGTATCAGAGACGTGGAGTTGAGCCCCTACTTGGTACATTTGGCACTATTGATCTTACCTGTCACTGTACTATACTTGGATCCTCGATTTCCTGGAGCCTGGCCATTCTCCATACTGTCAATCTACTGTAGGGGGATGCTCCAAATTCAATTTGTCACAGGTGGAATCCCTGTGGCAGTGTGAAAGGGTGTTAGCCTATGTGAGTCTGCTAGCTCTAGGGCAAGGGCAAATTGTTGGGGGCCAGGGTTGAGCATTGTGTGTCGGTTCATCGGAGATATCCGCACAGCCAATGATATACCGTCGACCTAGGCTTACAGTGATTCTTTAAGTAATCCTTGTAGTAATACGCTCCAAGAATCGTGGATATACCAAGCATTGCAAGAGGACTAGCCAAGATGTATCGAGTTTCGCATCCTTGGATTGTGCAATACTAGTTTGGTTTGCACCGCAGATGTGGAATCCACTTGTGGCAAGGACAGTGCATTCATCTACGTATACAGTAGCAACTAAAGTTATGTTATCTACAGTACACGTATACCGAGTAACGTGTCCGATCACTTTGGGCGGTCCGCTTCCGTTCTCGTGGTCGCCCTCCGCCGCTTTTGCCTACTGAGTAGAATTGAGCATCTATTGTATGGATGTCGGTGATCATTGTGTAATCAACCTCATTCATCTGGTCACTCCAGGGCTGATCTTAGCCTGAGCATACGGAGTATAGTGATGTTTTCTAATGAAGATATACGGAAAGCTAAAGCGAATGTCTAAAAGCCATACAAATATCACGAAAAATGAGAACAGCAGAAGTAATATCAGATCTCATTGCTATGAGTTGAGAACTTAAAGACCGAACCATCATCACCTGGCATAACCTGTTTATGCAAGTTAATTTGTCCATGGTTCATTCTCAACGCCAGAAACGCCAGAAGAGTTTGTCTATATACGGATGTCCTTGCTTTTCCGTCGGAATATACAGGAACTACTGGTATCTAGATTAGTCCCTGTAATCAATCACACAAACTAAGTGACCAGACCATATATCAGGTTTCTGAGGCTCCTAATACCCTCGGTTCCAAGGTTGGGAGGTGGTTCTAACAGTACGCGTGCGATGAAAGTGTCACTTTAAAGAGAGCTCCTCGAGAACTGTTCACAACAAGGACTTCAAAGTCTGTATTAACTGTCTAACACAGTTGCCGTTTCAATTGACTAACAAAGGTTCAATTATCAAGGGACATTTCAGCCAAAGCTCTCACCAACGAATAACATGTTCTTTCCAATGTCCTTCAGTATCGGCCTCTTTGAACTTTTCAATACCACCTACAACGCCGTCTTCGCCCACTAGCCAATCACCCATTTCCACTCGTTTAGTCCAATTCTCTAACACTTTGTGTAGATATAAGCTACGTGAATCCTATGGTAAATAACCACTATAGCCGCTGAATGAATCCGACTGATATAGTTGATTAGAATGGCTGCTAAAACCCCTCATATTCCTAAGGAATAGAACACCATTACTACTTTGAGTAAACCCGTTACTGCCAATTGCGAACGGTAGTAGGAGTCGACTCTAGTTACTAGATAACTAGTTCAAATATTCTTTAGTAGGTTCAGTGTACAAACCAGCGGGGATATTAGCGGTATTTCCGTTAGGAAACTAGGGCCGACTCTAGGGTAACTTATTCTCCTACTCTGCTCAAAATAAAAGGAGAGGAAAGAAATTTGTCGGTAGTTTAGTAGTAGAAGGTTCCGTAAAAGGCTGATTTCTAAATTTGTCCGGATCTTAGAGTCGGATACCGGGAGTAATATAGCGAAACTTAAGTTAGCGAGTAGGAAGAGCCGAGAGAAAGCGTCCGGTAAAGGAGTCTAATGTAATATATGAAGCGTTTATCACGGTTTCGGGGTATAGAAGAGTTATCTCTTTAGGACTATATATCGAGCCTAAAGGAAGTCGAAGACATCTTATACTATACCGATTTCTTCCTCACTCTTCGTTCGTGTCGAGTGATATAACCACACGAAGCGATCACCCTACTTTCGAAGAGGAGAGTCTTATAGAATTTCATGTTTCCTGTAGAGCGCTAGATAATAGAAAAGATAGAAATCCGAACAAGGATCGAACATGATAGCTCTTACGGACCGTAGGAACTAGATCAAGTTCGGTTTCAGACGAGATACGAGATCGAACGGAATTGGGGACGAGTCTTCCCACCAGGTCTTAGACGGAAGCGAACGATATCTCGTCCGGCCCCAATCCAAGCACGTTCAAGAATCTGGTTGTGAAGCTGGGCTGATAGCTGAGGGTCAAATCCAGTCACCGGCATCTTGGAGCGATGAAAAGTAGATCACAAGGGGTGTATAACAAGAGGAGACAAGTGCTCGGAAAACACAAGTCTTGGAACTCTTTCTTGGTTAGCGATGCGGAAAGAAAGGGGTAGACGAAAGATGAAATCTACGGGCGGAATTAACGTTAATGAAAATGTTGGAGGCAATTTGTCGTCACTTGGTGATATTGATCCTCCTGTCACCCCGATACGCACCACTCATGCATTAGGGTTAGACCTGTGGTCTCTAGGTCATTTCTTTCATCAAGTGTGCTTCTCTAGAGAATCACGAGTGTCATTGATATACTTCTTCTATGCTCAAATCCCAGTACATTACTTGAACTATGTAAATAGAAATAGAAAGACTATGAATACTCATTTCATTCATCGTTATGTACCCGCTCTTCATGACATACAAAAGAGACAAAATAAAGGGAGACGCCGCCAATGGATGGTTTTGTACATGAACTCGAACATAAAGAAAAGACAAGAAGACAAGAAGTAGTCGACAAAAGAAGCCATGGTCTGGCATATGCGGGGGTCGCTGCGTACGTTAATCAATGCTATCGTCTAGGTTTACATTGTTATTCGGCGTGGCCGGGGTGCGATTTCGAAGGCCGAACCTTCGAGCGCCGAGGCTATTTGTTCGGAGCCGGTTTTGCTGGATGGGCGTGTAGCTTGTTGCCATTTTGCTTGATGGGGTGGAGATCCTTGTTTGGGCCTGGGGAGTCTCCGGTTGAGGGGATCTGGGGTTGTCTTCGACGTTGGTTGAGAAGCTTGGGGAGAGGCCGTAGCGGCGGGATCCGGCTTGGATGTTGGAGCGGGAGGTTGCGGGGGTGTATGAAGCTGGGATGGTGTTGTTTCGGCGGAATGAGAGGCTGTTTGAGAGGGTTGGGGTTCGAGGCTCTGATGGCTGAGGCACTTGGGTTTGGTATTGAGGGGAGCGCGGTGAGAAACCCAGGCCTGAGTCGTTCTGAGCACCAGAGACTGAGCGGGAGAAAGACCGGCCGTGGAATCTTGGTCGGGGTGATTCTTGGGTAGAAACAGGTGTGCCGATTTCTGTTGGAGCTCTGGAGGTTGAGCGGCTATGTGGGCTCTCTAGTTCTCCGTTCTCCTCGCCGACTGTCATTCTGCGACTGCGGAGAGATGTCGACATCCGATTCAGACGGCTAGTCGGGGTAGGAAGACCCGGGGATTGGGTCGGACTCTGTTTGACGTCCGTAGTTCCTGGGCTATGATTGACCAAAGACGCGCGACGGGCTTCAAGACGACTGGAAATTCGAGTGGTGGAGTGGCGCCGCTCATTCAATCCAGGCTCTTGGATCCCATTCCCGTTTCGCTGATACGTTGGTGTAGGCAGGGTCATACGGTGGTCGTGCTCTACACCATTAGACAGCTGGAGCTGCCCGCCTGTTCCACGGCTTGACTGTGGCCGGGTGTTTTTCAATTGCTCGTCTGTCAATGCTAGGCAAAGCTCGGTCAGGCTGCGACAAACACTGTCAGCCTTGCGGCGGGCATGTCTCTCGGGTGATGTATATCCCCCATTCACAACAGAGACGGTGCCTGACGGAGCGGCATTGGCGCCCAATGCGGTGGAAAGGTTCAATGCATCGGTGATCGTCGCTTCGAGGGATGTGTATACCTCACCGCTCAAAACAGCCTTGGCCTTGGACAATGCAGATTGAAGGAGAGGGTGGACTTGGCTCTGGTGCTCGTTATCACCAGCTGAAATACTAGCTTTACGATGGGTTTTGGGTGAAGAGGATATCGCAGTCATGGCCGAGGTTGCAGTGCGCGGTCTCTCGTTTGGGCTGCTATACATAGCTGCTGCAGATGATGGAGGCAGCTTCCCTGTCAGCTCTAATTTTTTGATCCGATCTTTGAGGTCATCAAGTTCGTCCCAGACAGTAGAGGGGGCCGCGGTAGACAATGTCGACTCGGTTTCATCGGTGCGCGATCTCTCCGTTTCAGTCGGCGCACGGTCATTTACTTCAGCGGCCGAAGGTTGTCGGCTGCCTCGGATTGTAGAGAGTCCCGAATGGCGGTTGAAGCGGGGATCATGTAAGGAGGAACGTCGGTCATCCGCAACGGACGGTGTGCGCGGAGAGGTCTCAGGACTTGTACGGCTGAATCGACTTCGAGGGGCGCCAATAGTCGATCGCGCGCCAGTCCCCAGGCTACTGTAGCGCAGGCGACTCGAGTCATCTAGGGGATGGGCCGATGAGGCCGGCGTGTGGATGGAGGAGTAGGGGGTGGTTGGGGAACCATTTTGTGTAGGCAAGGGGTCGACATTGCTATATCGTTCGGGAGTGGGAGTTTGTTCTGTCGGTGATCGTAGACTCTGACTGGGATATCCAAGCCGTGACTGTGTTTTGGTTAGCTGTGAGGTCGCCAGATCGGGAGAGGGGGCCATGAATGCCAAAGCGGCGCAGGAATGCGATCGGCTCAGATTCATTGTTCAACTCACCCGACGGAAATCAGAACGTCCTATCGAGTCGCGACGACTAGAGTCAGTTCTCGCGATGTTCAAGAAGACGTCCTCGTTCTTCGGGCGGTCCATGGTTGACTCGGGTGCCAATCTCAGAGCATTTTCGGTTCTAGAATACGCCACGCTTGATGGCATGGTTCTCTTCACATCAGGGCGATCTTGAGGGTCGTCTTGTTGTCTCTTGGGGACATTGGGAGCTTGGGGGCTGGGGGAGTTAAAGCTAAGGACGGATCGCCGGGCTCGATTCAATAAGGAGCCTTTGGGGTTAGAGTCGGGCGTTTCACGATTGGTGGGGCCCAAGCGAGTCGACAAAGAACGCGAGTGTCGGTTGTCTGCAGCCATAGTCGACGGCAGGTTGGAAATTCTCGTGAATCGTCGGCGTTTCTGCAGAGAGCTAGTATGACATATCGACCATTAACACATACAGGCGCCTCAGACACCTCTGGCACCGCTGGCACACCCTGATACGATCTGGCACGATTTGTGCCCAATCGCAGCACAAATCGTCAAGTTCCAAAGAGTAGGAATTGGTAGAATATCTGCAGATATGGACAAGCTGCCACGGCTAGCGACCACTGGACCTGTCAGAAGTTGCGAAAGCAAAAAGCAAGGATTGACATCGGGTGGATATACACTGTGGCTGGGAAAATTTCAATATAGACGAGCCCCAAGTCTTTCTATTTCCACTATAATATTGTAGATCAAAGTGCAGTATACAGTACAGTACAGGAAGTTCTTCGCTGGTATGTTAGAATTGCAATGCACAGAGTACAGTAGCTTCAACCCAGCACTTGGTTACCCTGCAAAGCTATCAGTTTAGTGACCTATCTGCGTACTGGAGCCAGTAAGCCCTAACACATAACACATACACCCCTGAATCTACACTCTCGAAACTTGAAACGTGGGTTTGCACAAATCTCTTGCGATATTTCCCGGGCAACAAGTAAATAATGGGACCCGTGGCTCTATTTTACCCGAAACCGTAGATCTGAAACGCCGCCCAGGCGTGTTGAATTGTCGCATGCTCAGATCTTGATATTGAAACGTACGTGACAATCCTTTAAAGCTTGATCTACCAGGCACCAGTATGAATATTGTGCATCGTAAAAGATACAAGGCCGATTTCATTTCTTAGATGGTTTTATAACAGTTCCTCGTGATTGACAGTCTTTGGATAGTCAAAATGGTTAGTGGAATGGAGATATTGCCCTAAGTGGCAGATAAAAGATCATCAATGCATACTGTTTTTATCAACTAAACCGGGCCAAATACACACACGGCGTGCTAATTACTTGGCTGGTCTCTTTCTTTTGGTTGACTTTGTTGCCCTTAAGCCGATAGCTCCACTTTGGTCCACTTTCCATGAACATCAGCGCCATTGGCAATCTCCTCAGGAGTGCAAGGTCGATGATACCATGAATTGAATTTCTTCTGATCCAATGGCTTGAGATGCAACAGGTCGATACGAGCTGCGCGAGGAATCACATCATTAGGCGTCAAACCAGCAGACTCCTGTTCAAAAACGTGTGATAACAGAGCCACAAAATGATTAGATGTCCAGAGTCCTTCTCGCCGCCGGGATTGACGCACTAAGCTTAATGACTCCCGGCGCGTATGCCAGTCTCGGCACTTCGTGGCAGTGAAATGAAGGACCTGGAGAAGCAAAGTTTTGGTAGAAAACAACGAAACCTGCTCCTCCAGGCTCAAGTAGAGCGACGCTAACGCATTAATCCGCTGGAATAGAGGCAAAGAGGAATCATAAGACATCTCATCCAAGGGCCTCATGAGAGCCGAAAGTAAGACATCACTGATCGTAGTCCACATCTCGATCACGAGTAGCGGGCCACGGTCTTGGGGCGATAATGTATCTCTATGTGTTGAAATGAAAGCATGAAATTCGCTCTTCCAGTTCAATAATCTCTCCGCGAGCGTCTTTTCCGCGCTATTCTGATAGAGTAGATCGGCAAGGGCATCGTTCATCCCCTGTATACTAGGTCCTACACGGCGTTCAAATCCCTGTGGATAGTTTGCCGTGATACTCGCTCCAAGAACAATGGAGAAGTCACTTTCAGACACCCCAGAATACCCATAAACAGGTCGGCATACGGTGATGGCCTGCCAGATCGGTAATTCGTCCGCTTCGGCTTCCATCTCATGCTGTGGCTGTGAGAATGTAATTCGGTGTAGTTGCAGGTCCGCAAACGCGCGCATTAGGATCACACCAGAGGGGTTCCCGTCGAAATTGACCCTCTGCCATTCCATCAGCACGCTGTAACCGGACCGCAGGTGTGAAGTCACGGCCTTGACATCGCCCTGGAAGAGAGACAGCGACACAAACGCAATGCACGAAACAAGAACCGCCTCTCTATGCGCGCTGGTTGTCGCATATGCATCGCCTTTCGCTAGTCTCTGGCGAAGAGAAACAAGAGCCTTGGTGCACTGCGCTAGAGTGAAAGCTGAACTTTCTTCTATATAGGGCTTTGAGTTGGAAAAGTTGACCTCTTGTATGAATTGCCAGTGCATAGAACTCATAGCAATAGCTGCATGTCGCACCGCCGGTTCCTCCTCGGCGACCTGATAAATGAGCCTCTGCCAGAAGTCATCGACCGTAGACCCGGTACATTTTCTAGAAGTATGCATCTTGAAGAAATCGAGGAATCGCCGCTCGGCGAGTGACAGACCCACTTGGCTTGGATCTATTAGGCATCGTGGAAGGAGTCTGGGGGCTGAGTTTGGGACAAGGGCTTGAACAGCTCGCATGCCGCGTTTACGTCGGTCAGGGGTCTCCACGTATTCGCATGTCTGTCCCGCATTGGTGCACCTGAGACACGAAGGATGAGTTTCGTCACATTTTTTGCGGCGAATTCTGGCGAGTCGTTTGATTAGTGGGGGATTATATTAGATGTTGCGGATAAGCTTACTTGCACGTTTGGCAGCCCGAACGAACCTTTGGGTGGCTTGTTCTCTTTGCTTTTTTTTCTGTCGACATTGTATGCAAAATCATCTTGAGCTCTCTAGATGCTCAATTGCTTTGTAGAAACACATAGCCATCAGATTTTGCTAGCCTTGGATAGGGGTTGGGTTCACCGCCTTGGCTTCTTCTATGACTTGCACAAATTATGTACTTTAACCTGGCGATTTTTGAGGATTTGGTATACACGATATCAAGCGCTGGGGTCCTTGTGAGGATGCCGACTCCGGATCTACTGTCATACGACACAAAAGAATCATCTTTTGTTGATATTTCATGAGATTCGGATATGCTATGACACTGTCCTATGAGGTCATTCAGGGAAGATACTTCATAGAAGATATTCATATTCTCAAAGGGAGAAAAAGCGAGCACATAGGGAGGAGATGAAATAGAAAGATATTCAGGGTAAGGCGCGAAGAAGAGAAATTAGGAGACAAAATGGGGTGTTTTTTTGTGATTTCAAGGGTGTTAAGGGTAAAGGGTAAAGGGGTAGGGTGGCATCGCAGTAGACGAAAAGAGGTAGAACATAAATTGAGGTAGGGAGTGAAGAGAGGAAAGGAGAGGAAAGGAGAATAGAGAGCCGAAAGCAAAGGATCAATATACGCCGTTGGTCAGTGACTGGTGGCGTACAAGGTGGAACGAGGTAGAGACTGGGATGTTTGACGGAGGTTGGGAGAAAGACGGGGTCGGGAATATCACGGCGAAAGTTCATACTGGATGAGGGGGCGAGAGGGAGAGAGAGAGGGAGGGGAAAGGAGGACGATTAACGTAACGAATTCGAGAGTTAGGATCGAGGGACATTGGTGAGTTAGCGGTTCAATTCAACGCACGATGGTCTTTGTCGACCACCCGGACTTGGTATCTAATACGCATATTCCATCCATTCATCGCAGTGAACTTTTGCCTTTTGTCAATAAGAGCGACGTATGAGGTCAGAACACTCAGGGGAAAAAATCAAAAAAAAGAGAAGATTTAGAGGAATCCTGAAGGCATTTGAAAACGAGATAGACGAGTAGAAAAATGAGAAATGAAAGCGCTAGCACATGACCGCCGCTGATCGTGACTGACAGTCTCCAAGGAAATCGTAAGGTCAAGAACAAAGCAGAACCCAGTAGGACCGTCTCATCCACACACACCAGGGGAGATCCGAGGGAGCTTACTCCTGGGACTGGCTGCGGCGGGTCTTCTCAGCTTCGAGGTTCTCGTAGAGGAGGTAAAGGGCCTTCTCGTTAGCCTGAGCGCTTCCCATGATGGTGAACATGCGCTCGCCAGTCTCATCGTGAGGGGCCTTGGCAATGGAAATACGGGCTCCGGAGCTACGGCGAATATCGGTGATCTTGGTACCGGCCCGGCCGATGATGCAGCCAACCATGTCTGCGGGAATGCTGATGTTCTGAGTCTGGATCTCTTCACCGTCCTCGGTGACCATGGGGTAGCCGCGGTTGCCAGCGTCGGAGTTGGATCGGCGGGTATATCCACCGTCACTGAAGTCGTTACCGTTGCCAGTACGGTTGTATTGGCGGCTGTTTTGGTAGTTGCTGTTGCTGTTGCTGTTGTTGCTAGCCACGGGGTTGTTGTTCAGGGGCTGCGAGCTGCTGAGAGAAGCACGAACAGCGGGGTTGTAGAGAACGGTGCCAGTTCCGCGCTGCCAGTCGTCGAGCAGGCACTTGCCAATTTCCCAAACAGCCTTTTCGATGCCTTCGGGGGTGCCCTGCACCTCCACAATGCGCTCAGTAGACTGGGGAAGCATTTCTTTCTGTGCGACCATGCGCACGCCAGAAGCATCCTGGATGTGCTTGATTTTGAGGCCCTGTCGTCCAATAATGGTACCCATCTGGTTGTGAGAGATCAGAAGGCGAACGGCTGAAACATGTTAGCGCAGGCCTCAAATCCAATGACTTGATATGGGGATAATTCTGATCCCACCAAATGTCAAAAGTGAGGAAATTAAATACTTACGGTGAGTTCCGTTGTTAGAGACAACGCCACCCATGCCCATCTGCGGGGCACCCTCCAGAAGGCCCTTGGCCACGATCGCGTAGGCCCGAGCAAGCGAGCGCAGTTGACCAGTAACTGTGAGAACGCGGTCGTGGACACCGGGAACAACTTTGCTCACGCCAGCCTTGACACCAGTCTCATCGCGCAAATCAGCGACGTTCTTGCCGGCCTTGCCAATAATGACACCGGCCTCCTTGGAGGAGACGATAGCACGGAGAGTCAACTCAGAGATGGCATATTCGTCCTCGGTCTTGAGAGGCGCCTCAAGTTCACCCTGGTCGGCGAGGTTTTCGTTGAAGTTGTCGGTCATGGGCTCGTCCACGACGGTGGTCTGATGAACTTCGGTGGTCTCCATTGTTGGAGCTGAGGTTGGAGGAGATGGTTTAGGAGTTGTGGTGGGATGGGAAGATTGTGTTTCAGGTAACGGTCGCAAAGAGCGGGAAAGTAGAGTCTTCAACTGAAACAGTCAGGATTTTGCGCAAGAAAATATGAGGCGCGCATCACAGTTGACGATGCGCTAAAAATGGCAAGATGAGGGACTTACCGAAGTGGAGAAATGGGGAGGGGAAAACGGCAGAAAGGCGGGAGATATCGAGTCGAGGGGGGACAGGGAACGAGAAAGAGGAAGAGGGAGAGGAAGAGGGAGAAGAGAAAAGAACAGGGAATAAGAGAGCCAAGGATGAAGGAAGAGGTGGAGGAGAAGAGAGAAAGAGGAGAGAGAAGAGGTGGGTGTGTATTAAGCGGAGCCAACCGAGTATGGCCCGAATGACTTCAGTGTGAACATTTTCTTCCTTTCATTTCTACTTTTTTTACTTTACTGGCCAGCTAGGAATACAACCTTCTGCACTTTCATCGCGTTAAACAGTTCATAGCCCTCCACCGCCTGGGAAAGAGGCATAATCTTATCGAGCATGAAGCTATTCAAACATTAGCAAACACCCATCATCAAACAACGGCATCACTCACCCCAATTTGTGCTGGCTGTTCTTCAACACTTCCAGAGCCTGGGGAGCAACTGATCGAACAGGGCAACGTCCCATTTGAACAGTCAAGTTCTTAGAATAGGCATCATCTCCATTCCAAGGAATCTGCGAACTGTCTCAGCAACACTTCTTATGTCCAGACGATAGCTACTCACCTCGCCATTGTGAACACCAACACTGCTGATGGTACCGAAAGGACGCAGCAAGTCATATCCAGTGCGCAAAGCAGGACTCAAGCCAACGACTTCAATAACGGCGTCGGCACCACGGTTGTTCGTCAACTCTAGCACGCGCTTGTCCAGACCAGCACGATCGGTCATGAAGTTCCACGGCTCAGCGCCGAGAGACTTGGCAAGCTCAAGTCTAGATGGGACTGAGTCAACAGCCAGGATATGCTTGGGCTTGTATTCGAGGGCGTTGATAAGAGCACATAGACCAACGGGTCCACAACCAATGAGGACGACAGTCTGCTCAGCAATCTGCTCAGGGGTGGAGTTTTTGAAAGCATTGTTGGCTGCGAACCATCCAGTAGGGAAGATGTCGCCCATGAGCACCAGATACTTCTCGTCCACGCCCTCTGGGGCCTTCATGACGGAGCCTTCGGCGTTGGGGATACGTGCCTGGTTGTGTTAGAATCATTCTATACAAGAGCATGACAGGTAAGATTCTTACATATTCAGCCTGTCCACCATCCAACTTGGCGCATCCGAAGAGGCCATTCTTATCGCAGCGAGAAGACCACCCTTGCTTGCAGTAGAAGCACTCCCCGCTATGATGATGTCAGTGCGAGCATGATGTATTAGAGCCGCAACATGCCAATGCGGCTCCTTGGAGGAAGCTCTTTACCAGGACGTAGTAAACGCAGTAACCACACGGTCACCCTTCTGGAGGTTCTTCACAGCGCTACCCAGTTCAACAATCTCGCCCACGAACTCATGACCCATGATAAAGTCCGTTCCAGCAGGCTCAATACCACGATACATGTGCAGCTCACTAGTAACAACTCCAAATCAGAACCGAAGCCTAATTGTGGCCCTTTCAAACGATAAACAATCTCACCTTCCGCAAAGCGCAGTATATCCCACCTTAACCACGACATCCTCAGGATCCTGCACCTTAGGAATAGGCCGTTGCTCAACAGCAACCTTATAAGGGCCATGGAAGACAACAGCCTGCATCATGCCAGAATCTGAGGTAGTAGCAGCCATTCTGAATGAAGCAATTGATCAATTAAACAATCGTGAAGAAAAGCTTTTGACGGCTGGCAGAAACTTACTTGGGGTAAGAGTGGGGAGCTCGGGGTCTACCGTTTCTTGGAGATAAATTCTTTCTTCAATATCGAACGATCTATTTGTAGTCGGTCCCGAGAGAGAGAAGGATAATTCTATTGAGTAATTTCTTCAATCTCGGCCTTCTGTGCGAATTGTTCTGGTGGGGCTGGTACGGTATGTCCACTATGAGTGTTGTCTCCACTGGTAGATGAGACCAGAAGAGGATATAGATCGAGACAGCTTCTATTTGGAAAGATCGAGAAGTGATAAGTGGCTCTATTGAATGCCCATTTGAGCACTAAAGTCGGCGGAGGAGACAGGTGTTCCTGAAAACATCAATGGTCAAGAAAGTAGACCTTCTCCTAGATCTACCGTATGGAATACGCGGAAGAGTGATGAGCCGTGACTCTGTATCCAGATCTACGAGAATTCTGTCACGAGGCAGTCCTTGAAGTAGCCCATCCTAGTCATTTCATGCCCAAGATAAGTATAGGTTAAAACCAAATGCCCCATAACGCCAGTTGTAAACACCGGAGCTGAAAGAAAAACGCGCAAGAAAAGCAAGTCGCGAAAATCAATCTGATAAGAATCAAAGGATCATAATGCTCGTAAATGCAACCCGCGCTTTCAAAGAATAAAAATTGGCCGCCAAGTGCCCGTATCCAGGATCAGATCGGGAGTCGAGAGTCGAGACCCAGAAGCCGCAATTCGCCCGGAAGGAAGGGTTGAACCTCCACTAGCAGACGACACACAGCAGCTCTTCCTCAAGAATGAACTTTCCCTCCTTGTATTTCTCACTGGTCTCGTACGCTTTGTCATACTTCCACCCTACCGTTTCCTTGCACTGTCGACAAGCAATGTCGCGAACAATGTGTCGGCCAGTAGTCATATTGCGATCGACGGCCTCGCCTTCCGTGACATTGACGACGTTGTTGAAGAGATATGCCTTTCCATGTTGGCCCCGGAAGTTCTATATCAATCGAAAGAGAATAGCGCGGGTTAGCAGCGGGCCTTTGCTCTTCAGGTGCGGGGAAGGTGGTTGTTGGTTGTAAAATTGAGACACAGCACATACCCGGCTGATGATATCATTGTAGTCTGCCAAATGGGTCTTGCACCCTTTGCATCCAAAAATCTTGTTGGCAGTCAAGTAGACGTTGTATGAAAGGCCCATCGTAGCTGTGGTCGTTGCAGACTGGCTGTGGTTACTGAATGGCGGAGGGCGGCGTGCTTCCTATGGGGGTCTGGAGTGAAGTTGAGAAGTGGTCCTGGGATGTGAGTCCGCAAAAGCAACTGAGCTGATACTGATTCTGAGTCTAGGGGATATGCGGGCCGATTTATTGAAAAGGGGCCAGCGTGGTGGTGCTTGCTTTCCTGAGTTGCCCCGCCCTGGATTCGTTTCGGGAGGGAGGACCCAGTTCCTTGTTTGGAGAGGTTATGCTCTTTGCAGTTCTTTGCAGTAGGGTTTGTGACAGGAGATCCAGGGCCTTTTGCTGAGGCCTACGGAGGGAGAGAGAAGGACGTCGTCCAGCTGACGTGTTGACGATAAGCCGATAAGCCGATTGGAGATTCGGAGATTCGCGGAGAATGAGAGTGAGTAAGTAAGAAGTAACAGGTAATAAGTAACTGATGAGAAAATACGACCAGGGCTTTCTCAGACTCCAGCTGTGTTTTGAAGAAGTTTCCAAGATCAAGTAAACTGGGTTCGGGACTGGAAACCCACGGCTGCCTTAGGCTTCGATCGTCACAGATCCCGAGCTTCCTTTGTCATGTCACGACTTTGGGGGCATACATGTACACAAAAATATACAGAACAGGTCTCACAGGGAATATAGTCATTAGCTATTTTCAAATCAATTCAGAATCCCTGTACAAAACGCGCCGGTAAATGCGCTCCTCCAAGTAATGCTCAAGTGACCAAATTACACGTCCGAATCGGTTGCATTCTTTTTTTTACAGAAGCCTTACTTCTCCAAGCTTCACTCATAGTCCTTCACATAACGGCCGGGCAGTTCCACATCCCACATCGGCCGCTCAATCACGGCAACTTCCAGGAGCCCACTGGTGCTCTCGTCGCCGTCATCCGACAAGTTGTTGAGGGGGGCGATACCCAGGATATCACGGTACTTATAGGTGTGCCACCAACGACGGGAAGACTGAGTGCCGTTGGCCTCAGTCTGCTTCTTCGGAGTGTCAACAGCCCCGTTGACAGCAGTGAGTGATTGGCGCTTGCGTGAACCCTTGACAGGAGTGGAAGCTTCAGCTGCAGCTCCATCTCCACGTCGTAGACGGGCCAAGGCTGTCTCATTGCTAGCTGCGAAAGCCTCATCGTACTCGTAGGCCTCATCATCTTCGCCCGGAACACGGGGACGCTCTTTGTCCAGTGAGACCCATTCGCCCTGTGTTTCGTCGCTGCCGACAATCTTGCGGACCTTGGTTCCAAAGTGGATGCCCGCCTGTGACTGTTGGATCCTGTCACCAGCACCGGTGTTGTGCTTCCTCCGCTCCTCTTCGTCGTCGTCTTGGATCTCACGTTTCCGCTTTGAGATTTTGACAAGCTGACTCTTAGAGTCTTCGGTGGTTGAGGCAACCTCCTCGGGGGATGGGAAGTCCTGGAGAAGGTCGAACATCCAAAGCCACGAGGCTCCGTATAGCCAGAGGCGCTCGCGACCTTCAAAGATATCCCACATGCAGCCCATAGCTCTGTCTTTGACTCCCCGGAACTCGGCGGGGAGATATGCCTTGGGGTTGCGTCTTGACCAGTCGGATAGTCTTCCACTGCGAGCATCAAACTCGATGAGATGATGTTCACTAGTGAGTACCATTAAGCGGGATTCTTCAGACTGGCTTTTGTCGTTGGCCAGCAGCTTTTGTGTAGGGGCACTCTTGGGGCGGAAGGACAGCAAAGTGATGCCTGACTTCATGCGGGGAATGGGTGATTCAGTAGCGGCGGAAGTCCAGCGCTCGCCCTCAAAGGCAATATCCTCGTCCTCGTCATCAGATGAGTCGTCGTCAGACTCTGCAGCTCCGTTGCGCTTCACTGCACCGTTCGATCCTGTCTCTGTGCCCAGCACCCAGGTGTCGATGCAACCAGAGAGGTCGCC